TGCCTACTTTTTATTTTGTGTTCTAAATGCGTGAATTACTTTTAGTGCTCAATAGCTACTGCATGAATGTAAGTGTGTCTACATTTTATGTCTGCTTTATCTGCTTAGTAATTGCTATAAATTGCTGTGCATGATACCAGCATTTATGATTTGCATGAAGTGTTTTTTTTGTTTGTTTTATGTGTTTTTAAAATGTCTTGTGCTTATCAGATATGTGCATGTCGGTTAAAAGCTCTACCCTTTTGTTATATGTATACCCGACTTTACATAAATCTTTTATGCTTTTTGAGTACTCTCTCAGATCTGTACTTAAGTGAACTTTTGTTGTTGTGGTGTACAAATACCCGTCCATGTCCACTGTGTTTTTGGCAGATTTTTTGGCAGATGTATGTCTATTAGTATCCATCTGATGAGTTAAGTCTTTTTCAACTTTTGTTCTTATGTTGTACTGTTACACCACTGTCCCAGGTTAAGGGAGGGTTGGCATCTTCGAACTAGTTTAACGGTTAACCCGCCACATTCTGTATGTGCCTGTCCAAAGTCAGGAACCTATATTAAGTGGTTGTTGTTTGTTTCCATGTTACACATTCGTTTTTCATTCATTATTTTCTACATAAATTATACTCCATTCTCAAAGAATATTTATAAGTTCCGCTAAAAACTAGAATCGAGGCTAAGGTCGGTAAGTCGAATAAGATGGACGCCGAGAAGACAAGCAAAGAAGACGATAAGCACTGTTGAGTGTCGTTATGTAATGGCAACGGTCGGAGGCACCTAAAATTGTCGTTCAACAGGTTTCCCCAAACTGACCATAGAAGAAACATGTGGATCCAAGCAATTAGAAGATATTCAGGGCCCATGTTCAACATAATAATTTTACCATTCGGTGAACGTTGCATGTTGATGTACATAGGTTAATTATAAGTCAAGGTTCAGTTTCATGATAATGAGTGTATCTACTGCATTCACCAATGAAACTGTACATTTTAAGGTTCATCATAACAAATGGACAAAATAGCTGTATTTATACCTCAAAATCTACCCAGAGTACAGACTAACCTGTGCAGTTTGAAAAGTTTTCAGGACAGGCATCCACTAGATATAAAACTAGAGGCTCTAAAGAACCTGTGTCGCTCACCTTGGTCTATTTGCATATTTAACAAAGGACACTCTCCAACATTGTAGAGGAGAATAGACTTACTGACAAAAATCTGTTTTGTAGATCTTGTATTACTGATTATTTAGTCTGTTTAGTTTCTTTGCCTTATTAATAGATCTTTCCTTGCTGATCATTTTGTGATTTAAAGTTTTAATTATCTATTATAATCTAAATCATATAAGGCATAACAGAAAAAAAAATGTTTCTCTCTGAATATCATAGTTTACATGATAATAGGCAAAATTGAAAAAAAAAGTCATTTTTGGGCAATGACTCCTATAAGTAAAACTCATTATTCTTAACATATTTGCTCCTTTCATATTTTCTCTATTTATAATGGTTAAAAAAATAATAGACAAAACTTGCATTTTACCCTTATGTTCTATTTTTAGCCATGTCAGCCATGTTGATTGGTAGACCCAAGACCACAATTAATGACCGCACTTTTCTTTTCGTTGTTCACGAATATAGTTCCCTTTAATTAAAGTGTATTTTGTCTTTCTTTATTTTTTTTCTTTCCTTTTCTCTTACATTTCTTAGTTTTTATAAGGTGGAAATGAAAGAAGAGAGCTGAAATAAATTTTTTGATGTTTTATCTGATTTTGATATGGAAAGAGTGATTAGGCCAGGTGCAAAAAGGCAATATTGACAGTTTTCGGAACATCTCTTGACTTGTCAATAGGGGTATGGATGTGTATTGGCTAAATTTGTAAGATGTAAACGTTCAATATTTCTGGACTTGTACTGTACATTACACACACAAAAGATTTGACAAAAAAAAAACAGGTTTTTTTTTTAATTAGACAAAACGTTATAAAGAACTAATACAGGAACTAATTGTGATCTGTGGCCTAAGATCGAGGTTGATATCCAAAATCTTGAAAATAAAGAATGGACCAACTTTATTGGCAGAAAGTCACTTCAAATGATAAATAATATTTGTTTATTGTAATTTTAACTATATAAATCATGATTATGTGATAATGTGCATTTTTGGGCATTTTGGGGCATTTTGATGCACATGATGCACTGAACGCCCTTTGACCCCTGTTTCAGCCCTTTCTGTCAATACTGTTGGACCCCTTTTTATTTTTAGAATATATTACTACTCTTATGTCTTTCTTCAAAATGGATGCATTTTTTCAAAAATATAGACTAAAACTGAATGATAGCTCTGCACCTGGCTATAACGGGAAGTGTCAAATTTGGACAGGTTTATGTACACCTAATGGCAAATATGGGGTTATTAATTGTAAATTTCCAGATGCCAGAGGGTGGAGACAAATGCATGTGCACAGGCTTGCCTACATGGTGCATCATCAGTATATTTTTGTTGATAAAACTTATAATGTTTCGCACCTGTGCCACAATTCGAAATGCATTACTGTCGAACATCTGTCGTTGGAACCTCATGGTTTCAACAACAGCCGACAGTCATGTGTTTCAACCGTTCCTGCTTGGGCTTGCAGAGTGGAGTTAAAAATGAACAATAATAATTTGGGTAATATATTAATTGGGTACATTTATTTTTATTATTATTCTAGGGCTGGCAAAAAATTTATATCAGAATGCGAGAGTAAAAGAAAAGAAATTTCAAAACTGATGTATAACAACTTTAGATTCTTTTTTTTAATATTTGGGTGGTCCTAAAAAGGACCTTTTATGATTCTGTTTGCTGTTGATCTATTGGTGGATCAGCTGGTATCTCAGTCTGCAGCAGGTCTTGGAAGCTTTTGTTTGCAGTAGCTGTCATAGAACTGTAAGGCAGGCTGTGGATCTAATTGACCTTTGCTGTAATGGTCATGCTTTTTATTCATTTCTCTCCATGTCTTGTGCTCAGCTAGCTTTTCTGCATTGCTTTAATCTCCTTTCTTGAACTGCTGGTCTAAGTACATGATCCTGGTTGTATTTAAAGTCAGTGTCCATTTTCTTCAGGTAAAGTTGACTTCGTGTTGAAAGGTCTACTCCTAGATTCTTACATTTCAGTTGGGTTGAAGTTCCCGGCATGTTATTTTTTCTATGTACTCCTGAAGCAAGTCGTCCTTCCAAATTTATGGAGTAAATTACATTTTTGGGCAAATTTACAGTCAGTGCTCTATGTACTCCTTCATTTTTGTTTGTATTGTCATACAGTTTCATACTTTCAACAGCTGCTTTAGTTAATTTCATTTTCAGGATTTCTTGTAGTAAAAATTTGTCTGTTTTATCCATTTGCAGGGCAGTGATTTGGTATGTGGACAAGATGAACGACTCCACCAGTTAAGTGCAACATCACCTTTGCAGACAATGGAATTTTCCAGACACAGGGTGCAGTCACCATCTTAGCAGCGAAGAGTTGCATCTAGAACTTGTTTTTGTCGTACTTTTCCATCAGTTTATTTATTATCATGGAACATCTGCACTTGAGATCTTTGCTAAACACTGTCTTCAGTTGTCTATTTTCCTCTTTTGTTTTTCCATGGAACATTCCCGCATTGTATTGAGCTCGATTAGAGGCCCTGAATTGAGACTGTCCCAAATGTACTGGATCTGCCAGTCTTTCTAACTTCCACATTGGTTCGAGAGCTTTAATGACATCTTCAATACCTCTAGCTGAACGTCCATCTCCATCTGTGGTCACATACCGTACAAGAAATTTCTGTAGTCCTAGCTGGTTTCCAATCTCTTTTCCCAGCTCATTCTCTGACAGGGAAGCAGCGCTGTATAAATTTGCTGTACATGGCCTGGACATTCTATTGGAAAGCCTTTCCCTATTAAACATGGACAGAAGCTTGCTTATGATCATAAGATAGTATCCAAAAGTAAATTTTGAAAAAAAAAATCATGTTTTACTTATAAATGGAAAAAATAAAATAGTTGTTCTTCCAGTTAACATTACATACAGTCTGCAGTAAGTCTTATAAACGTTTATTAGATTCATAAACCATCCTGGATTTTTACCAAACTTGGACAGAAGCTTCTTACAATATAAAGATAGTATCTAGAGGAAAATTTTTAATAATTTTTCCACATTTTTGATGAGCCTGTGACTAACAGCAAAAGTAGACGAGACACTGGGTTCCGCAGAACCTTTACGAATTTTTGTTCTCTCAGTACATGAGTGCGCTTCGTATATGTTTAAAAAATTTAAAATGTTAGTAGACTAAAGCTTAAGAAAAGCATAGGTTTAAAGTGTCTTAAAAACGTTTATTAGATTCATAAACCATCCTGGAATTTTTACCAAACTTGGACAGAAGCTTCTTACAATATAAAGATAGTATCTAGAGGAAAATTTTTAATAATTTTTCCCCATTTTTGATGAGCCTGTGACTAACAGCAAAAGTAGACGAGACACTGGGTTCCGCAGAACCTTTACAAATTTTTGTTCTCTCAGTACATGAGTGCGCTTCATAAATGTTTAAAAAATTTAAAAATGTTAGTAGACTAAAGCTTAAGAAAAGCATAGGTTTAAAGTGTAAAATTAAAATAGAGCATTTGTTCAGATAACTGATTTTTAAAGAATTGATGGTCTTTCTTTGTTCTTTTTCGTCTGACATTTCCAATTTAATTTGCAACACACTCTTATGAAGGGCAATAATACCAATCACCACTAGTATCTTTCAAGGCATTTAAAAATACTCTGAGGCGATCAGGACTTTCTATATTTGAAAAAAAATGTTTGTGAATTTGACCCTTGAAGACAGACATTCCAACTATATCTCAGACACACCTTCTGGGGTCTTCAAGAATAATACCAAGCATCATTACTATCCTTCCCGTCATTGAAACAGGCAAAGACAAACAGATAGATAGCTATTCCTGTATACCCCTAACTATGATTCTGTGATATAGTTAGTGATAAGTATTATCTTTTCCAGGGATTATGTGATTTTATATGGCATGATAATGAAAAAAACTTTGATGTGTTTCAATTTAAATCAGATAATGAGATTCTAAATATAAATTTTATTGCTGCTTTTGTTATACTGTATAGAAGAAAAACAGTACAGCAGGGAAAAAGAGTACTGCAAAACTTTTGACGTTCTTTTCTAAAAGCATTTTATGAATTAGTATAGAAAGTGTAGGTCATTAACCTTGTTTTAAAGCTTTAGGTTGTAAAACATACATTCATTTCAAAGGATTATACTAGCATAGGATAATTATGTGAAAAGATAAAAACTAAATGACAGAACTTTGAAATAAAGTATGAGTAGGTAGCTCTTAAAGAAGATAGCACAATATAAATATATTTTCAGAAACTAAGAAATATTGGTCCTTTTTGGTTTATATACACAATATACTTTAAAATTTGAAGTAGAAAATATTGTTCAAATATAACCTTTGCATTGTACTGATTCAATCTGAGAACAAGTGAAATAAAAACAATCAAGACACATGTTTTAAAATTATTTTTTCTTTTGGCAACCCATACCTGTCAAACGATGAATGTCAAAAGGACGAGGTACGTTTTAGGGATTATTTTGCCCTGCTACTTTACCAAAAATGAAACATTAACTGATTTCAATACTTAAATACGATTATTTAAGAGTTAATAAAACAATTTTACTGTAACACAAGATAAAGTTACAGACACAGGTTATTTTTCTAACCAAAATAGACTGAATTAACAAAGAGATCAAGTGTCTCCTAAAACAGTTTTGCATGTTCTTTCCTACAAATAAAATAGTAAATATTGTGCAAAAGTTTGACATATTTCAAAATTTTCTAAAATTATTAAATCAAAATGCAGTTATTATATGACGATGAAAAACAATCTTATCAAGAATGAAAGCTTTGATGACATATGCCTTAAGATAATGCATTCACAATACTTCATATAGATGGTAAAGTAGGCAAAAATGATGAAATCAAAGGAGGAATTTAGTATATATATGGTAAACTACACATGATGACTTTGAGTCTTATGTAGACGAAACGCGCGTCTGGCGTATCAAATTATAAGCCTGGTACCTTTGATAACTATTGAGTTGAGGAGTGGGGAAGGGCGAGTAAGATTTTCTAAGATACTCTGCACTTTGACAGTTTGATATGATTTACCACGTTCATCAAACAAATACTTAAAAGCTAAAACAATTACAAAATCTTAAAAGAATACTTAATACATAACAAGCAAAAACATTAAAAAATACTTTAAAAAAAACAATAATAAACTAATTTTAACATGTTAAATAACTACTTTCTATTGACAGATTTTAATGTCAACTTTTCTAACCGAAGCATGGTGTTGTATTCATGAAAGTGTTTGAAAACCTGAAATTAGGTTTCAGTTCATCAGTTTACAAAATATATCATGTTCTGCTCACTCTACCACCATTCAATGTTCAGTGAACGGCAAAACCAGAGTAAAAATTCAGATTTGGCAAACATGTGTAACACTTAACCTCATAATGAACAAATCAAAGGGGTGACTGTGGAACACAAATATGGTAACTTTTGGTTTTCTTCTGAACGGCTGTAAAATCCTTCTGCATTTTAAGAACACTGCCAATAACTTGGCAAAATTGAAATATGGTTTGTGGTGCAAATGAAAGTTTTTTTTTAGCACAAATGAAATGCCAATTTGTGCAAAAGCAGAGCACCAGACACAATGACTAGCCTAAGCAATTGGTTTTATTTTGGGCTATGTACATATCATCAATAATATTTTATTTTGTAATTAAAACATTATGTCTGCCACAATGGAACACCAGCTTCCGCTTTTTCATCTTTTCCATCTTCTTATTCATCATCATCGTCTTCATCTTCATCATCTTCATCATCTTCTCCTACATCATCATCGTCTTCATCTTCATCATCTAATTCAGGATCAATGTTAGAATCTGAGTCCTCCTCATTCTCTTCCTGGTCAAGGTCATCAGGATCAGTAATCACCTTCTTAATAACAAGGTTCTTCTCTGTTACCACTCCTGAAGAAAAAAAGGGTGGACCCTATAAGTATCGATTATCCGGTTGTCTGCATGTTGATATTTTACAATATACATATGCAGATAACCTGATAATCGATTTATCGGGCTTTATTTGCGTCTTTTGAAAGTGTTTTCTTGGTTTCACCAGCAACCGAAAGTTGACTTGATAAGTTAGGGTCAAACCTATCAACGTCGGTTCAAACATTATGATGTTGCTGATATGTCCGGGTCAAAGTTATTAAGGCTGGGTCAACATATTTGACATCACAATGCCGTGATATGGAATAATATTAAGAGCTGAGCAGAGTGATATAGACAGTGGGACGACCGATAATTATAAATAGAAGACCACCTGCATCGATCTTAACAATGACCACATTTTAGTATAAAAAAAAAAATATAAAAAATGGTAAAATTCATCATATAAGGGCAATAACTCCTATAAGAAGTAGTATGACAGTTTTGGTGTAAATGAACAATATGTAGAGCTCAACATTTTGAACATGTTTGTCCAATTTTCAGATGTTCTCTATTTATAGCAGTTCTCAAAATAATAGGCAAAACTTGTATTTTACCCCTATGTTCTATTTTAGCCATGTCAGACATCTTGGTTGGCAGGCAAAGCCATTGGACATATTTTTCACACTAAATACACCAATGATGATTGTGGCCAAATTTTGTTGAATTTGGCCTATAGTAGTTTCAAACAAGAATATTTTTGTTAGAGTTAACAGAGAATGACGGACGCCAAGTAATGGCAAGGTAAGCTAAAAATTATGACTCCAAAAAGGTGAACCAAGGCTGTAGTGCGTATTGATAACATTGCATACCAAGTTGTCATCTTTGGGAGTCTCTATCAAAAGTAAACAGAATCAGACAGGCAGAATGGAATTGGTGCAGAATGAGGCGGAGTTAAACATATGTTTTGTGAAATCTCAACCCTCCCTCTATACCTCTAGCCAATGTGGAATAAACAAACACAAAGCAATATGCACAGTAAAACTCACTTTATTAAAAGAAGTAGAGTCTGATGTTAGAATAGGTAACAGAAGAAACTAAGCAAAATGACAATGATACATAAATTAACAAAGGATTACTATAGTGGAGTGACCAAGCCAACAAATTTTCAACTTTAATGGACCACCCTAACTGCAGGCTAAATTATGAATTTTCATATAGAGAATTGTTTAAATTTAAAATTTTGCCTAGGCCTGGTCGTAGAATTGAAAAATTGTGCAAATTTGTAAAATTTGAAGTCAAAGTTTGGAAGTTTAGTTTTTCATTTAGTGTAAAAAAAACTCAAGGGGTTATAAAAAGTCAGTAAATAATGTCCAAATTGTGAAATAGGCCAGGCATTACACCTTGTACGAATGAATAAACAATAGCAGTTCACTTTCGAGTCAATTTGAAAAAAATTGTAATCAACAAATGCCCATTTTTAGGGAAATTTAGGTGGGCAACAAGAAAAAGGCAAAGACAAAACAGGAAATGGCTTTCAATTGATATGTTGTACATTACAAGTACATTTGGAGATATATTTCTGGTTTTTACTCGGTTTCTTAAGAAAGAATTGAAGTTTATTTTGTTTTTGTTTAATCATATACCGGTTGCAAGCGGCAAATATTTCGCTATGTTACTGAATAAAATGGTGATAAGTAAACATATATTTTTCTTTTGTGAACATTGAGATAACATGGGCAGGAGCATTGACATCAGCAGCCTACTATAAACCCCATCAGAAAGAATTGCTGCAAGGGTGCACAACATTTTCAGAGAACCGGGCTTCTTATTGTTCTTCCCTGGGTTTAAACATTAAACTTACTCAAAGATGTAACCACCATCCGTGAGTTCTACTGTAATATATGTTTATGAAATAATTTTCCAATATTTCTGACTGTACATAGTTTGTTCACACATTGTTTTTATCATTGTCTTCTTTTGAAATTGCTTTGTGAGTAGGATGATTCCTACATCCCTCAGACCCTCCACACAACCAAATACTTGGAAAAGCTGAAGTGTGTTGCATACACAACTTTTATTTCAAGCTCTTTACCCGTGCATGTATAAACAAGGTCTTGGAGGAAATATGATGACATAGGTCTCTCGAAAAATCTTCAATGTCTTCAGTGCTTTGAAATAAAACCAAACACGAACTTTGACAGTTAAGGAACGCCGTCCATACTTTTGGTTCAATGCTTTTTATACAGTTTACATTTCTCTAACAATTGAGAAATGCTTAAAATAAAGGAGCCATGAGAGCATCATAGGTTTGTATTAATTCTGGGACATTACCATTAAACTGTTCGCAAATAAGAATATGCTAACTGTATTTCGAGCAAAAACTTAGAGTCAACACATATGTCATCTATCCCAGCGAAAGTTAATAACTTACTACATGTAACTATTGCCATAAAAGAATGATGGAAGCTGTGACATTCTCATATTCTTATAATGCGGGACTATAAAAGGTTTGCACAGCATTTTGCTAATCATATCAAAACATTATTCCATATTGGTATATATAATAAAGTGTAACTTTGTTTGGTGTATATGACTGGAGCATAAGGTAGAAACCGTCAACGTATATACAAATTTGAATTCTGATAGTCTTTTGTAAAAGCTGGTCCGAATTTTAGGAAAACTTTATCAGTGTTTTCTGCAGAAATAAATATTGAATCCAAGTTTTGTGTGAAATAAGTTGGATAAATATCAAAGACTGGTCCGATGTATCTACTGTTTCCCTAAAACAAACCTATCCCCATTAGCATAGGACAAACAAGATCAATGTGAAATACTAGACCCAACATTTGATTCTCCAGTGCGCTTTTTTTTCCTGTATATACGATTTATTTAGCATAATGTTTTTTTCAAACTTACACTGCAGTTTGGCTAAATCGTACTTTATTTTCAGTTCATGAAGTAGGAAGCAGTAATATTGATCATTATTTTACCAAAAGAAAACACATGACAAAGGCTTTTTGAGTACAAGCAAGTCTTCACGAATAACACAAAACAGGCAATTAGAAGCCTTCTCGTACATGTAAAACATTCAACTCATCGTTAAATCTTCTTTCTTTGGACTGCTAAGTTGAAAATATAACAGAGCAAGCCATGTAGTATAGGGCCTTGGTTTTAAACTCTTGTGAAAATGGAGTGACTTTATTTCTAAATGTCTTTTAGATAATTTTATTATTTTTTGGAGCCATCGTCAGATTCAGTGAAACCTAGATTTATTCTAAGATGTGTGCTTGCAGAACATACTACAAGTCCAGTCCAAACGCATGGGCATTTTTCTGGTCATAACAAACTAGGATATATAATAAAATAAAAGCTTGCAAAGATGTCAGCATTAGTGGACTACTAACATAGATATCTCCCGGGAATACCACTTATCTGCTTCAATTTGATTTTTAATATTTGAAAAAATATATTTTTAACTTTTAGAAAAAACATGATAAAACTTCTTTTTGGTAAAAATTTATCAGTCAAAATCTGTTTAAACCATTGTTGAATAAACCTATGATACAGAAATATCAATACTAGCATAACTTATTGACAAAAGCACAAACAATAGTATGATGAATGTTTGAAGCCATTCGTCAATAAATAGTATATCCAGACATTCATAGAATTATTAAAATGTGTCCAAAAGCATGAATTTATTAGAAAAAAAACGAGCCGGAAAGGTCTTATAACTGTAAAAAATGATGTCTTATTACTTTTGAGTGTGAATAAATTAGAAGATACTGATGCAATGTAATTTTACAAATGTTGTAACCACTCCGTGGAAATAGAACAGAGTGCATATATTCTTAAAACTGAGTGAAAACGAACACAATAGGCAAAATAGAAGAAATTATAGTTTTACAATATAGATATGTACTTAAAAGTCTTCATAAAATGCAAAATCAAGTTTGTTGACTTTAAAAAGAAACAAAAGTATATAAATGTGGAATGTGTTCATGGGACACAGATGATGACCCCGCTTGAATATAATGTTATGAAGAAACGTAGCTCAAGAATGATAAAAGTGATGGTACCCATATTCATACTTCCCGTACGAAATAAGTAGTAGGATTCCACCTAGAATCTAGTAGGAATGTAGTAGGAATCTACCTAGAATCAAAGATTCTATATAGAAAGTAGGCAGACAGGGAAAATGAACAAAATTCTGACTGGATTTTTTATTTTCTCACTAACAAAATCCTACCATCTAGCTGGAATTTTAAAAGTCTGAAGTGTATGGATTTTTTTCTGTTTTGAAAATCTTAAGTGGGAATTTGGACAGAAAATATGATTAGATTATTCATTTTCCTACTACAAGATTCCTACCAGAAATAATTTATTCCTACTAGAAAATCTTTCTACATGGAATCTTTTAATTGTCTTAAACTGCATTCCTGTTTGCTGATGACACAAATTTTGCTGTGTTAAATGTAATCACGTTCCAGTTCAGAAATTCAAAAGTTGGAGGGTAAAAGAATGAAAAGTTGTGTTTGAACACAATGTTGCAAGGGTCAAACAACTACAATATTGAAATATGAGAAAATATGGCTCATGTAGATTGAAGGTAATTTTCATACTTTTAAAATGAAATTTTTGATCTGTTTGCCAATATATTTAGTAATCAGTTAATTCAACAATAGTGCATAATTTTACTCATTATTTGTTCATAACTCTTAAATTTCATCTAATCAACATTTTTGCCCATCTACATATATAACACAATTTCTAGCTTGAATATATCACAGCTTCCTCATGTACATTTCAAAAGTCAATTTTTTTAAAATGAATATATTCAATGCATTTCCTTTGTTCTTTGTTGTTGAGATTTAAACTTAAATGATTGACCCAGATGTGTATTTGTGAATATACACTTACATTTTGTATATTTTAGATTCCTACTAGAAAATTTTTTTTTTCTATGAGGAATTTTTAAAAATTCCTACCAGGTTTTCTAGTAGGAATTTTATTTTCCCGCCAAATTATTCCTGCTAATCTAAATATTCCTGGTAGGAATATACAATATTCCTACTAAGAAATTCCTGCTAATTTATATTTTTCGGCTATTTTCTGTGTGGATTTCTACTACTGTCTGACTAGAATATTACTCTTTTCTGATAGGAATTCAATGCAATATTCCTACTATATTCCGTGTACATTCTGTGTGGAATATTTCATACAGGTTTATCCAAGTTTTGTCGTTATAAGCATTGTGTATACAAAGTTTCATAACATTTGGTTGAGGCAAACTCTCAAGTTAGAGAACGAAAACGAAAAATTCAGCAAATTTTCCATTTGTACAGGGGCATAACTCTAAAACAGTAAAAGTGACGCTACCCAAATTCACACTTGATCTGTGTTTTGTAGTAATTATCATTGTGTATAAGTTTCATAACATTTGGTTGAGGCAACTCAACTTAGAGAACGGAAACCAAAAAAAATTCAGCAATTTACCATTTGTAAAGGGGCATAACTCAAGAACGGTCATAGTGACGCTCTCCAAATTCAAACATAATCTGTGTTTTGTGGTAATTAGCATTGTGTATAAGTTTCATAACATTTGGTTGAAGCAAACTCAAGTAAAAGAACGCAAACGAAAAATTCAGCAATTTTTCCATTTGTAAAGGGGCATAACTCTAGAACAGTAATAGTAACGCTACCCAAATTCAAACTTGATAACTAGTGTACTAGTTCAGTGAAAATGGACTTCATACTAAATTAACTCCAAAACATATAAATGAACTAGAATTAAAAAAATATGCAAGACTAACAAAGGCCAGAGGTTCCTGACTTGGGACAGGTGCAAAAATGAGGTTGGATTAAACATGTTTTGTGAGATATCAACCCTCCCCCTATACCTCTAGCCAATGTAGATTCAGTGAAACTCAGTTTGAAAGAAGTCTGAGTCCAATGTCAGAATAGGCTTAGCAAAATTATAATGATACATAAATTAGAAAAGGACTACTAGCAGTTACTGACATGCCAGCTCCAGGTCTCAATTAAAATAATTACTGGTATATATAATTTACCTTTGTCATCAAAAGCAGGAGGGTAATTTAATGATTTATCTGGAATCCTTGGACCTTCAATTGTCCACTTTGTAAGAACAACTGGTTCACTGCTGGAGGTCAAGAAGGTCATACCATCTTTACCCCATTCAATGTTATCCACCTAAAAGAACAAAGGTCTAAAATATAAATTCTATCACTCAGTCTGCAAATTATAATATTTTCTTCGCCAGAAAAAAGTTGTGCTATAAGAATAAAAATGTACAGCTTGCATTAGTTTGAGGATGCTAACAATTTGTTATTATCATACTGTAAAATAAGAAAAAAATTGACGTTTATTATTGCGATTGTAACAAAAATGCGAGATTAATCATTACAATCTATGGAAAAACTGCATACAAATTTAAATGCTGTCAACACTTATCAGGGGTGTGGAAATGCCATGCCCGACTCGCCCGACTCGTACATTTGACCGACTGGACATGCAATTTTTTGTGTCTTTGTTGTCCGTGGACAAGTAAAAAAAATGTTGCTTGACAAAGTCACATTGTTAATTTATATTATCATATAAAACTAGAGGCTCTAAAGAGCCTGTGTCGCTCACCTTGGTCTATGTGCATATCAAACAAAGGACACAGATGGATTCATGACAAAATTGTGTTTTGGTGATGGTGATGTGTTTGTAGATCTTACTTTACTGAACATTCTTGCTCCTTACTATTATCTCTATCTATAATGAACTTGGCCCAGTAGTTACAGTGGAAAATATTATGTAAAAATTTACAAAAATTTACAAAATTTATGAAAATTGTAAAAAATTGACTATAAAGGGCAATAACTCCTTAAGGGGACAACTGACAATTTTGATCATGTTGACTTATTTGTAGATCTTACTTTGCTGTACATTATTGCTGTTTACAGTTTATCTCTATCTATAATAATATTCAAGATAATAACCAAAAGCTGCAAAATTTTCTTAAAATGACCAATTCAGGGGCAGTAACCCAACAACGTGTTGCCTGATTGGTCTGAAAATTTCAGGGCAGATAGATCTTGACCTAATGAACAATTTTATCCTCGTCAGATTTGCTCTAAATGCTTTGGTTTCAGAGATATGAGCCAAAAACTGCATTTTACCCTATGTACTATTTTTTAGCCATGTCGGCCATCTTGGTTGGTTGGCGGGGTCATCGGACACATTTTTAAAACTAGATACCCTAATGATGATTGTGGACAAGTTTGGTTAAATTTGTCTTAGTAGTTTCAGAGGAGAAGATTTTTGTAAAAGATAACAAAAATTTACGAAAAATGGTTAAAAATTGACTATAAAGGGCAATAACTCCTTAAGGGGTCAAATGACCATTTTGGTCAAGTTGACTTATTTGTAGATCTTGCTGAACATTATTGCCGTTTACAGTTTATCTCTATCTATAATAATATTCAAGATAATAACCAAAAACAGCAAAATTTCCTTAAAATTACCAATTCAGGGGCAGCAACCCAACAACGGGTTATCCGATTCATCTGAAAATTTCAGGGCAGATAGATCTTGACCTGATAAACAATTTTACCCAATGTCAGATTTGCTCTAAATGCTTTGGTTTCGGAGATATAAGCCAAAATCTACATTTTACCCCTATGTTCTACTTTTAGCCATGGCGACCATCTTGGTAGGTTGGCGGGGTCATCGGACACATTTTTTAAACAAGATACTTGATTGATGATTGTGTTTAAGTTTGGGTGCATTTGGCCCAGTAGTTTCAGAGGAGAAGATTTTTGTAAAAGTTTACGGACGACGAACGCAAAGTGATGAGAAAAGCTCACTTGACCTTTCAGGTCAGGTGAGCTAAAAAAGTCCTTAAAATTCATTTATGAAGTAGAAAAAATATAAAATAACAAGACGAAAGCAACATGTTTTAGTAAAACAACATCAATGATCAAGAAATAGATCGATTACCAAACAACAAAAAATAAGTATGCGGACCCGGGTTTCATTAATATTCTGTAATATTTTCCCATTGACCCGGGATTGTTGATCAGGTTATAGCAACGGTAAACCGGAAATGATCATTATTAATTTTGAGCACTGATTTCTCAGTCAAGTTGGATATGCATTGGATAGTGTTATTGCTCGGAAGTTGACCAACGGAAAAGGAGGCGCCTCATAAAAAATAAAATTTTGAGCTAAGTACTTAGTTTTTACAAGGAAGGGAAATCAGAGAGGGCAAAGCGCAAATATTATAAAAATAAATGGAATAGAGGATTTTAAAGTTCTATAATATTTTGATTTCGCTTATAATTAGTTATCTAAAAAAATCTCAAATTTACAATTGGTCCACCAAAAGTTTATTGGGAGGATAAGGAGGGGATGCAAACAACAATTCAATAATTCATCATTTATTTGGTTTCATATCTTCATTAACTAGAAAACTTCTACAATGTAGCTCATTGGTGTATACATGCTCTACTAATCTTTGTATCATTCTAATATACAAACAAAGACCATGCATTCCTTTTTTGTTGTGTTTCAGAACTGTTGTAGAAACATACACGCTAACAGAAAAATACATCTTCTTCATTCCAAAATTCATTAAGAAATCAGGGCAAGTAACTTTCCTTTTGGACAAGTAAAATTTACAATTTTACTTGACCAGGTACAAGTGGTCACAACAAATATTTCAACACCCCTGCTTATATACTTTTTATTTCTGCAAGACACCTCCTGTTACAATTTAGGCAATTATAAATGCATTGCAAAATTTCCTTTATATATCCGTAGAATGTTTGTAAGATACCAGAAATCAGAAATTTAATGTCAGCTTGATAGTAAAAGTATTTAAAAAATCAAAAACATAAGACAAATAAAGAGCTGATAAAAACTGAGTAAAGCCAAAACAAGACAAGGAATCAGAGTTATGCCCGAGGGAGATACATTCTCCAATTCAAAATGATTTCTTAAATTTCAAAACATTAAATTATAAACAATAAATGTATTTTCAAAAAAACATTTTAAAATTGTTGCAGCCTATCTATATATATATATATATATACAAGTCTAAATTGAAAACATATATACTCTCAACTTCATGCCTATTCATGCCTCAACAGGTCATTAATAAAATTGAGAATGAAAATAGGGAATGTGTCAGTGACAATAACACAACCAAAAAGCAAAAACAGCTGAAGGCCACCAATGGGTTTTCCCCACAGCGAGAAAATCCCACACCCAGATGTGGGCTTCAGCTGGCCAACCTAAACAAAAATGTGTACTTGTTCAGTGAAAATGGACTTCATACTAAATTAACTCCAAAACATATAAATGAACTAAAATTAAAAAAATATGCAAGACTAACAAAGGCCAGAGGTTCCTGACTTGGGACAGGTGCAAAAATGAGGTTGGGTTAAACATGTTTTGTGAGATATCAACCCTCCCCCTATACCTCTAGCCAATGTAGATTCAGTGAAACTCAGTTTGAAAGAAGTCTGAGTCCAATGTCAGAATAGGCTTAGCAAAATTATAATGATACATACATTAGAAAAGGACTACTAGCAGTTACTGACATGCCAGCTCCAGACCTCAATTAAACTGATTGAAAGATTATATAATTATGTCTTCATCATATGAAAATCAAGTACAATCCCTCCCGTTAGGGGTTAAGTATCAACCATCATAAAATATATGAGAAGAACATAACCTGTATCATAAAATATATGAGAAGAACATATATATAACCTGTATCATGCAAACAACTGGTTTTAGAATAAATGTGTTTATTTCAGATGCAAAGACCCTATAAATGAATCAATATTAAAATGAAAATATGCCATCTTTAATGACCTGACATCAGTATCGTAACTATATCCCTTCTGAATAATTATGGCCTTCAACAATGAGCAAAGCCCATACCGCATAGTCAGCTATAGGCCCCGAAATGTAAAACAATTCAAACGAGAAACTAATGGCCTAATTCATGTACAAAAAATGAACCAAAAACAAACATGTAACACATCAACAACCGACAACCACTGAATTACAGGCTCCTGACTTGGGACAGACACGTACATACAGAACGTTGCGGGGTTAAACATGTTAGCGGGGTCCCAACCCTCCCCCTAACCTGGGAGGTCTGTTTAAAGGTTTTGTAATTTAGACAAAAAGAAACAAGATCCTTCAAAGATAACATAAACAAGAATGTGTCCATCGTACACTGATGTCCGACTCACACTATCATTTTCAATGTTTAGTGGACCATGAAATTGGGGTCAAATCTCTAATTTGGCATTAAATTAGAAGATCAAATCATAGGGAACGTGTAAATTGATCAGACTTTAACTTCATCAAAAACTACCTTAATCAATAACTTTAACCTGGAGAGGAACGAAAGCAGAACAGACGCACAGACAGAAAAACATAATTAATGCCCCTAGGTGGGGCATAAAAATATACACAACAAGAATGTGTCCATAGTACACGAATGCCCCACTCGCACTATCATTTTTTATGTTCAGTGGACCGTGAAATTGGGGTAAAACCTCTAATTTGGCATTGAAATTAGAAAGATTATATCAAAGGGAATATGTGTACTAAGTTTCAAGTTGATTGGACTTCAACTCCATCAAAAACTACCTTGACCAAAATCTTTAACCTAAAGCGGGACAGACCAACGAACGAACGGAAGGACAAACAGACCAGAAATCATAATGCCCCTCTATTATCGTAGGTGGGGCATAAAAATTAATACTTTGCAACAAATAAATACAAATCTCACAGGCTCATCAAGTCTAAATGCTGCTATTTCTTCAAATGTTTTTTTGTCCCACAGCCTCATCATCAGATTTTCACTCTCACAATAGGTCAGTATGTATGGAGATTGTGGTACATGGTACATCACTGGAAATGATGATCTGTGTCCTGGAATCCTGGCAAGTAAGGATCCTAAAATGCAAAAAAAAAGACACCTGATGATGTGCAATAGAAAGGAAAAGATATAGGGTATCCATCAATGACACAAAATCTGTGCCAAGTGCACAGCAAAAAGGTGGGTATCAATTTTCGTGGTTTGAGTAAAAGTAACATGTTCGTGGGTTCTTAAATTTGTGGAATTTAGTTTTCGGAAGAAAAAAAAATCGGGTGGTGAGAAAATTGAACCATTGGAAACAATGAATGTTGAAAATATTCATATGGTGTTTATTTTCACTTACATGTTCATCTTTTATTTCTCAAATTTTTAATAAAATAATTGCTTTCAGAAATAAGCTGATTATCTCTGAATACATTTGTCTCATTGAAGGAAATTGCAAAGAAAACATTTTAATTGTTGCACACATGTGATCAGAAATGGTGACACTTATTATACTGTTCAAATGATCAACAGATTTACGATCATCAAAATTTTTGATTGGGCCATAAACATGTCATTTAAAGACAAAGGTCGCATAAAAAATGTTACAAATATGCTTCGAATTAATATTTATAAAATATATAATACGTGTGAAATAAAAAGGAAACCCAATATGAAATCTTTTTTTTTCTTGAAAATTATTATTATAATTAGGAGACAAAATGAACACTTCATCATCATATATCTTCCCCTGAAGTCTGACTTTTGTCTTTCAAAACTATGTTTTTGTGGGAAATAAAAGTTACAAAGTGGTATAACTTAGCATTAAAAGATTAATATCCTGTCTGAGGTATTACTTGCTACAGTCTGGTGCCTTGCCTTTAAATATCGATCAAAGTGCATTTGTTGATATTCGATGTTTTCTCTAGATTATAGGTCTGTATCTTAGTAGTCAAACCCTAGCTAGGAGATTTTTCCATGTATTGAAATGGACAACAGTTGTTGTATTTTATTGGACACTTAAATTCGTGGATAAAGCCTTCCACGAAAACCACGAAAATTGGTACCCCACGAATAAAAATACTTTCACAGTAGTACAATTTATCATTGTTAAAGCGTAATCACAGTTTTAATGTAATTAGACAATTGGTAGAGCTCAACATACTAAACATTTGTCCCCATGTCAGATTTTATCTATTCATCATGGTTTTCCAAATATTAGAAAATACTTGCATTTTACCCCTATGTTCTATTTTTAGCCATGCCGATTAACTGAGTCTTTTTACTAGATACCCTAATGATGATTAAAATTTGGTACAGTAGTTTCAGAGGAGAAGATTTTGGTAAAAGATAACAGACATCAACACAGACAAAGAAAAACAGACGGATGCCAAGTGGTAAGAAAAGCTCACTTTGTCTTAGGGTCAGGTGAGCTAAAAAGTACTTTTTATTTAGATTTACTTAAAGAATCCTTTATCATTAATTAAATAATTGACAAATTAATTGGAAGATTTTAGATCTAAGTAAATATCTGAGATGAACCTGTTTCATTTGATAGATGACTTTTGATTTAAATAATGAACAACTTTATCAGAAGATAAATACATAAACTGTTGACACAGAGATAAGTCTTACCATTATGTTATTTTGATGAGAGCAATTGACAATACAACATGTAACACATACAAAACATTTAAAATCAATGGACCATTTGGCCAAACAACCTCTGTGGAAATTGGAAATGCCAATACTTATATTATCAACATCCCATTAGTGAATCATTTAAAAAAATAAACTAATCTAATACTTTAACATGTAACCTAATCAAAAGATTCTACTTTGATAGACCATGATTGAGAACAGGAAAAAATCACTTCAATAGAAATGAGATGTGATAATGCTAATACAAATGCATACCCATTATCATTGAACTTAACTACTGACGGTTCCCCTTACACTGACCTAATCACAAACTAATACATTGTTGACATTGAGCTGCCACTAAAACAGCATGCCTAAGTCTTAATTTCAACTTTGAGGAGGGGAGGCAATATTCCTTTCTTGGATATTTACTAAAATTAATTTCCTATAAAAACCAGATTACATCTAATAAAGCATTCATCATTCAATATCTGACCTATTTAGAAGAGAAATTAATTAAAATTGAGATAAAGATCTAAAAGAAGGCCTTTTCATTGATATCTGGCCTCTTTATGAATGATTTATTGAGATCCAAGTTTAAGGTGGTACATAACACTCAAGGAATATAACTCTGTAAAAGTCAAATGAACGTTTTAATCACATTCTATTGTTGAGGAAATATTAAGCTTCTCAATGATTAATATACACTGTAAGTGTTTGTCAAACTGCTATATATCCAATGAAATTTTTTCTAAAAAGTGTGTGGTTCAAGTTTTTTTTTTAATTTTTATATTTTTGTCAAAGGGTCAAAGAAAATGTACTGTCAAAATTTTATAAAAATTAAACTAGCCAAATTAATTTAGTCAAGGTGTTTGGTACCATCTTAAATCTAAGAAAGTTCTTTTAAATTGGATGTCCCATATTTATCTCCATACTTTCATTTTCAGTTGTTTATTTACTTTCAAGTATGTTGTTGCCAAATAACTTACCATTATTTGTTGCCCATTGTCTTAATGTCAGTTGACATACATGTCCAAGTATGCTGTTGCCCAATAACATACCATTATCTGTTGCCCATAGTCTTAATGCCAGTTGAGATACATGTCCAAGTATGCTGTTGCCATATGGCTTACCATTATTTGTTGCCCATTGTCCTAATGCCAGTTGACATACATGTCCAAGTATTTTGTTGCCAAATGACACCATTATCTGTTGCCCATTGTCCTAATGCTAGTTGAAAATACATGTCCAAGTATGTTGTAGCCAAATAACTTACCATTATCTGTTGCCCATAGTCTTCATGTCAGATGACATACATGTCCAAGTATGCTGTTGCCAAATAACTTACCATTATCTGTAGCCCATAGTCTTAATGCCAGTTGACAGATATGTCCAAGCATGTTGTTGCCAAATAACTTACCATAATCTGTAGCCCATAGTCTTAATGCCAGTTGACATATATATCCAATCATGTTGTTGCCTAAAAACTAACCATAATCTGTTGACCATAGTCTTAATGCCAGTTGACATATATGTCCAAGCATGCTGTTGAAAAATAACTTACCATTATATGTTGCCCATAATCTTAATGCGAGTTGACATATATGTCCAAGCATGCTATTGAAATAACTTACCATTATCTGTTGCCCATAGCCTTAATGCCAGTTGACATATATATGTCCAAACATGATGTAGCCAAATAACTAACCATTATCTGTTGCCCATAGTCTTAATATCAGTTGACATATATGTCCAAGCATGGTGTTGCCCAATAACTTACCATAATCTGTTGCCCATAGTCTAAAGGCCAGTTGACATATATGTCAAAGCATGCTGTTGCAAAATAACTAACCATTATCTGTTGCCCATAGTCCTAATGCTAGTTGACAGATATGTCCAAGCATGATGTTGCCAAATAACTAACCATTATCTGTTGCCCATAGCCTTAATGTCAGTTGACATATATATGTCCAAGCATGTTGTAGCAAAATAACTTACCATTTTCTGTTGCCCATAGTCTTAATGTCAGTTGACATACATGTCCAAGCATGTTGTTGCCCAATAACTTACCAAATCTGTTGCCCATAGTCTTAATACCAGTTGACATATATATCCAAGCATGCTGTTGCCAAATAACTTACCATTATCTGTTGCCCATAATCTTAATGCCAGTTGACATATATGTCCAAGCATGCTGTTGCCAAATAACTAACCATTACCTGTTGCCCAAAATCGTAATGCCAGTTGACATATATATGTCCAAGCATGCTGTAGCCAAATAACTTACCATTATCTGTTGCCCATAGTCTTAATGTCAGTTGACATACATGTCCAACACATGTCCAAGTATGCTGTTGCCAAATAACTTACCATTATCTGTAGCCCATAGTCTTAATGCCAGTTGACATACATGTCCAAGCATGTTGTTGCCCAATAACTTACCATAATCTGTAGCCCATAGTCTTAATGCCAGTTGACAAATATGTCCAAGCATGGTGTTGCCCAATAACTTACCATAATATGTTGCCCATAGTCTAAAGGCCAGTTGCCATATATGTCCAAGCATGCTGTTGCCAAATAACTTACCATTATCTGTTGCCCATAATCTTAATGCCAGTTGACAGATCAAGCATGATGTTGCCAAATAACTAACCATTATCTGTTGCCCATAGCCTTATATCAGTTGACATATATATGTCCAAGCATGTTGTAGCAAAATAACTTACTATTATCTGTTGCCCATAGTCTTAATGTCAGTTGACATACATGTCCAAGTATGCTGTTGCCAAATAACTTACCATTACCTGTAGCCCTTAGTCTTAATGTCAGTTGACATATATGTCCAAGCATGTTGTTGCCCAACAACTTACCATAATCTGTAGCCCATAGTCTTAATTCCAGTTGACATATATGTCCAAGCATGTTGTTGCCCAATAACTTACCATAATCTGTTGCCCATAGTCTTAATGTCAGTTGACATACATGTCCAACACATGTCCAAGTATGCTGTTGCCCAATAACTTACAATTTTCTGTTGCCCATAGTCTTAATGTCAGTTGACATACATGTCCAACACATGTCCAAGTATGCTGTTGCTAAATAATTACCATTATCTGTTGCCCATAGTCTCAATAGGTCATCTTGGTGGTTGGTTAATATTCTATCATCATCTAACAAGACAGCTTGTTGGTTTTCATAGTTAACTGATGTTGAATATCCTCTGTCTAAATTATATTCAGGATCAACCAAAATCTTTCTTAGTTTATCTGTAAAGAAAATATTGTAAATTGTTGGAAAAGAAAATATGCAAAATTTTGTTTATAAATTATTAAACAAGAGTGCACACGCTGAAATGTCTCGCCTTCTTTACTAATCATTGATATTATGTTGATAGTCCTAAATATAAAGCTTTATTACAACTGTCACATAAACTTAACATTAACCAAGTAAACTAAACATTGACCAATGAACCATGAAAATGAGGTCAAGGTCAGATGAACCATGCTAGGCAGGCATGTACAGCTAACAATTCTTCCATACAACAAATATAGTTGACCTATTGCTTATAGTTTAAGAAAAACAGACGAAAACACAAAAACTTAACACTGAGCAATGAACCTTGAAAATGAGGTCAAGGTCAAATAAAACCTGCGTGACTGACATATAGATCATAAAATATTTCCATACACCAAATATAGTTGAACTATTGCATATAGTATTAGAAAAAAAGACCAAAACTCAAAAACTTAACTTTGACCACTGAACCATGAAAATGAGGTCAAGGTAAGATGACACCTGCCAGCTAGACATATACACCTTACAATCATTCCATACACCAAATATAGCTGACCTATTGCATGCAGTATTAGAAAAAAAGACCAAAACTCAAAAACTTAACTTTGACCACTGAACCATGAAAATGAGGTCAAGGTCAGATGACACCTGCCAGCTAGACATGTACACCTTACAATCATTCCATACACCAAATATAGTAGACCTATTGCATACAGTATAAGAAAAACAGACCAAAACACAAAAACTTAACTATAACCACTGAACCATGAAAATGAGGTCAAGGTCAGATGACACCTGCCAGTTGGACATGTACACCTTACAGTCCTTCCATACACCGAATATACTAGACCTATTGCTTATAGTATCTGAGATATGGACTTGACCACGAAAACTTAACCTTGTTCACTGATCCATGAAATGAGGTCGAGGTCAAGTGAAAACTGTCTGACGGGCATGAGGACCTTGCAAGGTACGCACATACCAAATATAGTTATCCTATTACTTATAATAAGAGAGAATTTAACATTACAAAAAATCTGAACTTTTTTTTCAAGTAGTCACTGAACCATGAAAATGAGGTCAAGGACATTGGACATGTGACTGACTGAAACTTCGTAACATGAGGCATCCATATACAAAGTATGAAGCATCCAGGTCTTCCATCTTCTAAAATATAAAGCTTTTAAGAAGTTAGCTAACGCCGCCGCCGCCGCCGTAGCCGCCGCCGCCGCCGCCGCCGGATCGCTATCCCTATGTCGAGCTTTCTGCGACAAAAGTCGCAGGCTCGACAAAAATTGGACCAAACAACACAAATAAAGCATAGTTAAGGGGTCATAACCTTGTGGTTTATAATATGAGGTGCACAAAAGAAATTATTTTGTATTCATATATATATCACAACAATTTTTGTGTGAAATTTAATTTGTAGCATTTTGGCCCTATTTATAATACATAAAAAATCTAAGGGCCAATTATATCCCCTCAAAAACCTACTCCTTTCATGTTTTTTAAAGTCAATGTACACATCATTGTTCATTTTACTTTGCAACTCTTCAATCATGCTAATATGCTCTAATTGAAATATCTGGAAGTAGAAACAACAACAATTTTGAACGTGAAGCAAAGGAGGTAAAATTCAGTGAACCTGTATTCTTTCATACTGTGATAAATAAAACTCAACATCATCAACAGGCCTTATATATACAGTCAGTAACTGTATACCACACATTGCATTTTGACAATGCAAATTGAAAATCAAATTGAACAAATGACCGAACAACTCAAGAGCACATGGGTGAATAATCAGTGTTGTTTTGTCACCAGTTGAATTTAAATTAGTTATTCTTTTAATTTAATTTCAGCAGAAAATATAAAGAACTATAACTTCTACATATAATCACTTTATTTCGAAACAACTTCAGAAAAAAGTTTTGAACACACCATTTGTAGCAGAGCAGTAAAAATACACGAGACATTTCTCATGTGATATCTATCTTTATTTGTCATGGAAATCAGTTTTTCTACTGCAAGCAATGTTAACAATGGTTGTCTGCTGAACTTATTTTAAACTTGGCAGGACGTGGAGCCAATTGGAGATTATAATTAAGGCACATGTTATATTACATTGAGCGGTGATCAGAATGTCTATTTTGATTAAAGTGGAAAATTAAATGCATATTCAGAACAAGAGCATGATAATGTCATATGAATATGAACCCTTCTTTGTATTAGACCCACAAACTTAGCCTGATTGTTAACATGCTATTTCACAAGGTAAAAGTCAGCAGAAAGACATGTCACCCTACCCTGACACATTTACTCCAAGCCAACCAGTGTTTGTTCTTACAATTAAGTGGTTAGTGGAGAAGCATTAAATACCTATTTTGAAATCTTTGGATTAAACTGGATGGGGATAGAACCTATGACGTACCTGCTGCACTCAAAGCAAGCATGCTACCAAGAGACCACCTAGGAGGTAGATTAGGTTGACAACGGGTTGATATTCATTAAGATATTCATTTCATCATACCTCGACTTAGATCCCACAAATACATTGTCCACTCATCATTTTCATCATTACCAGCAACTGCAATAAAACTGCCATTGTTCGGTAGAAGCATAGTCTCTCCGAAAAAGTCACCGATATCTAAACGGCTAGAAATTAATATTTTTATAATTTTTCTGGTCTCAACGTCTATCACTACCACTTTCATACGATCGAAATAACTACTTGATGCCTTCATCAGAATTGACATCATAGTACCATTGGCATTAGTCTACAACAGAAGAAAACAATGAAGTCATTTTATCTAATACTGTGGATTCATTATTATTTGTGGCTATGGGGTACCAATTTTTGTGCATTTCATGAGTAATGGTTAACTACGAATTTAAATGTTGAAAGAAGTTTCAATTTTCTTAAAGTTTGTACACAGATTTTGGCTAATCCATGAAATCAAATATTCACGAAAATACAATTTTTCCTCAATCCACGAAAAATAGGTACCCACGAAAATAAATGAATCGAGATTTTTGTGGGTTTTTTTTTTTTTTGGGGGGGGGGGGGGGATTTTCTAACCCTGTTAATGATGTCACATGACCACATCAGAGAAGAACCAAGTTTCACATATCACTATGCTGATATATATTCATATAACTTTTCTACAAACAAAAGTTGCATCAATATCTGTCCCCCAAAAAAAAAGCTTTCTGAGAGTATTTACATACTTAAAGAATTATTATCCAAATTTGTTTTCCTCCAAAGATTCTAGTAACACCTATTTGTCAGATATAAAAGATAAACATATGGAGATGTGATATAATTGTCAATCAGACAACTATACACTTAGAGACTAGAGGACTTAAATGTACAGGTCATAATATAGCCTTTAGCAATACTGGTAGTCAAAACACATACAATATATGAGCTGCGTTGGATAGAAATTTACCTTATGCAAGTGCATGTTTACATGTATATGTAAAAGACTTTGATTGATTTTGGAACATTTAAGTACAAAATGAAAGATGAAATTTGGTCTGTTTTGTAGAGTTCTTATAACAACTCAATTTTCAAATAGTTAGACTTTGCAAAGAAATTTTTTCAACCCGAAATAGGATGACAGATGTAATGATATTCATTTTGCATAAGGTCGATTTCTATCCCACACAGCTCACATATAGTAAGCTATCAAAGGGAAGATTTTTGTTTTAGGTTTTTGGCTGTATAAGACAGTAAAGAAGTAAAACAACAAAACATACAGTCATGGTATGAAAGAGGGTGCCCTTGATGAAGGAGGACCACATTCACAGCATATCACAACTTGGCCCTGAAAAAATATTCCATGGTCCCTCCAGTTTGAAAGAGGGTAGGAAAACCTGATAGAAGATGGAGAAAGGTTTACACTGAACTTTTAAATGTTTGAAATAAAATCTGCAAAAATGAAGGAAAAGGTTTACACTGAACTTTTAAATATTTGAAATAAAATCTGCAAAAATGAGGGAAAACAAGAATGTGTCAATAGTACATGGATGCCCTTCTCCCACTATCATTTTCTATATATATATATGTTCAGTGGACCACGAAAATTGGGGTCAAAACTCTAATTTGGCATTAAAAAAGAAAGATCATATCATAGGGAACATGTGTACTAAGTTCAAGTTGAGTGGACTTCAGCTTCATTAAAAACTATCTTGACCAAAAACTTTAACCTGAAGCAGGACAGAAAAACAAATGTATGGACGAATGAACGAATGGATACACAGACCGAAAAAAACATAATGCCCCTTGGTGGAGCATAAAAAACATTAAACAATAAATGGAAAGTGCCAAACCTCAAAATGTTTGCCATCATTCTGTGAAGTTGTGAGGAAAACGGTTGTTAACTTCTATGTCATTTGGTCTCATGTGGAGAGTTTTCTCATTGGAAATCATACCACATCTTCTTTTGACATATAAAGCAAAAATTGTAAACTATTTTAAAAATTTGCTGAAGAAATAATTACTTCTGTTATGTTTCAGGGATCTGGTTGGAAAAGAGTAGGAGTAGTTGGTTAGACAAAACTGGCATCAACTCTGTAAAGGAGTAAGGGCATTAAGGCCCGGTTTTGGCCCAAGAAAATAAAATGTTTGACAACTATTTCAAATTGGCACTTAATGTTTGGAAATGCATAGAGTCATGAAATATAAATGAAAAATATAAAGATTTTCATCTGATGACGTCACAATTACGTCATAATCTGTATTGTTTTTACAAAAACAATGAAAAATACAGAATTTATGCAGTTTTCTGTCATTATTTCCATTGTGGAAGCATCGTGCGCAGCCAAGAAACAACAAAATAATTTAAGAGAAGCTTTGTTATAACTATTGACGTAATCTCACCAAATATAAAGTTGTTTCTTGGGTGCGCACATACTTTTCCAATCTAAACTTTACTTAAAATTTGATGAAAATCAAGAAATTTTACAAAATATGCAAATTTTTGTCATAGTTTGTGGCCATGGTAACTCGTTCAATGTGAAATTTGTTTTTATTTTCTGAATACCTTGTAACTAAGTCTAGTTTGGACAAATATAAGAATATGTACGATAACTTTTAAATTTGCAGTAATATTTGGGCCAAATAAGGGCCTTATTGCCCCTACTCCTTTTGATGAAAATTATTAAAATTTACATGTCTGGAAAAATGGGAAATTTTCCTCAAACAATTCTATAATCAAAGTGCACACAACTTCCACATCAGGGCAAACATTTTTGTGAAGATTCAGGGATTAAGTTGTAGGAAGTCCTAAAATTGTATGCCCAAAATGGGTTTATCATTAAATCCCATTTTGCCATTGCTTCCAGGGTGGATATGTTCAAAAATTCATCCACTGACAGTGACAATAGTTTTCTCTCATGAAAACTAGTCATCTCATGAAAACTAGTAGATGACTAGTCATTTCATTAAAATTAGTAGATGACTAGTCATCTAATAAAAACTAGTCATCTCATTAAAATTAGTCATCTAATAAAAACTAGTCATCTCTTAAAAACTAGTCATCTCATAAAAACTAGTAGATGACTAGTAATTTCATAAAAACTAGTCATCTCATTAAAACTAGTAGATGACTAGTCAACTTGTAAAAACAAGTCATCTCATTAAAACTAGTCACATGAGTAAAATTTGGTCATTGGTAAAGTACATACAGCAATATAACCACCAATATAGCTCCTCAATGTGTCTGGAAATTTTAAGATGTCAGTTGCTTTGTGGGACTTCATATTATAAAACTTCAAATGTTTGCCGTTTCTTGTTGCTGTTACATATTCTGAAAATAATATAACAAAATTAGTTAGTTTTCCAAGTAAGATGTTTGTCTTCTGCAGTCTCCAAATAATATAAGCAGGAAAGGCCAAGTCCATATTTTTTAAACGAGACCCCTAAAACCCACCCAGATAAAAAATTAAAATAGTGAGTGCATAACTTCACGTCCACTAGTCTAGAAGAATATGTGCTATTTGGTTGAATTCTGCATTTGTTTTAAAGAAGTACAACTTCGTTGATTTCTGCATTGTATTAAGAAGTAATAGATTAACACACTAATACTGTAATCAATTATTTCAGCAGATACCTTATTTCAGGTTTAGCCCTTTCTAGTTGATTCACATGGATTTATTTTCCATGATGTTAAGGTTGTTGGTCTATTCATATAATAGACTATGTGATCCCCTGCACTCCACTCTGAAGTAACTGTATTATAACAAAGTCAATGTAGGACTTTGAGATATTATTGTGTCTAAGAGACACAAATGATGCCCCCGCAGATGCAAAGTGTTATTTTAAAATACAGAAAGTTGATTATGGGAGCACATAGGTCTATGGTTCACTATAGAAAGAGTTATCTGTAAACACTATGCACCTCTTAAGCAAGTATATGCTACAAAAATGATAAAGTTCAACTATCTCCCAAAAGAAGAAATATTAACTAAAATCAAAACCCTGACCACATGCACACCTTTAATATATGTACCAGCAGCAAGCAAAGTGAAAACTTCCTAGCATTCAAACTCTAGGAGTACTTATCTGGAATAGCTATATACCCATAAAGGGAGGGATGGAAGGACTCAGGGATAGATGGTCGGAATGATGGATGGACAGACGGACAGAGGGACAGGGGTAAAAAAAAAGAAAAGATCCAGGTTTTCCATGTTCACAATGATTTATTCCTGTTTTTTTTTTTCAATTTGCGAAGAAAATTAATTGGTTTACAGTATAAGCAAAAATTGCCGGGTCCATCCTAGGTATGGGAAACTACAAAAATCCCTCATAACAAAAATTAATTAGCTGGTGCAGGGACTTTCTATACTAACGGGACTCGACTCTATTTGATTTTAATTAAATAACTAAGCCTCCTGTGTAAAGCTACCACCCAACAAAAAACCCAGTTTCGTATCTCAGATATACGAAGCTAGTAGTTATTTGCGTATTTCAAAGTGGATTGTAATTTAATGTTTTCTAATATAAAATCTGATTAATAGCCATTTAGTGTGACAAAAAATATAAGGTTTTAAAAGAAAGCTAAATTATTAAACTGAGACATATCACTTTGAAGAACACTCCAGTCGTGCAAAAGGGGTTACACTTTGAACAAGAGGCTCTCAAGAGCCTGAATTGCTCACCTGTATTTCAGAGGAGAAGATTTTTAAATGTTAGCAAACTTGATGAACTAATTGTGTAAAATTGTCTTTAAAGGGCAATAACTCCTTAAGGGGTCAATGGACAATTTTGGTCATATTAACTTTTTTGTAGATCTTACTTTGCTGAACATTATTGCGGCTTACAGTTTATATATATCTATAATAATATTCAAAATAATAACAAAAAACTGCAAAATTTTGTTAAAACTACCAATTCGGTGGCAACAACCCAACAATGGGTTGTTCGATTCGTCTGATAATTTCAGGGCCGATAGATCTTGACCAATTAAATAATTTTACCCCATGTCACATATGCTCTAAAAGATTTAGTTTTTGAGATAGAAGCCAAAAACTGCATTTGACCCTTATGTTCTATTTTAAGCCATGGCGGCCATGTTTGTCTATGGATACAAACTTCGGATACAATTTATAAACAAGATACCCTAAATAACATTTAGTTAAAGTTTGAAGGTAATTGGCCCAGTAGTTTCAGAGGAGAAGATTTTTAAATGTTAGCAAACTTGATGAACAAATTGTGTAAAATTGTCTTTAAAGGGCAATAACTCCTTAAGGGGTCAATTGACAATTATGGTCATATTAACTTTTTTGTAGATCTTACTTTGCCGAACATTATTGCTGCTTACAGTTTATATATATCTATAATAATATTCAAAATAATAACAAAAAACTGCAAAATTTTGTTAAAACTACCAATTCGGTGGCAGCAACCCAACAATGGGTTGTTCGATCCGTCTGAAAATTTCAGGGCCGCTACATCTTGACCAATTAAACAATTTAACCCCATGTCACATTTGCTCTATAAGATTTAGTTTTTGAGATATAAGCCAAAAACTGCATTTGACCCTTATGTTCTATTTTTAGCCATGGCGGCCATGTTTGTCTATGGATACAAACTTCGGATACAATTTATAAACAAGATACCCTAAGGAACATTTAATTAAAGTTTGAAGGTAATTGGCCCTGTAGTTTCAGAGGAGAAGATTTTTAAATGTTAGCAAACTTGATGAACAAATTGTGTAAAATTGTCTTTAAAGGGCAATAACTCCTTAAGGGGTCAATTGACAATTATGGTCATATTAACTTTTTTGTAGATCTTACTTTGCTGAACATTATTGCTGCTTACAGTTTATATATATCTTTAATAATATTCAAAATAATAACAAAAAACTGCAAAATTTTGTTAAAACTACAGATTCGGTGGCAGCAACCCAACAATTGGGATGTTCGATTCGTCTGAAAATTTCAGAGCTGATAAATGTTGACCAATTGAACAATTTTAACCCATGTCAGATTTGCTCTAAAAGCTTTAGTTTTTGAGATATAAGCCAAAAACTGCATTTGACCCCTATGTTCTATTTTTAGCCATGGTGGCCATTTTTGTCGATGGATCAAAACTTCGGAAACACTTTATAAACTAGATACCCTAAGGAACATTTAGTTAAAGTTTGAAGGTATTTGGCCCAGTAGTTTCAGAGGAGAAGATTTTTTAAATAGTTTACGACGACAGACGACGACGATGGATGCCAAGTGATGGCATAAGCTCACATGGGGCCCAAACCCCGGTGAGCTAACAAGATGGAGGCCACTTGAAATTTACAAACAAAATACATCAAAGTTCTATATTTTTAAAACTCTCCGAGAAATCTTTTCAAAAACAGCATTTTGCAATGACAAAATGTGTAAAATTTTATAAAAATGTTACTTCATTAATCTTGAACATATAATTATGAAGAACACTTCGTAAATGTGAAATGATTTGCTATGAAGTCAGGTGACATCAGCGAAGGCACAGTTCTGTCTGCAAATTTTATTGACATTGTTATAAGTGACGAATCCCGTTAGTATAGACTGTCCCTGGCTGGTGCAAAACTTCATGTTCTGTAAAACCTGTGCAAGCCTATTTTAAGGAATAACAGATGTCAAAGCATGACAGGGATGAGCATATATATATTTATTGATTGATTGCTGGTCTCTTTGCTCTATTGTTTGGGCCAGTTATTATTGGTGGAGGAAGCTGGAGTGCCCATGGGGAACCACCAATCTACAGCAGGAAAGTTTGGCAATCCTAATCAATTAAAAGCTAGTCAATCACACCTGCTGTATGTTAGGATCCAACTCACAACCTCAGTGTTGACAGGCTAGAGACACTGTAGATGAACTACTTAGACCACTTAGAAACAAAGGGTCAGCAAGACAATACTGAATAGAAGTAATGCCTATGTTTCTCTACAGTAACAACTTCACCATCAGTCTATGTCTTAAAATGAGTAGTATATGCAAAACACAAAATACTTTTTAAAATTGAGATTTTTATGTAGATAATTTCAAAATATTCTCACTGAAAGAATGAAAACTTTTAGTCCTAAAAAAATTCCCAATATGCGTAACATATGTATTTCATTACTGTAAAATCAGAAATTTTTGGTAAAGTTTTTATTAATGTGAAAAATTCAATTTGGAGATTATCATGATTATTGCACTAATAAAAACTCACAACTTGATATCTGATACATATATCTGTAAGCAGATTTGCAATAAATCACATTAGTTAATCTCACATTGTTATCCATTCATCAAAAATCAGTATAATAAATGCACACAATAATCATTGATAATTTCCAGTAAATTTACTGTATTATATCGACAGATATTTGTTTAAATCAACTTTATTCTAATAGTATTATAATCCTACCTTTGCCATAGTTAACCATAACAACGGGAACAGAATTATACATTTCACCCTGAATCGGTGTTTCCTTCATCTCTTTCAAGTCTATAAGATGTAAACCATACACAACACAGTATCCACTGAAGTTCATTACTGCTCTCATGTCATCTATGAACACCAAACTTTGAGGCAAAGCCTTAAAACAAAATGATGCAATTAAATACCTATTTTCATATGTAAATTTGCTATAATAGGGGTTTCAACAATTTAAAATACCCCAAAAAGGTCAGTGTGGAAGGTGTAATGTTTTGTATATAAATAGGAAGATGTGGTACGAGTGCTAAAGAGACAATTCTCCATCCAGTTTAAAAAAATATATAACTTCTTCATTTATTGAGTCCTGAACACATAAAAAAGACCTAAAAAAGGCTGTCAAATGTCCGAGCAATCATAACTAGCTATAAATATATGGTATTATAAAAACACTAGGTGAATTGATTACCAAAAGTTATGTATATTTATAGAGAAAAAAAAAAGGATAATTTTGAAGGATTTTCCTGTTTGGATATTGATATACAACAATTGGAGCCCCAAGTTCCATTCCCAAATCAGGCCGCTGGACATTTGAGCAATCATGGATTAAACAAAGAATAGACAAAAAACTAGTTCAAAACCCTTATTTAGTAAATATTTTTAAAAGTTCACATCATAACAAACTTCTGAATTGATATGACCACAACTAAATGTTCAACATTTTTATATTTAAGGGGGTATAAAACACTGAAGGGAGTTATTTCTTTAAAATCAGAAGAACGTTTTAATTACATACTATTAGTAAAGTAAATATTTTAACAAAATTTTAGGAAAATTAAAAGAGCCAAATCTATTTTAGTCAAAGTGTTGGGTACCCCCTTAATCTTTTCAATGTATACAGTACAGACTGGGCAGACATAAAAATATATGAATACACTTAAATCGATCTTGACTATCTAAAGAGCAAATAAGTACATTACATTGATGTTGGCTTCAGAAACAATTTTCTTGTCCATGGAATCATATACCATTATTTTCTTCATCTTCTTTGCTTTAACAATGACCAAAGCATAACGGCTATTCGGCATGACTTGGAAAAGGCTGAAAGGTTAAATTAGTGAATTACAAGTAGATAAATTATTCTTGACTGTTATTTTGTAAGTTTCACATTTTTGCTTGATGCCATAAGGTTTGTATAAACAGGGATACAGCAGATGAATGGGAAGGGGGTATCAACAAACAAACTTGGGTACAAATGTCCAGCTGGGGTCTTAAAGCCAGCCCCATTCATATATTTATATTTTTGGGGAAATCCATACCAATATTTATATCAATATTTCATTGGAAAATCATAACCCTTTCATATATTTCCAAGCAATTACATATACATACAATCTTAGTTTTTGAGCTGGCATGTCAGTAATTGCTAGTAGTCCTTTGTTAATTTATGTATCATTGTCATTTTGCTTAGTTTCTTCTGTTACCTATTCTGACATAGGAATCAGACTTCTTTTTAACTAAGTTTTACAGTGCGCATTGCTGTGTATTCTTTCAAAGACTTTTTTTTAAGCCTGTCCAAAGTCAGGAGCCGCTGGCCTTTGTTAGTCTTGTATGTTTTTTTTAATTTTAGTTCATTTATATGTTTTCGAGTTAAGTGTGCGTCCATTTTCATTGAACTAGTACACATTTTTGTTTAGGGGCAAACTGAAGCCTGCTTCCGGGTACAGGATTTTCTCACTGTGTTGAATACCCGTTGGTGGCCTTGGGCTGTTTTCTGCTCTTTGGACTGTTTATTTGTAGTCTCTTTAACACATTCCGCATTTCCATTCTGAATTTCAATTCTAATCTGTACATGACATCTTATCCAACCAGGATCATTCATATTAATTAAATAAAATTTGCAAGGGTTCCCCGGAACCCAGTGCCTCGCCTATTTTTGCTACAAAAGTCGCAGGCTCAACAAAAATGGGGGAGATATTATTAAAAATTTTCCTCTAGATACTATCTTTTGATTGAAAGAAGCTTGTGTCCAAGTTTGGTAAAAATCCAGGATGGTTTATGAATCTAATAAATGTTTTAAAAACTTGAACTGCAGACTGTATATGTAATGTTAACTGGAGGAAAAAGTCCATTTATAAGTAATATACGGAAAAACAGGAAATAAATTTTTACAAAATTTCCTTCTAGATACTGGCTTTTGAGCATAAACAAGCTTCTGTTCAAGTTTGGTAGAAATCCAGGATAGTTTAAGAAAGTTATTGAAATTTCAAAAACTTTAACCACAGATTGAATATTTGTGGACGCCCCAAAAGACGACGATGACGATGCTGAAGACAGAATGTTGGATCGCTATGCCTCGCTTTTGCGACAAAAGTGGCAAGCTCAACAAAAAGTATCAGTACAGGTTTTACAGACAATCGTAGCACAAAATGAAAATTCATGACTGATTGACATATATATTTCAACCCATTGTTATATATCCGATTATTATCCTCCATGAAAAATTGAACCCCATTGATACTGTAACTGGAAAATTGATTATGGATTTGAACTAGCTGTTAGTAATATCTGGGAGTTCTCTTAGATAAATACTTTGCGTCTTTATTCTTAGTTGATTTCTGTGCTTCCTGTTGATCTGATGAGGACAATCCTTTCCAATAGATTTTTACAGTTGGTTCCCCATTTGGGGAAGGGTTTGTAGCATATTTGTTTGTTCGTTAATTGTCTTAGAATAAATCTGGCTCTTAGTTTTCTCCTAATTATTTTACATTTGTTTATGTCAGGGTTGTTTCTAGCCTACTATACAGTAATGGTTATGCTCACTGTTAAAGCATTCTGGTGACATATAGTTGCTTACACCAACCTCATTTGACATCGGATAGACAGTTGTCTCATTTGCAATAATACCACATCTTCCTATTTCTATATGCACTACTTTACATGTTTAATCCCAAGACATGTTTAGCTACTTTTTCTACATGATTTGGGGTGAGGTATCTCTTAATATATGGCCAACACATTATAAGATATTTCTTTAAAAGATTTTAAAAGAGAGGTGAAAGATACCAAAGGGATATTCAAATTCAAAAACAAACTGACAATGCCATGGCTAAGATAATCATACAATGATGATAATGGAAAAATGGAAGGGATAAAAGTAGGAATTTATGTCTCAAAATTAAATGCCTAAATTTATTTGGGAAACTTAAGGTGGATCATTGGTATATATTTCCTCAGATAGAATTTTTTTAAACTTTGCCAAAATGAAGATTTTACTATGCTTTTTTCAAAAATATAATAAAAAGTATGGGTCACCGTCAAGGGTCTGGAAACGGTTATATTTGCCAGTCATGTCCTAAGCTGCAAGATATTTGTCCTAAACGAAAAATTGGGATTAAGATCAAATTTTATTTTCTTACAGAAATAATTTCGGTCATTTCATTGAAATCGGGTTTCTTAATTGCCATTTTGCACTTGTTTTTGTTTTAAAATCCCTTTCCTGTAATAAAACTCCACTGCAGTATAGTTTGATAATCCTAATAACTATATCATGCCTCCAGGAAATATTGGCTAAAGATCACTAATCACGTTTCACCTGTGTTTTTAATTCACACCTGACAATGATCACAAGCTCAGAACTAATTAAAATTCCATGATAACTGTATTCATTATAATTATTTAATTACTTTTCAGCAAAGACAATCAATAATTCTGATTTGAAAATTAAAACTTCATTTAATTTACGTAGAAAAAAGTAATTTTTCACGAGTAACACATGTACTGTAATACGCATGCGTGAAATTGTCATCAGCAGATAGGATACTTAATCACAAAATGCAAAATGATTTCATGCTTAATTAAACGAGTGGAACTAATATCTATTATATTCAAACACTTTCAAAGGTAATAAAATTTAAAACCTGGTGATTTCCTGTCAATTTGATTTATAAATAAAACAAATCCCAGAAATGAATCCGGAATTAATCATACCTTAGAATTGTCGCAAAACTTCTGGTTTAAATTCTGTCTAAAATTGAAAGAAAGGTTAGCGATGTCTGAGAAATTAACCATTTTGAGTCACCAAAATAATTTCAAATTTAAACTGTTACCTTTCATAAACTGTTCTTGAACGTTTTGAGTAAAATAGTAAGAAAATTCATGAAGTAAATGGGATGAAACAGCCAATACAAGTTCGTTGATGCTATGAATCTAGTGACCATTGGATTTCATCAATTTGAAAAAGGGCACCAACTTTTACGACATCTCAAAATGACCGAAATTGTGTGAAAAAATTTCAGGATCCTTGGTCACCGTGCTATTTTTCAAGCTATAAGTCGTGCAAAATTGCCCAAATTTGCAGAGACTGTTCATGAAAAAACACTTTTTTGTGAATAAAAAGAAATCTATGAGATAGAATTTTGAAATAAAATATGAGAAGATAGGTTTTATTATATGCTATTTTAAGGAAATAAAAAGAAAAAATGGTGTCACTGAACTTGTCTTTTTGCTACAAGTAAAAATTGAAAATTTCACTATCATTCCAGTATAAAAAAATTTACTATAAGAGTTATCTCCCCTTAAATGGCTAAGTTGAAAAATTGATTTTAAAAACACAAATATTTGGTACTTGTTTAAACATTTTGGATAATGCAATAAATCACTTATTTTTCTTTATACAAATATACAGTCTTACGCATAAATTGCAAATCTGTCTCAAAATTTGCAGATTTAACATGTTTAAGCATAGAACTAGACCGATTGTGTATTGCAATTGTACAATCCAAGATGGCGGTATACAGTGAAACTACCTTAAAGCAAAGAAGAAATACTTGTTATTCTTCATCATTCCAAAGTCACATGCAATAATGCCATCAACATGAAACCATAGCAAATATCTAACTGCATGTTAGAAATTGTACCAGCCTGTGCACTAGCTGCTCTTATAAATAGTTTTCTGCTGTTGAGTACTCACTGTTTCTCCTTACCATAAATGCCATACCTTACGGTTTTTCCTAAATATTGTGTTATCTCCCCTGGGTTTGATCTCTTTGACATACTCCATTTTTTAAAGTTTCTACCATCGAATTCCTTGAGCCTTGAAACTGTGAAAAAGGTTTCCATGTCAACAGACAGGATATCCAAAATATACTCTGCATTTCTAAAAAGTGTTTGTCTAAACCCTGTATCCAGATCTACCACAAAAACACTCTTTCCACCAGAATAATACATTTTCTTCCCATCAGGAGACATATGGTAAGCTTTTGCAACAATATCTAGGTCACCTGCCAAGAAGAAAAAAAAACAATACTTTTAACCATATGCTAAAAGTAAATGTGTCAATCTGAGCAACTTGAGGTAGTTTGTAAAAGTTATATTTTCTTCAATTTCTTTGTCTATATTATAAAACTTTATACACAAGGTGGCTAGTTTCAAACCCGAGATATTTTCACATATGCGGTTTTATATTTTCAGGACCATTCAAGCAAACATGAAGTTTCTTGTCAAAAAATTCAATTAGAATTTCAATCAATTTCAAAAAGGGGTTCTCCATTTAATATCCTGAAACCACAAATTATTTTTTGTTCTTCCAACAATCAAGTACCATAACTCTGGAGAAAAAAAGAGAAAATTAATAAAATTGATTTCAACAGGTCTTTAGGGGTCCAAAACATTTCATTAAATTTCAATGAATTTCAAAAAGCAGTTCTCTATTTATCATCTGGAAAACAAAAGTGCGACGGATGGACTGACAGACAGACAGACATGTTTATATACTGTCTCTGTTAAGTAGGGGTATAAAAAAATCGACAATTAAGCATTCATCTGTTCTTGGCAAAAATGTATTTACACTTTTGATTTGACATCATTATTCTATGGTTGTAAGTGTTCAGACAATAAATTTTAAATAAAACAGCCAAATGCCTAATATCATGGCAGGGTGATTTTTTTTATTTGCTTTCTTTTCATGCTTATATGAATCTTTTCTTTCGCTTTGTGAACAAAACCATTGTTTTAATTCCAATAAAACAAGGGTGTATGTGTGTTAGTTTACAAATTAATTGCAATGTCAGTTGTATATTGAAAAACACACAACATATTAAGAAAAATTTGTAAAGGGTTCTGCAGAATTCTGTGTCTATAGAAATAAGAAGATGTGGTATGAGTGCCAATGAGACAACTCTCCATCCAAGTCACAATGTGTAAAAAGTAAACAATTATAGGTCAAAGTACGGCCTTTAACACAGAGCCTTGGCTCACACCGAACATCAAGCTATAAAGGGCCCCAAAATGACTAGTGTAAAACAATTCAAACAGGAAAACCAATGGTCTAATCTATATAAAAAAAACAAGAAACAAGAAACACTTATGAACCACATCAATGATCGACAACCACTGAACAACAAGTTCCTAACTTAGGACAGTTACAAACAAATGCAGTGAGTTTAAACGCTTTAACAGGCGCCAACCTTCACCCTAACCTTGAACATTAGTGTAACATTACAACATAGAAAGACACACTATAAAATATCAATTGAAATGGCTTAACTCAATCAAAAAGACATATTAACAAAAACAAGTAAACATACACTGAAAGAATAAATTTGATCTATGACACAATATAAATATAATATTAATAAAAAAAGGGGGGGGAGATGTAAAACAAAATCAAAAAGACAAGTATAACCTTGGACCAAATGGTGTTAAATAAAATAACGAACACTAGTAAATTTAAATATAATAATTTTGTAGTTAGGAGTACTAGCCTGTGATTACTGTTGTCAGTGCAAAAGTGTCATGTTGACTGTAAAAATAAGTGCATTTATCAGTAATCTAAAGAATTTGTTTTTTTATTAATTTTTTTCTCTAGATGCTTTTTCTTGATCTTCAAGATAAGCTTTTGTCCAATTTTCATAACTATCAAATACAAATGTATCATGTCAACTCATTAAATGCCAGACTATCTGTAATTGTGAATTACAAGGAACTAAGCTCCAGCTATCAGATGATTTTTTTTTTGTATTAAATTGGTACTTGGTATTTTGGTGATTTTTTAATGTCAAATAATGAAAACCTATTGCTTATGTAGCCATGAGTTTTGACCAGTTGTTTTAAAATAGGTTATTTTTTTAAATATTTGGCATAATCTACTAGAATGTGATGAATATATGGTTAATAATTCCAAAAACTTCTGTCTGTTTATGCATATTGTGAACATGCACTTTGACATCCTGACTAATAATTGTGGCGGTGTTGTTCTTTCTCACATGCATTTTAAAGATATGTTTATGTCATTAATAAACCAAATATTGCCCAAATGTTGTCAATTGTCTGACATTAACCTTTTAAATCAAATAAGAACGATTTATAAAATGAACAAATGTCACTTGACTTTATAATATTAACCTTTATACATTCCAAATCTTATGTAACGTTAATATAAGATATTAAAGTATAAAACACAAGAGTGCACACGCTGAAATGTCTCGCCTTCTTTACTAACCATTGATTTTATGTTGATAGTCCTAAATATAAAGCTTTACGACAAGTAACACATAAACGTAACATGATCCAAGAAAATGAGGTCAAGGTCAGATAAACGAAACAAGAAATACATGTACACCTTACAATCATTCAATAAACCAAACATAGTTTACCTATTGCTTATAGTTTCTAAGAAACAGTCTTAACCAAGAAAACTTAATATTGACCAATGAACCATGAAAAAAAGGTCAAGGTCAGATGAACCATGCCAGACAGACATGTACACCTTACAATCAATTTATGCATTAAATATAGTTGACCTATTGCTTATAGTATCTAAGAAACAAACTTAACCATAAAAACTAAACATTGACCAATGAACCATGAAAATGAGGTCAAGTTCAGATGATACCTGCCAGACAAACATATACACCTTACAATCCTTTCATACAACAAATACAGTTGATCTATTGCTTATAGTTGAAGAAAAACAGACCAAAACACAAAAACTTAACACTGAGAAATGAATCGTGAAAATGAGGTCAAGGTCAAACAAAACCTGTGAGACTGACATGTCCATCATAAAATATTTCCATACACCAAATATAGTTGACCTATTGCATACAGTATTAGAAAAAAAAACCAAAACTCAAAAACTTAACTTTGACCACTGAACCATGAAAATGAGGTCAAGGTCAGATGACACCTACCAGTTGGACATGTACACCTTACAATCATTCCATATACCAAATATAGTAGACCTACTGCTTATAGTATCTGATATATGGACTTGACCACGAAAAACTTAACCTTGTTCACTGATCCATGAAATGAGGTCGAGGTCAAATGAAAACAATCTGACTGGCATGAGGACCTTGCAAGGTACGCACATACCAAATATAGTTATCCTATAACTTATAATAAGAGCGAATTTAACATTCCAAAATATCTGAACATTTTTTTCAAGTAGTCACTGAACCATGAAAATGAGGTCAAGGACATTGGACATGTGACTGACGGAAACTTCATAACATGAGGAATCTATATACAAAGTATGAAGCATCCAGGTCTTCCAACTTCTAAAATATAAAGCTTTTAAAAAGTTAGCTAACGCCGCCGCCGGATCACTATCCCAATGTCAAGCTTTCTGCGACAAAAGTCGCAGGCTCGACAATAAAAATCTTTCTAACCTGATAATGATTTAGATGTCTCAAAAGTCTTTATATCAATCAAGTATAGATTACAATTTTTTTTATTTGATGCAACAATGTATTTTTCATCCTTGGTAATAGCTACATTTTCTATGTAATATAATACTTCCTCATCCTCATCGTCTTCCCCCTCATCATCATCATCATCATCATCATCATCATCATCATCATTACAATCATCATTAATCTTATTATCATCTTTATCGATAATATCATTGCTGTTATCAATTTCCTTGTCGGTATCAACTTTGCTGTTATCAATTTCCTTGTCGGTATTAATGTTGCTGTTATCAATTTCCTTGTCGGTATCAACGTTGCTGTTATCAATTTCCTTGTCAGTATCAACGTTGCTGTTATCAATTTCCTTGTCAGTATCAACGTTGCTGTTATCAATTTCCTTGTCAGTATTAACGTTGCTGTTATCAATTTCCTTGTCAGTATTAACGTTGCTGTTATCAATTTCCTTGTCGGTATCAATTTTGCTGTTATCAATTTCCTTGTCAGTATTAACGTTGCTGTTATCAATTTCCTTGTCAGAATTAACGTTGCTGTTATCAATTTCCTTGTCAGTATTAACGCTGCTGTTATCAATCTCCTTGTCAGTATTAACGTTGCTGTTGTCAGTATTTTGATGGCTGTTATCAATTTTCTTTTCATTTCTAGGAGGTATAAACGGTTGTAATATTCCTGTCTTGTAGGCTGTTTTCTTTACTATGTCCACTACCCAAATAACTTGGCCTCTATAAGATGGTGTTATAGCATAATTTTCTGATCCTGAACGAATAAAAAAGTTTGAAAATCAATTTTATTAGGACATGTGACTAGTTTTTCCTCATCTCAAACAATAAGGGATATAAAGAAGAAATTTATTTTTGTCCTATGAAGGCCTCCTTCAGAAGTAAAGTCTTTACAATGACAAATAACAGGATAAAACAATAATTTGTATATATTAGGGGAGGGCTGAACACTCTCAAACATGTGTAACTGTGAGAAATATTTTGATGAGCCTGTATCAAGCCAACTGCTTCAGTTGTCTCTTGTTAGTTTGTTCTCCTTGGGTGCAGGAGGTCACAGGTTCAATTAAATTTAAAAAAAATTAAGGGTCCGTGTGCTTGTTTTCGAAATATAAGCCATTGAAAATTTGGCGGGAAATAATTCTCTCTTGACTTTTCATATATTTAACATTGGCACCCTTTTTTTAAAAAAAATATGAAAAAATAACAAGGATTTTACAGCATTTTCAAATATGGCTTTTTAAACTATATGTAATAAAATTATGAAAAGAAAAGTAGGGGTTAGCGGGCAAAAATTTTCAATGGCACTACATTGATAAAAACAGAGGATTCCAAATATCTGGCAAAATATCAAAAACATGAGGAGCGAACATCCTTAATTTGTTTGGCTGTTGGTTTTCTCTTTTGAATTGTTTCACATTTTGTTATGTCCTATTATCATTTTTAAGAAAGCATGTGCAAAAATTAGGTCAGTAGAGATAACGGAAACACACATATTATCATATTTGGCCTTTTATATGATGAACATATACTGTGGATTCATTGTTATTTGGGGTATACTAATATGGTCCAAGGACACAGTTATCGTCCTTTGGTTTTCGTTGTCTACGAATATAGTCCCTAGTGTGAACAGTGTATAACTTGCATTTTTTTTTTATACACTTTCCCAATTTATTTCTTGATATTTTATGCATGAAATATTAAGTAAGGGGATGAAATTACATGTTAAAAAAATTTGGGTGCTGAATCTTTATGTTAAGTAGTGATTTGGTCCAGTTAAAAAAGGTCAAAAATTAGAATGTCTGAAGCTGTCAAACTGAATTGTAGCCCCCCTTAACACAGAATTGTCAATATTTTGAGTTAGAGCTGGTAGAAGTTTCTATAATTTTGATATTATTTGTATCAATAGTAGTACACTACACTGTAAAAATCTTTTTGAGATAGAGCAGGTGCGATTTTTTTAATTTGAATTTATTCTCTAAAAGAAATGCACTACGAAATAACTGTGTTCTCGGGCCTAAGAGATGAATTCCGTAAATGTAGATTCTGTACTTTGGCAACTTTCCTGAATGATTTGCTGGTTTCAATTTGTCAAACTCAATAAAAGTAAAGGATTTACATCTTTGTTTGACAGAAATTCTGTTAAAATGTCCCTTTTTGGCATTATACGGCTAAATAAGCATTTTAAAGCAGTTTCCATTTTATGCCTAAGAGCCATGGTGACTTTCTATCTGACAGCATTTTATGTTCCAGATATTTGTGTTTCTATGCTAAAATCAAATTTAATTAACCATTTGTGAACTCTGAATCTAGAGAAAAGTAGATTATCACAGAAAAAATGTGCAGAATATTTGTATTTATGTCCCTGGTTAAACGGCCTGTTTGATGTATGTGAAATGTGAAGAGCTTTGTACATATAATCTGTAGTCCATCACAAATATTTCACTAAATCTGTAAAAAAAAAACACTTTACAATGATCAGTACACCCTATTCATTTCATATGCTACCATAATTTTCTTCTTTAGGATAGTAAGAGGTTCAAATATATGCCAATTGAGACTAAAACTACATGCAATTTTTCCATTGAAAAGTGAAAAACTGGTCATCAGACCATACTGTCTGCAAAAAAAAGTTGAATTCAAGAGTCCTTTTGCAATTAGACTTCTTGTATCATGACATCTTAGCATAGAAATGAGCAAAAAGTAACAAATTTCCATTTCTTATAGCCTCTGTGTGCATTTTTATATGTAAATATGGGCGACGGCCTAAATCGACTCTATATAATTCTCAGTCTTACATGGCCTAAGACCATTTTATACTCATGTGGTATGCTTTTTGTAACTTTTCTTTACATTTGAAGTACATTTAATATATATGGAAGAATAATGTATGGTTAAAAAACTTCAAAAACTTCAAATTGGTTGAAAAAAATGCATGTTTATGTAAGGCTTCCCTTAATTCGAAAATCTCTATTTTCAGGCACAGGCTCACATAAATTTGACTTTTGAATAACTGTAATAAATCTGATAAATCAAATGAGTGTTCCGTTGCTATTAATACTTATTACATTATATTCAAGAGTATTTAAAAAGCAAATTTTTGTAATATTTAAATTTTTTAGGCCAAAATCTTGACAGTTGAAAATATTTGATTTAAACGTCAAAAATAAACATCCAAATTTCAATACTAAAATGGCCCTAGTTTCTATAATATATATCCTATGGCCATGAAACTTGGCCAACTATCTTATAATTTCCTAAGCTTAGGTCATGCAAAGTTTTATTAAAATTGGTCAAGTCTTTCTATCCTATTAGGTCCAAGGACACAGTTATCGTCCTTTGGTTTTCCTTGTCTACGAATATAGTCCCTAGTGTGAACAGTGTATAACTTGCATTTTTTTTTTTAACACTTTCCCAATTTATTTCTTGATATTTTATGCATGAAATATTAAGTAAGGGGATGAAATTACATGTTAAAAAAATTTGGGTGCTGAATCTTTATGTTAAGTAGTGATTTGGTCCAGTTAAAAAAGGTCAAAAATTAGAATGTCTGAAGCTGTCAAACTGAATTGTAGCCCCACTTAACACAGAATTGTCAATATTTTGAGTTAGAGCTGGTAGAAGTTTCTATAATTTTGATATTATTTGTATCAATAGTAGTATACTACACTGTAAAAATCTTTTTGAGATAGAGCAGGTGCGATTTTTTTAATTTGAATTTATTCTCTAAAAGAAATGCACTACGAAATAACTGTGTTCTCGGGCCATATGTGGATTTCGTGGATACGAGTGAACCAAGAAATTAAATGTTCAACGAAGTACAAATTTTTGATAGGCTTGTATATAGTCTTTTGATAAAACCATGAAATCAAATATCCAAGAAAATACAATTTTTCATTTATCCACAAAAAATGGTACCCACAAAAAAAAATTAATCCAAAATTATAAAACATACCATAACATAAGCATGTTCTTGTAAAACCAGCATTTTTTTCTGCAGGAGAACAGGAAATTTCAATATCTGTTATTTTCTCCCCAGTTTGAAGATTATACAAGAAAACTTCCATCTTCGTTGTAAAAATCACCAGAATATCTTTCTTCTGACCACATATACAATATGATAAAGTTTCTTCAACAGGAATAGAGTAAATCTGTTCTCCAATGTGATTCATAGCTATGAAATCACATGATATAACTTGAACAAGAATCAAAGTGTCGTCAACAACAGAATGGACATACTTATAAACATTCTTACGATCTTTACTGACAACACCTTCTATTCTTTTGACAAGATAATAGTTCTTAATATTCCACAATTCAATATGGCGTAATCTGCAACCTGCAAAACATTCGAAAAATATGGAATTCAGTTCTTTTAATTAACTGTTAATACAGAGATAATCTTGCTAGTGTCACACATAATCACAAACTTTTATCACTTTTCATGTTATTGACGCAGACACTGGCAACATCTCTATCTATGTCTTTCTGATAGTGACTATAACTAAAGGTTCCTATAAATTCACGGCAGAATGGGTTTAGCAATAGTATGAGGTACCAGTATCAACCAAAAGCAATTACAAGTCTCTGTCACATTACTAGTGAACACTTTCTGAGAATACTTTGCATTTTTTTAAGCATTTGTGCTATCATTCAAATCTTGCATTTACAGAAGATAGTATTCAAATTATCTTAAGGATGTAGTTAGGTGAAATTAAAAAAATTTGAAATTTTAATATGGATACTAAAAATCAAAAGAGCAAAATAAGCTCAACATATTGATAGGTTAATATAGAACTCCTTTTCAAAATATCTAATTTATAACTAGAGGCTCTAAAGAGCCTGTGTCGCTCACCTTGGTCTATGTGAATATTAAACAAAGGACGCAGATGGATTCATGACAAAATTGTGTTTTGGTGATGGTGATGTGTTTGTACATCTTAATTTACTGAACATTTTTCCTGCTTACAATTATCTCTATCTATAATTAACTTGGCCCAGTAGTTTCAGAGGAGAAGATTTTTGTAAAAGATTACTAAGATTTACGAAAAAATGGTTAAAATTGACTATAAAGGGCAATAACTCCTAAAGGGGTCAACTGACAATTTCGGTCATGTTGACTTATTTGTTGATCTTACTTTGCCGACATTTATCGTTTTTTACAGTTTATCTCTATCTATAATAATATTCAAGATAATAACCAAAAACAGCAAAATTACCTTAAAATTACCAATTCAGGGGCAGCAACCCAACAACGGGTTGTCCGATTCATCTGAAAATTTCAGGGCAGATAGATCTTGACCTGATAAACAATTTTACTTCATGTCAGATTTGCTTTAAATGCTTTGGTTTTTGAGTTAAAAGCCAAAAACTGAATTTTTCCCCTATGTTCTATTTTTAGCCGTGGCGGCCATCTTGGTTGTTTGACCAGGTCACGCCACACATTTTTAAAACTAAATAACCAAATGATGATTGTGGCCAAGTTTGGTTTAATTTGGCCCAGTTGTTTCAGAGGAGAAGATTTTTGTAAAAGATTACTAAGATTTACGAAAAATGGTTAAAAATTGACTATAAAGGGCAATTACTCCTAAAGGGGTCAACTGACCATTTCGGTTATATTGACTTATTTGTAAATCTTACTTTGCTGAACATTATTGCTGTTTACAGTTTATCTTTATCTATAATAATATTCAAGATAATAACCAAAAACAGCAAAATTTCCTTAAAATTACCAATTCAGGGGCAGCAACCCAATAACGGGTTGTCCGATTCATCTGAAAATTTCAGGGCAGATAGATCTTGACCTGATGAACAATTTTACCCCCATGTCAGATTTGCTTTAAATGCTTTGGTTTTTGAGTTAAAAGCCAAAAACTGAATTTTACCCCTATGTTCTATTTTTAGCCGTGGCGGCCATCTTGGTTGGTTGACCAGGTCACGCCACACATTTTTAAAACTAGATAACCAAATGATGATTGTTGCCAAGTTTGGTTTAATTTGGCCAGGTAGTTTCAGAGGAGAAGATTTTTGTAAAAGATTACTAAGATTTACGAAAAATTGTTAAAAATTGACTATAAAGGGCAATAACTCCTAAAGGGGTCAACTGACCATTTCAGTCATGTTGACTTATTTGTTAATCTTACTTTGCTGAACATTATTGCTGTTTACAGTTTATCTCTATCTATAATAATATTCAAGATAATAACCAAAAACAGCAAAATTTCCTTAAAATTACCAATTCAGGGGCAGCAACCCAACAACAGGTTGTTCGATTCATCTGAAAATTTTAGGGCAGATAGATCTTGACCTGATAAACAATTTTACTTCATGTCAGATTTGCTCTAAATGCTTTGGTTTTTGAGTTATAAGCCAAAAACTGCATTTTACCCCTATGTTTTATTTTTAGCTGTGGCGGCCATCTTGGTTGGTTGGCCGGGTCACGCCACACATTTTTTAAACTAGATACCCCAATGATGATTGTGGCCAAGTTTGGTTTAATTTGGCCCAGTTGTTTCAGAGGAGAAGATTTTTGTAAAAGATTACTAAGATTTATGAAAAATGGTTAAAAATTGACTATAAAGGGCAATTTCTCCTAAAGGGGTCAACTGACCATTTCGGTTATATTGACTTATTTGTAAATCTTACTTTGCTGAACATTATTGCTGTTTACAGTTTATCTCTATCTATAATAATATTCAAGATAATAACCAAAAACAGCAAAATTTCCTTAAAATTACCAATTCAGGGGCAGCAACCCAATAACGGGTTGTCCGATTCATCTGAAAATTTCAGGGCAGATAGATCTTGACCTGATGAACAATTTTACCCCATGTCAGATTTGCTCTTAATGCTTTGGTTTTTGAGTTATAAGCTAAAAACTGCATTTTACCCCTATGTTCTATTTTTAGCCGTGGCGGCCATATTGGTTGGTTGACAGGGTCACGCCACACATTTTTAAAACTAGATACCCCAATGATGATTGTGGCCAAGTTTGGTTAAATTTGGCCCAGTAGTTTCAGAGGAGAAGATTTTTGTAAAAGTTTACGGACGACGGACGACGGACGACGGACGCAAAGTGATGAGAAAAGCTCACTTGACCTTTCAGGTCAGGTGAGCTAAAAAATGGACCGGAAAAGGTTAATTCTGACTTTTACCTTATATTTAGCATTGGCATTATTTATCATAAATGGTAAATAAAATAAATCTAGAATACGCTTAAATTTTGGTACATGATCTTTTATGAGTTATTGAATTTCTTGTATGAAAAGAAAAGTGGGTGATATGGGGCAAAATAGTTTACCTTGAATCATAGGAAAAACCTAAGGAGTCTGAACATCTGATGTTGAACTGTTACACCACTGTCCCAGGTTAGGGGGAGGTTTGGTGGGCCTTCAAACTAGTTTAACCCCACTATATTCTATATGTGCCTGTCTCGTCATTGAGTTTAACAATTTGTATTTGGCGAAACGATTCTTCAACTTTGTACTTAAACACTTTGTGCCTTAACTTTTTTATTCCAGTGTTACAGAGGAGTCTTCTGAAGACAAAAAACACATCTGGAGTACAAAACTATAAGCCAGCGTCTCTTTTCACAAAAAATCTTAAAGAGTAAACTCGTAAGTCATACACATTTCAGTATATCTTACGATCAATTTCAATCATAAGATTTTTAGTGAAAAGAATTGCTGGTATCCATGATGAGTTTATCTGTAAGTTCTTTTAAAGGAGCCTGTAGTTCAGAGGTTATCATTATTTCATGTCTGGCATATTTGTGTTTTTCGTAAATTGCTATGTTATAAATTATGCCATTAGTTTTCTCAATTGAATTGTTTCATATTTTTCATGTCGGGGACTTTTATACCCGACCAAACGATATTGGTTTTTCTCATTGTTTGAGGCCGAATGGTGGCCTATAATTGCTTACATCCACTTCATTAGAATTCGGGTGGATAGTTGTCTCATTGGCAATCATACCACATCTCCTTATTTTTATATAAACTTTAGTATTTTTTCAAAGACATTGTACATTACATGCAAATATTGTGATGAAAGAACATAATCAAAGTACTTGTGAGCATTGAAGGATAAAGATTGCATTCATTTTGCAGTGAGAACTAAAAACTAAGCATTGCATTCTACAAAGCATTGGAAGGCAATACTATGAACCGGTTCAACTACAATTATGGACAAAGGAAGATGATTCCAATTTCAAATATAATTTTAACAATGATATTGATATTTTTAGAACAGAAGAAAGCTGTACGGTTGCCTATAATTGCTTACATCCACTTCGTTTGAACTTTGGTGGATAGTTGTCTCATTAGCAATAATACCACATCTCCTTATTTTTATACTTAAGATTTATGCACCATGAACAATTCATATAATTTGTCTTGACAAGTATGATGATACATATACACACCATTTCGTAACTTGAATATTTGAGTATATATTTTATTGATAAATTTATTGAAATGCTCAATGATAGGATGTATAAAATTTTATGTTTATCTCAAAAGAAGTGATAAAGTCTGGAAAATTGTTAACTATTGAGCCAGTCGCATAAGAGTTTTGATAGTGTGAAGGCAATCTTTACCCCAAAATGCAAGTCCAATCAATTAGGTGGGCATAAGGAATCATCTTCATTTCTACCCACTTTATGCCTTCTCAAGCCTTTGAAGGGTGGAAATGAAAAAATTCACGCAATCTGTAGTGTATTAACAATGAGTGATTATACATACATAGGACAGCCATATTCCCATTCTGCATCAAATCAAAAGAGTTAACATCAACTATGCTCTGGCTGAAGTCATAGACTAGAGGTGATCCTGCCTTGAACAATACATTGGTATTAGGGCATAAGTAATTGATGTTGACCTTTCTACACAACTGACTGAATTCTTCTGTTTCCTGTGAATAAAAAACAGAACAAGAACTTTTTAAGAGCACACGAGTTAGAATAAGCCCTCTCACTAATATTTACCAACTGTTATACATGATCAAACAAACACTGTAACTTTCTTCCTTGCAAATATAGCTTACTAATCAATGCTTTTTGAAGGCCAGAGATGTTTTCTGAAAGTAAGTTAAGGATGTTCTTAGGTGAAATTAAAAAAATCTAGAATTTAAAATTGATACTTTAAGTCAGAACAACATCAGTTAATGACAAAATAAGCTAAATATATTGATAGGTTATGGAGCTCCTTTTCGAGATATTAAGTTTTTTTAAAAATGGCGGGAAAAGGCTGACTCGGACTTTTACCTTATATTTGCATTGGTACTATTTGGGTCTCAAATCGAAAGAAAAAAAATCTAGAATTTGCTTAAATTTACCACCTTTTATGCACTATTGAAGTCTTATATCAAAAGAAAAATGTGTGTTATGGGGCAAAATATTTTACCCTGTATTGTAAGAAAACAAGAGTGCACACGCTGAAATGTCTCGCTTTCTTTACTAACCATTGATTTTATGTTGATAGTCCTAAATATAAAACTTTACTACAAGTAACACATAAACTTAACATGATCAAAGAAAATGAGGTCAAGGTCAGATAAACCAAAAGAGAAATACAAGTACACCTTACAATCATTTAATAAACCAAACATAGTTGACCTATTGCTAATAGTTTCTAAGAAACAGTCTTAACCAAGAAAACTTAACATTGACCAATGAACCATGAAAATGAGGTCAAGGTCAGATGAACCATGCCAGACAGACATGTACACCTTACAATTAATGTATACATTAAATATAGTTGACCTATTGCTTATAGTATCTAAGAAACAAACTTAACCATGAAAAACTTAACTTTGACCACTGAACCATGAAAATGAGGTCAAGGTCAGATGACACCTACCAGTTGGACATGTTCACCTTACAATCATTCCATATACCAAATACAGTAGACCTAATGCTTATAGTATCTGATATATGGACTTGACCACGAAAACTTAATCTTGTTCACTGATCCATTAAATTAGGTTGAGGTCAAATAAAAATTGTCTGACTGGCATGAGGACCTTGCAAGGTACGCACATACTAAATATAGTTATCCTATTACTTATAATAAGAAAGAAATTAACATTACAAAAAATGTTGACTTTTTTTTTCAAGTAGTCACTGAACCATGAAAATGAGGTCAAGGACAATGGACATATGACAGACGGAAACTTCGTAACATAAGGTATTTTTATACAAAGTATGAAGCATCCAGGTCTTCTAGCTTCTAAAATATAAAGCTTTTAAGAAGTTAGCTAACGCCGCCGCCAGATCACTATCCCTATGTCGAGCTTCCTGCGACAAAAGTCGCAGGCTCAACAAAAACGGCTGAGTCCGAACATCTGACAAAAATTTCTAAACCTGACTTAAGTATATCTTTAAGGTGGTTTATGATCAGTAATTTTAATATTGTTTTTACTCAAATGATTATGAAAATTATTTTAATTTCTCACCTAAAATTTTCTTATTTTGTGCATATATTAACTTGGTCAATATAACACATGTATATAGTGAAGGGTTATGAATCATGTCCTGGCAAAATATATCCTTATCGTAGCCTGTAGTTTTGAAATGCATGAAATTCCATGAGCAACAAAGAGTTGCTTTCAATATTGTGAAAGTAGAGCCCTGCATTAGTAGATATTAGTAGATATTAACCAAAAAATATACAGACAGTGGGCATAATTAAACAGAAAGTATCCTTCAACTTTACAACTATACAGTACGAAAGTAGAATTCACTTATCAAATTCTATATTGCATCTTAACTAAATCGGAAACAGTTGATAACCACAAACCAACCTATTAACCTACTCATTTTACTTTCCTCTTGTCTTTATCCTGGACTTACCTTAACGTCTGCAAGTCTTAAGTACATCTGTTGTACGAAAAGTTTTGGATTAATCTCCAACGCCTTTTGTGACAGCAGTAAAGCTTCAAATACCAAATCAATCTGTCTGTCATCAGTTTGTCTTCTGGCCAATTCAAAATCTTCCTGTACAGATCTGTCAAATATCATGACATCAATATAATATCAATATAGATAATTCAGTAAAACCTGCCTAAATCAAACCCTGCGTAGATCTGTAAGCAGTTGAGCTAGGAAAGTACTTTTTTAGGTCAGTCGGTTAGAGCACTGCCTTGTAACACAGGGGTCCCAGGTTCGAGTCTCGGAGGAGACAAAGTGATTTTGTAAGAAGAATCATGCTCTCCATTTACAATTGTATGCAACATTTCCTGAAACCCCAATAAAAAATGACATAAAGATTTTCTAAATTTACAGTAATAAGTAGAGGTACAGTACAGCAAACAAACCTCACAAAATTATAACCCCCCAACCCCCTTTACATAAAGCAATAGAATAGTCCATGATTTGATTAACAAAATATAAACTACTGATGAGTTGCCTAATGTTGATTTTTTCAAGTATGCAAATTGACCTCTAGACACTAGACGTTTTATCTTTTATTCTATGTGTTGTTAGATTGCTGTCTCATTGAAATTTATCCATCATCTTCTGTTACTCTTATCCAAGGTTACATTGATGAAATTTAATTCTTGCCTAAATGTGTCAAAAATATATACATGATAATTGAAGAGGTTAGCCTTTGTAGATGCTCAGATACACCAGTTCCGGGATACGGTAGTTAGTTGAATCTGTTATGTGACTTCTATCACCACGTGACAAAAAAGTAGGCATTGTCACTTCCAACATATGTCAAGCGAATTGGTGAAAAAATTTGATCTTATACTGCACAAATCATTTGAGAAATTAAAATCTAATAAGTTGGTCACCCTCCCTTCAGTCGTACGGTAATTAAGATTACATACTTACGGAACATAAATTATTTCTAGACTACCCTGCAGAATGACGATTTTGAAAGTGCTTGATACTTTAATAGAGCAGGGATACAGGCGCGCCTTCTTTCTGGTAAATGACGTCATAAGGTCATGCTTAGGGCTTTTATAGCTGATTACACAGTATGGGATTGGCTCATTGTTGAAGCCTTTACTGTGCTCTATATTTGCTTTCATGTAGGTTAAAAGCTCATAAGAGCTTATGTTATGTCCTTATTTGTATACTATGCCGACTCTAAATAAACCTGATTTATTTATTATATTTAATATTTCATCCCCCTTCTTTGGTCTGTGGTGCTTAGTCGTCTTATAACAATAATACCACAGTCATTTTTTCTATATCTACTGTAAAATATACAAAATTTGGACAGGCATTATTTTTCTTGAGTTATCACTTTACGTGTGCAAAACCATCCCCCATGCATATAGTTTGTACAAGTCAATAATATTGCATGAAATTATCCCCAGCATTGGAATTGCTACAATATACAACAAGAGTGCACACGCTGAAATGTCTTGCCTTCTTTACTAACCATTGATTTTATGTTGAAAGTCCTAAATACAAAGCTTTACTACAAGTAACACATAAACGTAACATGATCCAAGAAAATGAGGTCAAGGTCAGATAAACGAAACAAGAAATACATGTACACCTTACAATCATTCAATAAACCAAACATAGTTGACCTATTGCTTATTGTTTCTAAGAAACAGTCTTAAACAAGAAAACTTAACATTGACCAATGAACCATGAAAATGAGGTCAAGGTCAGATGAACCATGCCAGACAGACATGTACACCTTACAATCAATTTAGGCATTAAATATAGTTGACTTATTGCTTATAGTATCTAAGAAACAAACTTAACTATGAAAACTTAACATTGACCAATGAACCATGAAAATAAGGTCAAGGTCAGATGATACCTGCCAGACAGACATATACACCTTACAATCCTTCCATACATCAAATATAGTTGATCTATTGCTTATAGTTGAAGGAAAACAGACCAAAACACAAAAACTTAACACTGATAAATGAACCGTGAAAATGAGGTCAAGGTCAAATAAAACCTGTCAGACTAACATGTTCATCATAAAATATTTCCATACACCATTTATAGTTGACCTATTGCATATAGTATTAGAAAAAAAGACCAAAACTCAAAAACTCAAAAACTTAACTTTGACCACTGAACCATGAAAATGAGGTCAAGGTCAGATGACACCTACCAGTTGGACATGTACACCTTACAATCATTCCATATACCAAATATAGTAGACCTGCTGCTTATAGTATCTGATATATGGACTTGACCACGAAAACTTAACCTTGTTCACTGATCCATGAAATGAGGTCGAGGTCAAATGAAAATTGTCTGATGGGCATGAGGACCTTGCAAGGTATGCACATACTAAATATAGTTATCCTATTACTCATAATAAGAAAGAAATTAACATTACAAAAAATGTTGATTTTTTATTTCAAGTAGTCACTGAACCATGAAAATGAGGTCAAGGACAATGGAAATATGACAGACGGAAACTTCGTAACATAAGGCATCTATATACAAAGTATGAAGCATCCAGGTCTTCTATCTTCCAAAATATAAAGCTTTTAAGAATTTAGCTAACGCCGCCGCAGCCGTAGCCACCGCAGCCGGATCACTATCCCTATGTTTAGCTTTCTGCGACAAAAGTCGCAGGCTCGACAAAAATAAGGAGATGTTGTATGATTGCAAATGAGACAACTATCCACCAAAGTTCAAATGAAGTGGATGTAAGTAATTATAGGCAACCGTACGGCCTTATGACTGTTAAAAGTATTTCAAATCAGATGTTTTTCACTGAAACACCCCCAACAAATAAAAAAATAAACAATAAAATACAAAACCTGAAAGAGGAATAATCAAGTTTTGATGTGAGAAATTCTACATTCAGCAGGCATTCTTCTTTCAAACAAGAAATGTTCCCATTCATAATAAGATGATATGGTAGGTTGCCCAGTTTTCGTCCATTGTAGGTGCTACCATATTTGATTGGCTGAGATGCTACATATCTGTCTGTTGGTTCTTTCCCATCATTCCTGTTTACAAATGGCTTCTTGTGATCTGTTTAGTGTACAATTGTAAAGGAATTATTACATTTTTTTAGTAAAAATATTCATGGTATTTCTACAATAAAGTAATTATTATATAATATTTATGATTGATTGATTGGTGTTTAATGCCACTTTTTGCTTTTTGGCAGTAAGATTTTATTGGTGAAGGGAGGCAAAGTCCCACAGACTTCTGCAGGAAGACTGACATTAATGATCAATTAAGATTGGAGTCAAACACACCTGTCGCATGCAAGGTTTCGAACACATTAACTAAGTGATCACAGGCTAGTGATACAGTAGTTGGAGTACTTAGACCACTTGTCCGCTGAGGCCCCTAGTATATGTAAATGTTCCATGGAACTCTGTGACTACAGTTGAAGCTTGTTAACTGGAAGTTGAAGAAACCGTAAGAAAGTATTCAACTTATCCGAGGTTCTACTCATCCAAGTAGAGTGTGAAGTCATACATTTGGAATGCATGAAATACAGTATGAGGTTTGTGTCAACTAGATATTTTGATAGATGTGCCTGTTTACAATATGATATGACAATTCATGATAATGAACACGGTTTCCCCTGGGTCAATTTTCTTCTCTACCACCTCTTTCAGACAAGAGTGCACACGCTGAAATGTCTGGCCTTCTTTACTAACCATTGATTTTATGTTGATAGTCCTAAATATAAAGCTTTACTACAAGTTACACATAAACTTAACATGATCCAAGAAAATGTGGTCAAGGTCAGATAAACCAAACGAGAAATACATGTACACCTTACAATCATTCAATAAACCAAACATAGTTGACCTATTGCTTATAGTTTCTAAGAAACAGTCTTAACCAAGAAAACTTAACATTGACCAATGAACCATGAAAATGAGGTCAAGGTCAGATGAACCATGCCAGACAGACATGTACACCTTACAATCAATGTATGCATTAAATATATAGTTGACCTATTGCTTATAGTATCTAAGAAACAAACTTAACTAGAAAACTTAACATTGACCAATGAACCATGAAAATAAGGTCAAGGTCAGATGATACCTGCCAGACAGACATATACACCTTACAATCCTTCCATACATCAAATATAGTTGATCTATTGCTTATAGCTGAAGAAAAACAGACCAAAACACAAAAACTTAACAATGAGAAATGAACCATGAAAATGAGGTCAAGGTCAAATAAAAACCTGCGAGACTGACATATACATCATAAAATATTTCCATACACCAAATATAGTTGACCTATTGTATATAGTATTAGAAAAAAAGACCAAAACTCAAAAACTTAACTTTGACCACTGAACCATGAAAATGAGGTCAAGGTCAGATGACACCTACCAGTTGGACGTTTACACCTTACAATCATTCCATATACCAATGAAAGAACCTTAGTGAGCGCGCTCACATACCCCACATCCCCACATTGTCGTTAGAGAAATAAAATAAGTGTAAGAAAAAAATTGTATCAGAAAAAAAAATTGAATCATACTTTCCTGTCAATATGCACATCTACATAGTATGTCCTTATTATCTACACAGTTTCATGAAATTCTGTTGTGTGGTTTGAGAGGAGTTGCGATGACAAAAGGTTGCAGTAGTATATTGGGCAAATAAGTTCAAAGGGGTGTAACTCCTGGAAAAAAAATTGAATCGTAATTTCCTGTTGATATGCACATCTACGTAGTATGTCCTTATTATCTGAAAAGGTTTCATGAAATTCTGTTTTGTGGTTTGAGAGGAGTTGCGATGACAAACTATTGCAGTAGTACATTAAAGTAAATAACTTCAAAGGGGCATAACTCCTCGAAAAAGAATTGAATCGTAATTTCCTGTTTATATGCACAACTACATAGTATGTCCTTATTATCTAAAAAGGTTTCGTGAAATTCTGTTGTGTGGTTTGAGAGGAGTTGCCATGACAAGAAACCGGACTGACAGACTGACGGACTGATTGACGGACAGACAGACACAGACAGACGGACAGACAGACAGACGGACAGACGGACAGACGGATGGACAGGTCAAAAACATTATACCCTCCGCAACTCGTTGCGTGGGGTATAAATATAGTAGACCTACTGCTTATAGTATCTGATATATGGACTTGACCACGAAAACTTAACCTTGTTCACTGATCCATGAAATTAGGTTGAGGTCAAATGAAAATTGTCTGACTGGCATGATGACCTTGCATGGTACGCACATACTAAATATACTTATCCTATTACTCATAATAAGAAAGAAATTAACATTACAAAAAATATTGACTTTTTTTTCAAGTAGTCACTGAACCATGAAAATGAGGTCAAGGACAATGGACATATGACAGACGGAAACTTCGTAACATAAGGCATCTATATACAAAGTATGAAGCATCCACGTCTTCTAGCTTCTAAAGTATAAAGCTTTTAAGAAGTTAGCTAACATCGCCACAGCCGCCACCGCCGGATTACTATCCCTATGTCGAGCTTTCTGCAACAAAAGTCGCAGGCTCGACAAAAAACAACATATTTTTCCCCACTTTGAATTTTTTTTTTGCCAACTTAAATAAACATATTTTATCATATGTTTAAAATTTTCCTTCTTTTTATCAAAAAAATTCAGTTTGCAGCTAAAAAGATTATGAAGTACTCACTTCAGAACTATTATTTCTATCATAGTTAAAGGAAAAAGTTTAAAGTTAGAGATTTTTCTTAATTTTGAACATTTATCTTAATTATAACAGTTTTCTTTTCGAGACCATCGTTAAAAGAGAAGAAAAAAAAGAGATATAAAAGTATGCTTCACCTGTATGTTTGCACCTGTCCTAAGTCAGGAATCTGATGTACAGTAGTTGTCGTCTGTTTATGTAGTTCATATGTGTTTCTCGTTTCTCGTTTTTATATAGATTAGACCGTTGGTTTTCCCGTTTGAATGGTTTTACACTAGTAATTTATGGGGCCCTTTATAGCTTGCTGTTCGGTGTGAGCCAATGCTCCGTGTTGAAGGCCATACCTTGACCTATAATGGTTTACTTTTATAAATTGTTACTTGGATGGAGAGTTGTCTCATTGGCACTCATACCACATCTTCCTATATCTATTCAAACATGTTCGTTGCTAAAACGATTGTGAACTACCCATTTCAAAACAATTACTTTTTTAGGTGACATGTGACGATATTCAACCACACAATTTCATTTAACAATACAATCAACACCTTTAGTAGTTAGTCCATTGTTGTCGATAGCTTTGAAATGCTGATTTTTGATTTTCTATCAAAATCCTTAGTATTGTCTGATCAGGGAAAAAGTCTGAGAAACTGCCAAAAAATAAACAAGATGGACGAAATTGAACCATTTCTTCGCCAACAATTAATTTTCATTCGCCACAATTTTTATTTTTTCGCAAAATGCAAAATAGCAATTGCCAGGTGCAACCCTGAATGTGTATTTAAGTTCCGTACTTTTTGTGTGTATCATATGTACTAAACAATAAGCAAAAAATAAATATGTGTCTACTGTTTACTATGATGTAGGCATTTTCCCAACAAAATTTACCCTAAGCAAACATTTCATAAATATTATGAGATAAATATTAGTATTTATTTGGTCTCTGGTGGAGAGTTGTCTCATTGCCAATCATACTACTTCTTCATTTTTTTTTTCTTTATACACAAAAAAATCCTGATATATTCTCATTCATACATCTATAGGTTCTGCAAATAATAGAAATAGGAATATACACCATGAAAAGCACAACTTCTTAAGTTCAAGTTACAGTTAATGGGCTTGGTCTTAGATTTTGCTAAAATTTTGCATAGTTTTTAAGAAAAAATTTTGTATTAGAAATTAGAGATTTGATGGTTTTAAGACAAATTTAAGACAATTTTTAGCCGATTTTATGTGCTTTCTACACAAATGTTCACCTATTTTGAAAGAATTCAATCAGTAAAATTTTAGATGGTAAAGAGATAAATGCATTAATTTTTCGAATTTCAGTTATAGATTAACGAGTCAAGGTTGTATGCAAATTTTAGCAAAATCTGTGACATCGCTCATTTACTGTTCCTTGACCTTAAGCACAAATGCAATTTTCAGAGTAAACTTACTTAAATCTGACAGTTACGAAAAATTAATGGGGCCAACAATCCAGGAATTTTCAAAATCAAAAGGGAGCTTCCTCTTATCAATCTCAACAGTGTTCATTTTTGAGTAAATCAATCCTATATATATCTTAGCCCTGTGATAAAACTTGGAGAAAAAGTTTACAGCACAGTTGATTTATTGTACAAGATTTGAGAAAATGTCATATTCTCCATGAATAAATTCCATAACTCTGGAACAACCAAATTGGAAAGTGTCAAAATCAAAAGGGATCTTCCTTCTGTCAATCCTGGTCTTGTTTTCAGTGTTTAAATTTTATTAGAATTGGTTAAAGCAAATTTGAGTTATCTATGATGTGTTGACATAAAGACGTACAGATGGACAGATGGACAGACAGACAGTCTTGAATCTGTATACCATATTACATCCCCTATTCTATTATAGTATATTATTGAATATCAGAAATAAACAAATACCATATGCCATTGTTCCACTAAAATAATCTGACAAACTGGCATGTAAACTTGTTTGGTCACTACAATATCGTTCTTCTGCCATATCTTTAACCATTTTGTTACACCAAGTGGTTACCATAGCTCCCTCTACCTCTCTGACAACTGTGACAATTCAAAATAAACAAAGAGTATATACTCAAAGAAATTTCAGAATAAAGTCTGTATACAATTTCACATTCTTGTTGTATGATCAAAAATAAATATGTGAATGCTAAATATCAACAATTGAAATAATCCTGTCCTCCCCTAAACATTTTTTTGTTCACCATTTATTCATGTGAAAGTAATAACAGTATGTTTTAATAAATTGTTGGTTCATGTTGGTCATATTTGTTTTTCATAAATTGTATTGTTAATAAATTAGGTCATAAGTTTTCTCATTTGAATTGTTTTATATTTTTTTATGTTGGGGCCTTTTATAGCTGACTATTTATAAAGTATGGGGTTTTCTCATTGCTGTAGGCCAGACAGTGACCTATCATTACTTTATATATCAACATCACTTGAACTCCGGTGAATAGTTGTCTCATTGGCAATCATACCTCATCTCCTTATTTTTTATTTGTCATAAAGGCATATTTTTCTTTGCATATTAACAGACAGTGAATTGTGGCATATTTTCAAGACAAGAGTGCACACACTGAAATGTCTCGCCTTCTTTACTAATCATTGATATTATGTTGATAGTCCTAAATATAAAGCTTTATTACAACTGTCACATAAACTTAACATTAACCAAGTAAACTAAACATTGACCAATGAACCATGAAAATGAGGTCAAGGTCAGATGAACCATGCTAGGCAGGCATGTACAGCTAACAAATTCTTCCATACAACAAATATAGTTGACCTATTGCTTATAGTTTAAGAAAAACAGACCAAAACACAAAAACTTAACACTGAGCAATGAACCTTGAAAATGAGGTCAAGGTCAAATAAAACCTGCGTGACTGACATATAGATCATAAAATATTTCCATACACCAAATGTAGCTGAACTATTGCATATAGTGTTAGAAAAAAAGACCAAAACTCAAAAACTTAACTTTGACCACTGAACCATGAAAATGAGGTCAAAATCAGATGACACCTGCCAGCTATACATGTACACCTTACAATCATTCCAAACACAAAATATAGTAGACCTATTGCATACAGTATAAGAAAAACAGACTAAAACACAAAAACTTAACTATAACCACTGAACCATGAAAAAGAGGTCAAGGTCAGATGACACCTGCCAGTTGGACATGTACACCTTACAGTCCTTCCATATATACACCGAATATACTAAACCTATTGCTTATAGTATCTGAGATATGGACTTGACCACCAAAACTTAACCTTGTTCACTGATCCATGAAATGAGGTCGAGGTTAAGTGAAAACTGTCTGACGGGCATGAGGACCTTGCAAGGTACGCACATACCAAATATAGTTATCCTATAACTTATAATAAGAGAGAATTCAACATTACAAAAAATCTTAACTTTTTTTTCAAGTAGTCACTGAACCATGAAAATGAGGTCAAGGACATTGGACTTGTGACTGACGGAAACTTAGTAACATGAGTCATCCATATACAAAGTATGAAGCATCCAGATCTTCCACCTTCTAAAATATAAAGCTTTTAAAAAGTTAGCTAACGCCGCCGCGGCCGCTGGATCACTATCCCTATGTCGAGCTTTCTGCGACAAAAGTCGCAGGCTCGACAAAAAAATCATTGAGTGACCTCTTCTGTATCATAATTCCTTAAATTATCCAACTAATTATTACTTTTGTGAAAAATCTGTTTCTTTTTTTTCATTTTTCAAATGCTGTATTACTTGTTTTCTTTATTTCTATATATGAATTGCCCCATTGTTTGGGTTGCCATATTATCCCCCTTAGTTGTAGCATCCTTTACTTCTTTTTCATAACAATTAAATAATGTCAATTTCAAAGAACTCAGTTTCAACATGTCATAATTCATAATTTCATAATTTTAAAAGAGGTGTTTCAATTTATATCAAATAGAATATGAGTTTTTTTAAAAACGGAAGATCTAAAACAGAGAACCCCTGTATTTCAACTACATAAAACATCTCAAAATAAAAAAAAATAAATGAAAATAACAGCAGGTTTATCCTGCAAGACTATAATGCCACCAAGCTAAGACTTTCAAAAATAAATGCAAACCTGTAAACTGTTCCATTTCACACAATAATCTAATAAGCAGTAATGAAGGAAATCTCTGTACAGCTAAATTCTTTTCCACAAAAACTTCATTCAAAACGGCATAGTCACATGACAAAATATCTTCTAGTTCTGCCTGAGACAAACCTTTCTTTGCTACAAAGTAAACAACATCAATTATAATTATAACATAAAACAACAAAATAAATCATAGTTGAATAGCAACGTTACATTCAAATTTCTTAGGCTTGATTTTCTGTATAGTTTTATCCCGATGACTGCTCAGAAATCACCGAAAAATGTCCATCTTTTTAAATACTGCAAATTCAGGAATTATTGTGTGCATTTATTATTGCAATTTTTAAAGAATGGACAAAAATGCAAAATTTATTATTGCAATTTCGGGAAAATCTGCCTACAGACACATTTATCAAATATAATAATGTGATACGCATCCAGTCGCATTGTTCGCATTAATAAAAAATTTGCAAGGGTTCCACGGAACCCAGTGTCTCGCCTACTTTTGCTGTTAATCACAGGCTCAACAAAAATGAGGGAAAAAATTAATAAAAATATTCCACTCTATACTATCTTTTGATTGTAAGTAGCTTCTGTCCAAGTTTGGTAAAAATCCAGGATAGTGTATGAATCTAATAAATGTTTTAAAAACTTAAACTGCAGACTGTATGTAATGTTAACTGGAAGAAAAACTAAGTCCATTTATAAGTAAAATACGGAAAAAAAGGAACAAAATTTAAAAAAAATTTCCTTCTAGATACTAGCTTTTAATACTAAACAAGCTTCTGTCTGTTTGGTACAAATCCAGGATAGTTTAAGAAAGTTATTAAAATTTTAAAAACTTTAACCACAGAGTGAATGTAATGTTAACTGGCAGAAAAACTAAGTCCATTTATAAGTAAAATACAGAAAAAATTGAAATTTTTTTTTACAAAATTTACTTCTGGATATTATCTTATGATCATAAACGAGCTTCTTTACAAGTTTGGTAGAAATCCAGGATAGTTTAAGAAAGTTATTAAAATTTCAAAAACTTTAACCACAGAGTGAATATTTGTGGATGCAGACGACGACACCGACGGAATGTAGGATCGCTATGTCTCGCTTTTTCGACAAAAGTCGAAGGCTCAACAAAAACCTGACAATAATTTATGAATTAACAGTAACCACATTAAACCCCTTAACATAGCATAAAACCAGCAATGTTTACCAAAACATAAATGTGGTTGTAACATCCTTTTTTTTTTTTTTAACTTTTCCATAAAATGAAATGGCCAGAAATTGCACATATGTATTTAGGAAAATCATCCACTGTTCTATAGAATATCAAGTGAACTAATGCTAGGCTGCAAAACTATATTCTACTCAGGCAGAACTGTAAACCAGAATATCTTCAAAATTTCTTGATTTCATTACCTTAATTTTTGTTGCTGAGATTATACTCGCACATCAACAATAACTTCTCCATTCACATAAATAGTGGTGCATTCTACAAACTACTGTGGATTTATTTATTTTTGTGGGTACTAATTTTTGTGTATTGAGAAAAAATTGTATTATTGTTGATACACGTATTTTATTTTTCGTGTTTTAGCCTAAGTCTGCATACAGGCCTATAGAAACAAAATTTTCGTTGAACATTTAAATTTGTGGTTCACCTGTACTCTAGAAATCCAGGAAAAGTGGTAATAACCATTGGTCATATGTTTCAGAACATTTGTTTGTGGCAAAGTCCAGTTTGAGTACACAAATGGCAAATTCAGCATTTTTCCATTTATAAAGGGACATAACTTGAGATTGGTGAAAGTGAATTCAAACTTGATCTGTGTTTAGTGGTAATAAGCATTGTGTAAACGTTTCACAACATTTGGTCAAGGCAAACTTAAATTAGAGAAAGGAAACCAATTTTGGGACATTCCTACGTACAGACAGGTAAGGGCAATTTTTTAACCTTAATGTTTATGGTAAACCTTAATGCCCCCACTGCCACTTCTGGGGCATAAAAAAGGCATCAACTTAGTTATCTTTAGATAATAATATTAGGGTTGATTTTAAATTATCTGCTTCAAAAACACCTATGGTAAGAATTTCTTATCAATAAGTTGAATAACAATAATAATACTTTAAGATTTTGGCATGAAAATTATTTATAATACATACATGCAGTTAGATATCCTAAAGCCCTGGACGTAAATATTTGTCCATGAGACACTTCTAATTTGTCAAATAAACAGTGGATTGCATCCCTGATAGTCTCCTTTATCTGTATATTTGACATATCCATGTATGATGTCCACTTTAAAGCTTCTGAGATACATAGATTAAGATGAAGAGGAACACAGCCATCATTGAAGGGGTTCATCAGCAGATCCTGTTGAGAGGTTGTAAGTTTCCGTTCATTTTTCATCAGTGAATGATTCAGAATTGATGTTAAGTCAGTTTTGGTACTTATCACAGGAATAAAACACTTCTCTGGAAGTTTCTCCTAAAATTGAAATATGAAAGTATTAAAAAACCTTTGTAAGCAAGCTCATATACCCCATGCCTCCACATTGACACAGGACAAACAAAATATAACCAGATTCCTAAGTTCAAAGACGCATAACTTATTTTTTTCCTTATTATCTACAAAGTTTTATGAAATTCTGTTGTGAGAATTCAGAGGAGTTGCGATGACAAACTGTGGCAGTAGTATATATAGGCCAAAACTTTTAAGTTCAAAGGGGCATAACTCCTAGAAAAAAATTGAATTATAATTCAAAATTCAAAATATAAATCCGCGGGCCCCATGACGTGGGGTCTAATAAATAAGATAAATTTTTTGGCTTGTAGAATTCAAAGTTTGAATATATTTTGAGAATCTTTAGAATCTGGTTGATTGTGGTTTATAACATATATAAGGCTCTAAATCTGTACATGTAGTCCTTTCGAGCCTTTACTATCATGTAGACTTTAATTTATGAATACTGTGGATTCATTTATTTTCATGGATACTAATTTTCAAGACTGGATGAAAATTATATTTTTTCAAGAAAATCTAATTTTGAGGTATGTCAAACTCTGCATACATATTTGCACTTTGATAACCATCTAAAGGAGGTGTAGGCCCATTAAGACCCCTTTTTGGCCCCCAAATATAGCATTTTTACAAAGGAGAAGGTCTGCTAAAAGCTAATTTTGGCCTAAAATTTGAACAACATCTGATGAAAGATTTTTGACATTTCTTAAACACTTAAGTGTCTGCATTGAACTTTACCTTTTAACAATGAATTTTAACTTAAGTAACATTTAACTATTCCTTTACCATTGAAAATAATTGTTATCTGGATTATCCCTTTCTGATAGGATAAGCCTAACATTGGATTGATTGATTGTTGGTTGCTTAATGTCCAGTGGCAAATATTTCATGCATATTCAGGACGAGAACAAATTAACAATAAACACAATAGGTACAGTTGAACGGCAAACGCCTGATTCTGACAGATAGAGGTCAATTTGTCGACAAAAAAAGTACCCGTATGTAAAATGTTTACGCCCACAAACAGCGCCACCTATATTTTTTTCTACGGCGTCTTTGAGAACGATGTTCCGTTCTGTAGTAAATTAAAACATTAAATTAACTAAAACATAGAAAAGTAAGTGTATAAAACTAATTAAAAGATATATTTGCACATGACTGGTTATGCATGATACGCTGGCAATGTGCGCAATGTCCTTTAATCCAAGATTCAAAATTAGTTTGTTTCCTATGTCAAAATGGCGGATTCCAATGTTTACATTTTTCCATCGATTTGAGAGCTGACACAAATTCGTATCCAATCATTAATTTGCATATTATGTACTGTGTAGGGTAGCTTATCCAATGGGATTTACTGTTATAAAGTGGCTATACGTTACCATCCATCGTTACAAAAGTGCCATGTGTTTTGTGTGTATAGCTCAGGAATGATGTGTATTCAATATTTACGGTAAATAATCAATGTTATGTTCATTATATTTCCATGCATACACAAGTCATAACAGCAAATGCATTTTTTATAGAACTTATTAGGTAAACAGACATGTTTAACTGTCTGCTTTAGCAAAAATTCGTGTAAATAAACCCGATGGGTCGTTTTGAATATTCAAGCACAGCAGACAAACACGTGGTAGATTATTGATGTTTGTTTACCTAAATTGCACGCTGTTGTTACTAAATACTTAGAAATAACCATTATCGTGTTATTATTGTTTAACAGCAGATACAATTAATTTTACAATTGCATTTAACTACTTTCAAGAGTTTTATAATACACCTTGCCTAAGAAATAGGTCTAGCTAGGTCCAGGGACCTCCTTTACTAATACTAGGTCCTTAAAAAAAGAGGCTGTAATAATGTACATGATGTAAATTACCATATTTACATTCCAGCATTTTTTTGCATTTGATATATTTCATATACATGTACATGTATGTACATAGAGAACAATAGAGTAAATGAACATATATGGGTTTAATTCCCACCCTAGGTATTAATTTTAATACTCATTAGAGGTTGGAGCAAATAGGGCAGATTGCAATTGACCATAATGTAGTGTCTAAAAATGCTAATTGATGCGGCCAAGTCCTCAACATCCTTTTTTCTAAGTATACAGCAGCTCCTTTAAGGATTAGTAAGGGAACACTTTACATATAGTCCAGTGGCTAAGTCCTGTCTTTTTTGTCTCTATTATTTCCTTATTTATATTATTATATTTCTTATATTCTCTTGTACATGTAGTAAGCTAAAAAGCTATCATTACTCTTTTTCCTCATCTGCCTGATAACAATGAAATGTATTGTTGATGTCTGTAAAGTGACTTATAATTTAACAGCTAACAGACATTTGGACTCTGGTGGATAGTTTCTATACTGTTATCTCATTGGCAATCATACCACATCTCTTTATTTTAGTACAGGTTAAGTATTTAAAGTAAGTGACTAACAAACATTAAATCATTTGAAAGAAAAATTCTTCAATGATTTCAGTTTACATATATATATCAACAATAAAATTTGGTTGTATAAATTGTGTCATTATGTTTATAATGACCACTGTAATTGTGAACTGCCATGACTGTCTTGTACAAAATATATTTGAATAAGTTCCCCAATGAATAGTATATAGATGTTTAAAAAAACAAATGTATGTACTAGTTCCAGATCTATCAATTCAAAAATAATTGATGTTTTTTTAAATTAATTGAATAATAACAACTTATTGCAATAATCATGATAATCATGATATTAAAATACAAACTAGCATTCTTATATGTGATACATATATAACTTAATGCAGCTTATTCTGAAATTGTAAGGTATGTCATAAAAAAGAGATTTTTTGTAAAAGTTACCAAAATTGTCTGTATTTCAACCACATTTAGGCCTAAGAACCTTAAATTTTTAAGTGTAGAGGTTGACAAGCTAAGTCATGACTGTAAATTCAGATATTATCATGAGGTTTTTATTAAAGTAAATAATGCGATTAAATTGATTATCTCAATAAAAAGAACTCTCATTCTGATTTGATACTATGAGATTTTTTCTGATATCAGAAAAATAAATATCTCATTGTTGTCCATTCTTCAAAAAATTTCTGAACATACTGTACATGTATTTAAGTCAGCTTTGTTTTTGTCTGAGACTACTATAACATGGGAAGTGACCAATCTCTATGTTAATTGTTATAGTAGTCTCAGGTTTTTGTTTTGTAGTTCAATTGACTTTGCATTTTAGAGCAGTTAAATATGAATTTGGATTAAATTTGAAGTTGATTCAGTATATTTTATGACATAATAACACTCTTTTATTTAAACAAAGCATTTTCAGACTTTATTTACAGACCAGCTTAGCTAATCATTCATTATTCAATCAATAATTTAATTAAAGGACTCAACAGTTGTTTGTAGGACTTATGAATTCAAATATAAGGAAAAAAAATCAAAACTTGAAGTACATGTAATAGGAATTATGAGAACTGCATGATATCAGATTGCAATACAGCTTTTTGTTCAGTTTTCTTTGTGTTGATTATAATGTTTTAAATCCCTTTCTGGCTTTTTGCATGTTCAGATTTTTTCTCTTGATTAAGAGCGAGCAACTGAACTTGTACATCTTATATTGTTTCTTATCTCGGGGGTGGATCAAGCCAATTTTCAAAGAGGAGGGGGGCATGTATTGTCTACATTTTCTTTTTTTCCATATTGTATTTTAATGTAATGCAAAGTAAAATTCTATTGTAACACAAGTTCTGCTGACAAATGGCTGATAAACCCCTCTTGTATGTAATTATTTGGCATGAAATGATATATGTTTTTTCTGTATATGGAAATTAGGAATAATCCACCCTCTCTTTATAAAAGACCTGGATCTGCTTAAAAGTTCTTGCTTTTCTCAGAATTTTCCATTGTTACATCAGGAATAAAGGCTACCAATAATCATGCTTGACGATCATTGAGGTCACACATAAAGAACCCATCTCTTTGCAGATCATAGTAGAAAAACAAAGATACAATGTAGTTGGTAACATAAATGTATTTAAAAATATCAAGAGAAACATTCCCATACAGAATCTCTGTCAATAAGTTATTTTTCCACTCTTAACAGTGAAATCTTAAATATGTAAATTGATCGGCAAGCCTCGCATCTTGAAAAATAAAATGTCTGTAGGAAAGAACTATTGTTTCACAATTGATGCTGTGTTAGAATTTATAATATCACTCTTTTTTTCCCCATATGATCAGCATAAAAAGTGACAAGTTCTTCAGTCTAAATAACTTTGTTAAATCTCATTTCTGATGGAACATTTTCAGTGCACCAGATAAACAACTTTCTATGTTAGATACTTATTTAAATATAAAAATTCAAGTCTAATTTTAGAGTGAAATTTTAATATATATTTAAACAAACTGTTCTAAACAATCAACATGTACAAACACTGAGTTTATTTTCATATCCTTTCTAAGAATTTTGATACAAAGAAAGTAAAACAAAGACTTGTATCATTCCATCTACCAAAAGGGTGTTTGAGAATATACAAATAAGTCCAAGTTTCAGAGAAAAGTCAGTTATCTATAATTTTCTTCTTTGGAAGTTTTCAAAAACCTGTTTTATGGTACTTGAAAAAATGCCATATTCAAACATTCCATGACTATTTTAATGTTACAAGAGTAGAGGAACATTAAATATTGAATGGTTATTCAAGAAAGTGTCGAAATATAACTACAATCATTAATTTTACTCGAATTTACTGTTGTGAACTTGCAGTTTCCTACGACGCGTGTACGGAGTTATCTCCCGTTGATCTCCGCTTCGCCACGAATAAGCTGACACAATTGCGTATCCGGGGAATTTATGATCTATAATTAATATATAAGATCCAGAAAATGGTTTTACTTCATATTTTATACCCCTCCATACGTTACCAAACCCATTTAAGAAATGATTTGGGATTTTCCGTAGACCTACGCAAATTTTCCAAAAAAAATTTCAACTTCCATCGTTGTTTTAGAATACTTTTATAACACCTTTCATAAATAAGTATACATAATAATGAAGCTTATTCACTCAAGATTTGGACCCTACAAGTTTTATTTATGTACGAGTTACAATTAGACGATACGAGGTAAAAAACCAAGAGGTGTACACGTTCACAAGAAAACGGTAAACTCTGACCTTTTATCACGTGACCAATGTCTTGAACTTAGACGCCATTAAATCGTTTGCCGTTCAACTGGGTAGGTTCTGTAATAGGGGCGTCCGGGATCAAGGTCGGAGACATTTAGACTGCCACGGGAAATGAGGGTATATTGGATAGGGACAGAAATTTAGCCTTGCAACAGGTCACCTACGGACGCCTCAAAGAGTTGTTGCAAGGGTTCTTAACGTGCAAAGAGCGTGGCACTCTCTTTACACGAGGCATCGGATTTAACGTCCCCATTCTGACCGGACATGGCTGCAAATTTGTACATCCTGCACAGCCAAACAGACGCCCCCATTTTAGCAAGGGTTTTACTGCCGGTCATAGGAAGACCAATGGTGACCATACTTCTATTCCCCAGTCACCCTTGGGGGTGCTTAACATTGGACAGAGGGAAACAAAACTCAACATGAAGTATTTTTACCGTTAACATTGAACTCTATCTTTTACATTGAACTCTTCCTTCAACATTTAACTTTATTTTTTAACATTAAACTTTACCTTTAAAGGGGCACGAGCTAAGAGATATATAAAAAATCTAAAATATGATTTTTTTGTTCAATCATTAATGAAAGTGAAATTGTCAAATAATAATTCACTTTTAGCAGACAGTATGGTTCAATTTTCTCAAAATAAGCAAAAAAAACATTGATGATGAATTATTCACTTGCAAGTCAATAATTCGACCTCATTGAATCCGTATTCATGTGAACTTCAATTTAACCCCTTAGCTAGAGATGGATAATGAATGCATTGTTCGTGTATAGTTATTTAAAGGAAAATAATGTCAACATTGAAAGTGAAACAAAGGTAAATCATTTAATTGACTGGTTCAATCCACAACAAATCATTCTTATACAGGTAAAAACAATGATTAACATATATTTTAAATCTATAATATGAAATTGAACAGACCTAGAAGAATCTAATTGCAGGAGTTAGCGATATCTATTTATATCTATATTTATGTTAATATCACCTTTACGACCATCGGAGGTCTTCGGAGGTCAACTCGATAGTTAATTAGATGGCGTCTACACTTAAATACACACAAAACAAAGCTACATATTCTCCAGCACATACCCTGTTAATTGTTTATTTTAGACTTTTAATAATTTGGATAAATGTTTTAAATTGTTATAAATCAAATGTGAGAATTTGAGTCAAATCCGTGAACATGAATTTGACAGCTAGCTATATATATAGTGCCCCTTTAACATTAAACTTTACCTTTAACATTTAACTTTACCTTAAACATTGAACATGACCTTTAACATTGAACATGACCTATAACATTGAACATGACCTATAACATTGAACATGACCTTTAACATTGAACATGACCTATAACATTGAACTTTACCTTTAACATTTAGCTTTACCTTTAACTTTCAACCTTACCTTTCACACTGAATTTTACCTTTCACATAGAACTTTACCTTTTAAATTGAACTTTACCTTTTTTAACACTGAACTTTACCTTTAATATTGAAAAGAATTCATTATCTGGATTATCTGTTGTTGATAGGATGAACCTAACATTGGATCTGATTGACTGTGGAATCCAAAATTTGGATTTTGTCAAATTAAACCCTGGATCTAGTTGATCTACACCATCTATCAGTATGACCATAGTCTTTGTTGTTGAATTTAGAGTGTGTTCAAAGTCAGCAATAATCTCTTTAAATCCCTGAAAATAAAAGGACAGAATAATTATCTCATCTTTTTTATATTTTATTTTCTATCTTTTTATGGCATCTTAGAAAAGAGCAGGATGATGATGTTCAGTGGCAAATATTACATATAAACTAGAGGCTCTAAAGAGCCTGTGTTGCTCACCTTGGTCTATGTATAAAAAAGAAGATGTGGTATGATTCCCAATGAGACAACTCTTCACAAGAAACCAAATGACACAGAAATTAAATACTATAGGTCACCATACGGCCTTCAACAATGAACAAAGCCCATACTGCATAGTCAGCTATAAAAGGCTGTGAAATGACAAATGTAAAACCAATCAAACGAGAAAACTAACTGCCTAATCTATGTACAAAATAATGAACGAAAAACAAATATGTAACACAGCATATCTGGGAAAAAAATCCAGTAAATGTGTATAAACATGTTTAACCCCGCCGCATTTTTGCGCCTGTCCCAAGTCAGGAGCCTCTAGCCTTTGTTAGTCTTGTATTATTTTTAATTTTAGTTTCTTGTGTACAATTTGGAGTTTAGTATGGCGTTCATTATCACTGAACTAGTATATATATTTGTTTAGGGGCCAGCTGAAGGACGCCTCCGGGTGCGGGAATTTCTCGCTGCATTGAAGACCTGTTGGTGGCTTTCTGCTGTTGTCTGTTCTGTGGTCGGGTTGTTGTCTCTTTGACACATTCCCCATTTCCATTCTCAATTTTATGAATGCCAATAAGACAACTATCCACCAGAGTTCAAATGATGTGAATGTAAGCAGTTCCATTATATTTTATTACAATACAATTTACGAAAAACAAATATGACAGACATGAACCAACACAACTACTGAATCACAGGCTCCTGAATTTGGACAGGCACATAAACAATTTAGCTCAATCCCCCTTAAGGGCTATTCCATTAAAATATATGTGGGAGGGTAGGAAGGAACTTTCAAAATATCCCTACAACCAAGAACCATTTTTTAGATAATTTTGCATAATGGTAATAGAAGCATACTGAAAAAAGACCCATGACCCACATTCAATAATTAAATTTCCCTTCCTTCCCTCCCACACACATTTTAATGGAATAGCCCTAACCTGGAACTGTTGTGGGACAGCACAGCGTAAAAAGAATCCCTCTATTTACTCAACTGACACACAGATCTAGATTTTTTTAGTGCAAGTTCACAAATAAACCCAGTCTGCAGGAATACATGTCAATTATCCCAGACACTGAATTCTGACTCTTATCCTACCAGTCTTTACTCTTATCCTTAAAACCTATCTGACAAGTGCATGAACAGCAAACACCAAGTTTTTTAGTTTTCTACTTAGAGCAGCTGGAGAATGAACCTATTACCCCTACACTCAAGTAGGCACACTACCATTAAACCACAAAGGGGGTATAAGGAAACCTTAGAAACAAGCAAATAGGAGATGTTAAACAAACCACTGTAATAGAAATGCTTGTGAGCACTGAAAAATAAAGATTGCACTCATTTCAAAGTAGGAACTATGGATGTCATTGTATTAGGCATGAGAAGGAAATACTATAAATTGGAGCTATCTTCAATTACAACTATGAACAAAGAGTGATAACTCATATTCTAAATTTGAATTTAACTATTTTTTCAAATAGATAATTGACAGGAAATGATGCACCATATAAGAGTTTAATTTAAATTTTGATTAATTTGCCAATAAGTCTTTCACAAATAATAAACTTGTGATTATATTTGTATAAAATAGATTTACCTAAGGTAAAAGATATGTTTATACACAAATTAATTTCTAATAAGGTTCCTTCAAAGTTGCATACCTGCCAACTGTCACTATTTGCTGGGGATTTCCCCCATGAAATCTCCCAAATGGAAATTTTGAAAGAGCAATTGTGTCAACAATTTAAAATAAAACAATCAATTTGACTATGGCTGTAGGTTAGAAAAACTATGGAGAAGCAAAAACAACATCAAAAGAAATTTAAAGGCCCCTTTAAAGGCTTTGCAGGACTATGAGAGTCATTTTGTGCATAAAACCCCCATGGGCCTTTTGAAATGTTGGCAGGTATGAAGTTGAGGTGTGAAAAATAAAGAGAGGATTCCCAATTTTAAATGTTTTTCATAATTAGGTTTATCCAAAATTCATGGCTAAGTTTCCCCTAACTTAATTTTTCTGGCTACTGCAATCCAAAAAAAATTTCATTCATGTTCATTACTATTGACATCTTTATTCTGACTTTTTACAATTTTTTTATTTAATTTTACCCATTTTTCTTCAGGAAACACCAGAAATCAGCCCCAATCTAAGGAACAATGTATCAACAATTCTGAATTAACAAAGCATGCCATGGCTCTTGTTCTCTTGAAGATGGATATCAAGAACCCAGATACATGCTTTATAACAGAAAAGTTAAAACTGTTTTTTTATTAACTCAGACTTGTTATGCCAACATTGACTATGGTTCGAGGTTAATATATAGGTGTATTTCTGTCAAAACACAAAGCAAACATTACCAAAGTCAGCAACCAAACACAATTAGATGCGAAAAGAGTTTGGACTCAGAAACATCTTTGTGAAATTTATTGCACAATAAGTGTAACTAGGTGCAAATGTCATAGTTCAAAATGTTTAAGTTAAAAAATGTGACAGAATTGTCAAAATGGATAAGCACTGATATGCATTATGGTATACACTTATACCATGATGTGCTCTTTTACACTTGTGTATACAATGTGTTACTATTGCAGGATCTTTTCTCTAAAGAAATACCTATTTAACTAGCTTTATATGTTGTGTATAGGTAACTGTTTTCAAAGGTAAGTTACTGTTGTTTCTACTTGCATTTAATCCTTTATGCCCTTAAGGTGGCTAGGGCGTCTTAATTAAAATTGAAAGAATTTTTTAATAATTTGTCAAAATGAAGTATTTATCATGCTTTTTTTCAAAAATATAATAAAAAGTATGGGTCACCGGACTTTTTTTCATGCTACAGGTTGTGCAAAGTTGTAAGATTTTGTATAGATAATGCATGGAAAATCAACTTTTGTGTGATAAAAAGAAAACTAACTGATAGAATTTTAAGATATAATTTGAGAAGAAAGCTCTTAAAACATGCTTTCAGATAAGAAAAATAAAAAATGGGGTCACCGAACTTGTTTTCTTGCTTCAGATTAAAATAGGTAAATTCACAACACTTTCTATTGTAAAAATGACTTTATCGGAGTTATCTCCCCTTATTTGGCAAAATTGAAAAAAAATTAATCAAACACAAATAAGGTGTTTTTGAGAAATTACAGCTGTAATTATGATAAAACATACAATATTCTATAATTATATCAAAAGTCTTACACATAAATTGCATACTGCTCTCAAAATTTGCACATTTAATCAAAGATCTAGACCAACGCTATCTGCTACTTCAAAATCCAAGATGGAGGAAGACACCCGAGCCACCTTAATAATCAATAAATAAATGTCTAATGTGTCCATGGGACAGATGATGCCCCTGCTTCCATATAAATATATATAGGGGTATAACTCGAGAACGATAAAAGTGACACATCCAAAATTCAAACTTGGTCTGTGTTTTGTGGTAACAAGTATTGTGAATAAGTTTCATAATATCTAATGGAGGCAAACTAAAGTTAGAGAACGGAAACAAGTTTTGGGACATATACAGAATGTGTACAGATGGACAATGGTAACACTTAATGCCCCCTCTGCTGCAACGACTCATAAAAATAATCAAAAGTTTGTATATGTCTGTGACACACTTGGAAAATCTGGATCAGCCCTTGCTATCATAGGCAGGTGATAAAAGTGGAAAACCCATTAATTCATAAGAAGTTGGAACATTAGTTCAAAAGTTAAGGATGTTCGCTACTTTGTTTTTGACTTTTTGTCAGATTTTCAGAATCCTCTAGTTTTATCCATGTAGTTCAAATAAAAAATTTTGCCCACTGACCCCTACTTTTCTTTTCAGAATTTTATTGCATATAGTTTTAAAAGTCATTTTTGAAAATTTTATAAAATCCTTGTTATTTTTTCATAGCTTTTGAAAGAAAAAAGGTGCCAATGTTAAATGTATGAAAAATCTAGAGAGAACCATTTCCCGCCAAATTTTCGATTGATAATATCTCAAAAAACTACAACATGGACCTGTCATTTTTTTTTTTTTTTTTAGGTTCCCTTATTCATGTTCTATCAATTTATATAACAGTCTTTTAAAAACCTTGTTATTTTGAAAGAGAGGAGCAAACATCCTCAACTGTTTACTTGTAGAAACTATATGGTATCAATTTTTTTTTTATAAATGATTTTCTGTGTACATTGTAATACCTTAGGAGGAACCTGCTGCTCACGGTCATCAATGGTTCTAATTTGGTCAATAATGCTTTGTAGTAAGTCCAACAGATTTGAGCTCCCTGGGGTCAGTCGTACAAACCTGAAATCATAAAGACAATTTGCAGTTCACACAGTTAAATCACTCTAGCTTGTGTACCAGTAATTGGGTCAATGAAATAACAAAAGTAATTACAGTGACCTGAAAAATGAAAGCAATTTAATTGGACAATAATTGCAGGAAAGCAAATGCTATTCATAACATGTTGAAAGAGTGAATAGATATTTAAATCTAGATAATTTGAAAGATACACATTAATTGGCCACATAAAGTTCACATCCCCTTTTTGCTAAAGGAATTCAGGAAAAAACATTTTGTCCCTTATTGAACACTTTTGGTGAAAGTCCAGTAATTTCAAACCTTGTGTGATCATTTGTAGTATTTTCATATGAAAACCTGTTTTACTGTCTTCAAGTAGAAGTTAAAATGCTTGTAAAAGATTCTACAACAGTTCTATAATGTAAAATTAAGCCAAAATTACAGTTGTATTTGTCATTTACCGAAAATAGAAACAGAATGCGTAAATCGCATACATTTACAGTGAAAGCCTGCAGAAAATCTGTGAAAGATATTGAAAAAAAAGAATACCGCTTTGAAATTAAAACAGTGCCATCCTTAAATTAAAGAACCTTAGTGAGCGCGCTCACATACCCCACATCCTCACATTGTCATTGGAGAAATAAAATAAGTGTAAGAAAAAAAAATTGAATCATAATTTCCTGTCAATATGCACATCTACATAGTATGTCCTTATTATCTACAAAGTTTCATGAAATTCTGTTGTGTGGTTTCAGAGGAGTTGCGAAGACAAACTGTTGCAGAAGTACATTGAAGCAAATAAGTTCAAAGGGGCGTAACTCCTAGAAAAAAAATTGAATCATAATTTCCTGTCGATAAGCACATCTACATAATATGTCCTTATTATCTAAAAAGGTTTCATGAAATTCTGCTGTGTGGTTTTAGAGGAGTTGCGATGACAAACTGTTGCAGTGGTACATTAAAGCAAATAAGTTCAAAGGGGCGCAACTCCTAGAAAAAAAATTGATTCGTAATTTCCTGTCGATATGCACATCTACATAGTATGTCCTTATTATCTACAAAGTTTCATGAAATTCTGTGGTGTGGTTTCAGAGGAGTTGCGATGACAAACTGTTGCAGTAGTACATTGAAGCAAATAAGTTCAAAGGGGCGCAACTCCTAGAAAAAAAATTGAATCGTAATTTCCTGTCGATATGCACATCTACAGAGTATGTCCTTATTATCAACAAAGTTTCATGAAATTCTGTGGTGTGGTTTCAGAGGAGTTGCGATGACAAAAGGTTGCAGTAGTATATTGGGTAAAGAAGTTCAAAGGGGCGTAACTCCTGGGAAAAAAATTGATTCCTAAATTCCTGTCGATATGCACATCTACATAGTATGTCCTTATTATCTGACAAGGTTTCATGAAATTCTGTTGTGTGGTTTGAGAGGAGTTGCGATGACAAGAAACAGGACTGACGGACTGACGGACGGACAGACAGACAGACGGACGGGTCAAAAACATTATACCCTTCGCAAAAAATTTGCATGGGGTGTAATAATTACATTACATGTATGTTTCATTATAACAATTTATCTTGATTGGCTAACAGCAATCTGGCATCATTCTGAAATAAACCTTCATTTCAAAATGAAATGCGACATTCATGATGACAAGAGCTTCAACAATGAAAGAACCTTAGTGAGCGCGCTCACATACCCCACGTCCCCACATTGTCATTGGAGAAATAAAATAAGTGTAAGAAAAACTAGAGGCTCTAAAGAGCCTGTGTCGCTCACCTTGGTCTATGTGCATATTAAACAAAGGACATAGATGGATTCATGACAAAATTGTGTTTTGGTGATGGTGATGTGTTTGTAGATCTTACTTTACTGAACATTCTTGCTGCTTACAATTATCTCTATCTATAATGAACTTGGCCAAGTAGTTACAGTGGAAAATATTTTGTAAAAATTTACAAAAATTTACCAAATTTATGAAAATTGTAAAAAATTGATTATAAGGGCCATAACTCCTTAAGGGGTCAATTGACAATTTTGGCCATGTTGACTTATTTGTAGATCTTACTTTGCTGTACATTATTGCTGTTCACAGTTTATCTCTATCTATAATAATATTCAAGATAATTACCAAAAGCTGCAAAATTTTCTTAAAATTACCAATTCAGGGGCAGCAACCCAAAACATGTTGCCTGATTGGTCTGAAAATTTCAGAGCAGATAGATCTTGACCTAATGAACAATTTTATTCGCGTCAGATTTGCTCTAAATGCTTTGGTTTCAGAGATATGAGCCAAAAGCTGCATTTTACCCTATGTACTTTTTTTTAGCCATGTCGGCCATCTTGGTTCGCGGGCGGGGTCATCGGACACATTTTTTAAACTAGATACCCTAATGATGATTGTGGACAAGTTTGGTTAAATTTGTCTTAATAGTTTCATGAGAGAAGATTTTTGTAAAAGATTACAAAAATTTACGAAAAATGGTTAACAAGAGTGCACACGCTGAAATGTCTCGCCTTCTTTACTAATCATTGATATTATGTTGATAGTCCTAAATATAAAGCTTTATTACAACTATCACATAAACTTAACATTAACCAAGTAAACTAAACATTGACCAATGAACCATGAAAATGAGGTCAAGGTCAGATGAACCTTGCTAGGCAGGCATGTACAGCTAACAATTCTTCCATACAACAAATATAGTTGACCTATTGCTTATAGTTTAAGAAAAACAGACGAAAACACAAAAACTTAACACTGAGCAATGAACCTTGAAAATGAGGTCAAGGTCAAATAAAACCTAGGCCTGCGTAACTGACATATAGATCATAAAATATTTCCATACACCAAATATAGTTGAACTATTGCATATAGTATTAGAAAAAAAGACCAAAACTCAAAAACTTAACTTTGACCACTGAACCATGAAAATGAGGTCAAGGTAAGATGACACCTGCCAGCTAGACATGTACACCTTACAATCATTCCATACACCAAATATAGCTGACCTATTGCATGCAGTATTAGAAAGAAAGACCAAAACTCAAAAACTTAACTTTGACCACTGAACCATGAAAATGAGGTCAAGGTCAGATGACACCTGCCAGCTAGACATGTACACCTTACAATCATTCCATACACCAAATATAGTAGACCTATTGCATACAGTATAAGAAAAACAGACCAAAACACAAAAACTTAACTATAACCACTGAACCATGAAAATGAGGTCAAGGTCAGATGACACCTGCCAGTTGGACATGTACACCTTACAGTCCTTCCATACACCGAATATACTAGACCTATTGCTTATAGTATCTGAGATATGGACTTGACCATGAAAAATTAACCTTGTTCACTGATCCATGAAATGAGGTCGAGGTCAAGTGAAAACTGTCTGACGGGCATGAGGACCTTGCAAGGTACGCACATACCAAATATAGTTATCCTATTACTTATAATAAGAGAGAATTTAACATTACAAAAAATCCGAACTTTTTTTTCAAGTAGTCACTGAACCATGAAAATGAGGTCAAGGACATTGGACATGTGACTGACGGAAACTTTGTAACATGAGGCATCCATATACAAAGTATGAAGCATCCAGGTCTTCCATCTTCTAAAATATAAAGCTTTTAAGAAGTTAGCTAACGCCGCCGCCGCCGCCGCCGGATCGCTATCCCTATGTCGAGCTTTCTGCGACAAAAGTCGCAGGCTCGACAAAAATTGACTATAAAGGGCAATAACTCCTTAAGGGGTCAACTGACCATTTTGGTCAAGTTGACTTATTTGTAGATCTTACTTTGCTGAACATTATTGCTGTTCTCAGTTTATCTCTATCTATAATAATATTCAAGATAATAACCAAAAACGGCAAAATTTTCTTAAAATTACCAATTCAGGGGCAGCAACCCAACAACGGGTTGTCCGATTCATCTGAAAATTTCAGGGCAGATAGATCTTGACCTGATAAACAATTTTACCCCATGTCAGATTTGCTCTAAATGCTTTGGTTTCAGAGATATAAGCCAAAATCTACATTTTACCCCTATGTTCTATTTTTAGCCATGGCGGCCATCTTGGTTGGTTGGCCGGGTCACCGGACACATTTTTTAAACTAGTTACCCCAAGGATGATTGTGGCCAAGTTTGGTCAAATTTGGCCCAGTAGTTTTAGAGGAGAAGATTTTTGTAAAAGTTAACGACGATGGACGAAAACGACGGACGACGACGACGGACGACGGACGCCAAGTGATGAGAAAAGCTCACTTGGCCCCTTTGGGCCTGGTGAGCTAAAAATTAAAAAGCTTCCTCTACAATTTCAATAACAAATATGGTGGAACTTAAAAAAAATCATTGCCAAATTTAGTTTTTCTCTTATTTTTTGCTTTTAGAACTCTAAAATCTGCACCCTGCCTGGCAATTTTAATTATATAGTAAAAAAAGCCTCTTTTTGGTAGTGGCGTATTTTTACTCCTAATAGTTTTTAATCCACCAATGTTAACAAAAAAATTAACACTTTTCAGGAATAATGTGACGCACAGTACCTCATAATAACAGGAATATTTCCTCTCTTTTTCTTCGTCCACCATTCTGATGCCTTTGCTGCTATCATTGACATCACAAATGTTTTGCCACTACCAGATGCTCCATGGATAATTCTGTACTTAAATTTGTTCTTTGATGTATCTAGAACATATTTTCGCATTCTCTGAAGAAAAATAAGTCATATGTGATAACAACTCAAACCATAACTTACAGGGTTGTCCCTTCAACAAAATATTCAGCAGATGTGCCCTTTATTTGGAGAGATGTTTTTTGTGTTTTATTTGGAAACAAGAGGCTCTCAAGAGCCTGAATCGCTCACCTGTAATTTTTTTTGCTTAAATCTTTCACCAATGATTAATTTTGCTTTTTACCCATATGTTCCATGTAAGCTATAGAATCTATGTTTCTTGACGTACAAGGAAATGAAATACAAAATTTATACTAGATTCATTTGAGAACATTTTTAAAGTTAAAAAACATTAAACAACTTGTATAAAATTGTCCTTAAAGGGCAATAACTCCTTAAGGGGTCAATTGACAATTTTGGTCATATTAAACTTTTTTGTAGATCTTACTTTGCTGAACATTTTTGCTGTTTAAATTTATCTTTATCTTCAATAATATTCAAGATAATAACCAAAAACTGCAAAATTTCCTTAAAACAACCAATTTAGTGGCAGCAACCCAACAATGGTTTGTTCAGTGTGTCTGAAAATGTCAGGGCTGATAGATCTTGACCTTTTGAAAATTTTTACCCCATGTCAGATTTGCTCTAAATGCTTTAGTTTCTGAGATATAAGCCAAAAACTGCATTTCACCCCTATGTTCTATTTTTAGCCATGGCGGCCATGTTTGTTGATGGATCAAAATTTTGGATAAAATTCATAAACTAGATTCCTAAAGGAAAATTCATTCAAAGTTAAGAAGTATTAGGCACAATAGTTTCAGAAGAGAGGATTTTTAAATGTTAGCAAACTTGATGAACACATTGCGTAAAATTGTCTTTAAAGGGCAATAACTCCTTAAGGGGTCAATTGACAAATTTGGTCATTTAACTTTTCTGTAGATCTTACTTTGCTGAACATTATTGCTGTTTACAGTTTATATCTATCTATAATAATATTCAATATAATACCAAAAAACTGCAAAATTTCCTCAAAACTACCAATTTAGTGGCAGCAACCCAACAATGGGTTGTTCGATTTGTCTGAAAATTTCAGGGCTGATAGATCTTGACCAATTGAACATTTTTACCCATGTCAAATTGCTCTAAAAGCTTTAGTTTTGGAGATATAAGCCAAAAACTGCATTTGACCCCTATGTTCTATTTTTAGCCATGGCGGCCATGTTTGTCGATGGATTAAAACTTCGGATACAATTTATAAACTAGATATCCTAAGGAACATTTAGATGAAGTTTGGAGGTATTCGCCTAGTAGTTTCAGAGGAGAAGATTTTTAAATGTTAGCAAACTTGATGAACAAATTGTGTAAAATTGTCTATAAAGGGCAATAACTCCTTAAGGGGTCAATTGACAATTTTGGTCATATCAACTTTTTTGTAGATCTTACTTTGCTGAACATTATTGCTGTTTACAGTTTATATCTATCTATAATAATATTCAAGATAATAACAAAAAACTGCAAAATTTCCTTAAAACTACCAATTTAGTGGCAGCAACCCAACAATGAGTTGTTCGATTCGTCTGAAAATTTCAGAGCTGATAGATCTTGACCAATTGAACAATTTTACCCCATGTCAGATTTGCTCTAAAAGCTTTAGTTTTTGAGATATAAGCCAAAAACTGCATTTGACCCCTATGTTCTATTTTTAGCCATGGCGGCCATGTTTATCGATGGATCAAAACTTCGGATACAATTTAAAAACTAGATACCCTAAGGGACATTTAGTTTAAGTTTGAAGGTATTTGGCCCAGTAGTTTCAGAGGAGAAGATTTTTGAAATAGTTTACGACGACAGATGACGGACGTCGACGGACGCAAAGTGATGGCATAAGCTCACATGGGGCCCGCTGGTGAGCTAAAAAGAGGATAAGGGTGTTTAATTTTATCACACTTGTTCAATTACTGTAAAAAAATCATACTTGAAATATTCCTCTGTTAATTTTAATATTATTTGCATGATTTTAAATCTGTTTATATCATTTCAAGAGCTTTAAGAAATGATAGCAAATGTGGAAATAAAAATTTGTTTTAGCTGAATTCCAGCTATAGTGTCTCATGTATGGACCATGTCACACATTGCATTAACTCTATGAAGGGTCTGTAAGTAGCCTATGGCAAGGGAAAATATCTATCATACTCTAATTGTATTATATGTCTGTTTGGTCTGCTCACCAAGTTTTGCCAATAAAATGGAATTATAAACAACTGTCTTACAAGAAGGCGGTTTAGCTGGCTATTAAACCAGGTTTAACCCAACATTTTCTTCTGAACATGCCTGAAGCAAGTCAGGAATATGGCAGTTGTTTTTCACTTGTTCCATTGACTGATAGTGTTTGATTTTGTAAGTATTTGTGGACTTCTTTTTTTTTAAATTCAATATTTTTTTGTTAAAACTTTTCTTGTCTACCTGTTTTGTAGAATCTAACTTTTAGATAATATTGCTGTGTCTATATGATACTTATTTTAAAGTTTTTGGTTTGACCTATTTGGGAATCAAACCAAACCTGTGCTGCACTTGAGGCTAGCATGCTATCACCAGACTACAGAGGCAGTTTTAATCATATGAATTTTTATGATTAAAATGTGTAAAAATCTAATGATTACCCTCTGTTTATTCCTAATTTTGGTTTTGCATCTTTTTCAGTGATATTTTTGGGTCATTATATTTTTTTGTATATAATTTTAGATTTTCTATATTAAGTTTTGTGCACCACTGATGAAAAACCTTTTTAACAAAAATGCATTTTGTGCATCTAATCATATTTACAATAAAGTTTATATTTAAAATAGATCTTTTTCAGGGCATCCCCCCTGGGTATGTTGCAAATTACTTTTTTGGTATGAAAATATTTTACCAATTATCATTCAATATACAACAGAAACATCTAACACTTGAAATTTAAAGATTAAACTTTCAAAAATCCGTAAGGGTTCCACGGAACCCAGTGTCTCGCCTACTTTTGCTGTTGTCTATGTTTTCAGTGTGATAGGGGAATGTACATAATAGATTTACAGTTAATGAAATAAAACGTTTGAAATGTATGAAAAAAGTTATGCTTGTAAAAAATGAATACAGTATGCAATCAAATTTATAGATTTATAAAAGAGTTGAAACATAAATTTATTGAATGAACAAATGATAAAGAAGATTATTAAAAATTTTCCTCTAGATACTATCTTTTGATTGTAAGAAGCTTCTGTCCAAGTTTGGTAAAAATCCAGGATGGTTTATGAATCTAATATATGTTTTAATAAACTGTTATCACAGAGATATGTCTCGCCTTTTTGTAATTTTGATAATGCAAATGTTGAAATTAAAATAGCAATACTTTAACATGTAAGTTATGCAAATATTCAAAGTCAATGAACCATGACTGAAGGTACATGGCTAAACAATGAGATGTGCCAATGCTAATACAACTGCATACCAAATACCATTGACTTATTATAAGTCGTTCCCTTTAAACAAACCTAAACACAAACATTAACTTGTAAACTATGTAAAAGTTTCAAAGTCAATGAACCATGTTGTTTTGTCCATAGATTACTCAGTGGTAACACCGCACGGTCAAGTAAAGTGGTCTTAACCTCCCTTCAATGCGTATATTTCGTCATTTGTTCGCACTAAATTCCCCATTTTACCAAAAATAGATCACGTTTAAATATATTGGCCAATCAGGCAGCTGCGGTGTTGCTTCATCCTTATTGTTATCAATCGGGACACCACTCGGGCGTTTCCGAGGCACGTGTTATTCCCACCGACCAATGGAAAGCGGAGGTCTATTTTCGTTGTTCCAACTTTAGAATTTGACATCAGATGTGTATTTCCCTAAGATTGAAAAATGTAAAAGCTTGAAAGAGAAAATGAAATTAAACTTTAACAAATTTGTCGGTTGTTGTCAGTTTATCAAGAACGGTTTTTTGAAATGGCATTTCTCAGATAAATTATTATGAAATAAGTATCTCTATGTAAATAATCCAATTCCCCTATATTCGTCGATCTTTTCCCTCCCTCCTCGGCTCATATATGCCTCATAGTATCTCAGTGGTCAAGTCTAGTTGCTGCCGTCATGGCACAACAATCAACCCTAGCAAGTTTTTTTTCAGTGGAATTCCTTAAAAAAAAATTTGGGCATGTAGATTTCACTTTCGGACAAGTAAAAGTAATAGGGCACTTGCCCAACTGGACAAGTTGGTATAAAAGTTAATGTCGAACACTGTCAGCTTACTGTAGAGTCACATCACAACATAGAAAGACACACTATAAAATATCAATTGAAATGGCTTAACTCAATCAAAAGACATATTAACACGATTGAACATACACTGAACAAATAAAATTGATCTATGATCCAATGTAAATACAAAATCAATAAAATAAGGGATGAATAATTAAAGTAACAGGATTACACCGCTGTGAAATGTTAAACAATTTCAGAAAAACAACAATAAGCTTGAACAAAAATATCCGCCATTTGCAATTATATTATACACAGGTAAATGAAAATAATTTTGTTGTTAGGTATACATGTACAGTTCAAATGGAGAAAGGAAATATTTTTACAAAATAAATAATTTTGATGTTCATAGTAGGATAAAGTGAAAATTTATAGTAATACCAACACTTACCAAAGCTGGTAAATAGATTAGATATAACCCTGAATAAGTAAACATTAAATAACAAAAAAGCATTATAAATAGTATCAACAGGTCAAATAAACAAGAAAGTAGGATTTGAGAGTACTTGCAGTTACTGACAGCTAGTTGAAAGCCAAAAACAATTGATAATAAAAAATCATGCATCAGAGACTAAAATCAACTAAAACACATCCCAGGGATTTAGTATTTAACGTCATGAACAGTCAAAGAAGACATGACTTGTGCAATGCCAAAAATAAATGTATCGACAGGCAGTAGGATAGTTAGGAGTTAACCTCTTTATAGATCAAAATGAACGTGGGTGTGTCTTTATACAACCCGTTTGAAAAGAATACAAATTTAGTTGTGTTTTAATTTGCTGATGACAAAATCGATATTAGTGCCAATGTAAACTATATTCAAAGATCTAATTACAACATTGGTAAGGTAACCTTTACTAATAAGTTTGTTTAAAGGTTTGATGAGTTTACACGGATCACATAGTGATTTTGACGCTTTAAGTACAATATTACCGTAAAATTTAGGGTGTGAAATACCGTTTTTAATCAGTTTTCTACAGATACAGCAAAAGTTACTTGTCAAATCTTTGTATCTATGAAAAATTTTAGTAAAAGTTTTATGTAATTTATGGTAACGAAATCCCTGACTTAATAATTTACCAGTGAGGCATTGATTACTTTAGTTAAAATCTATTACATCGCTACACATACGGGCATAACGAACGAGTTGGGATATATAAACACCGTATGATGGAGCCATGTCCATTTATAAGCAAAATATGGATAAACAGGATTTTTTTTTTACAAAATTTACTTCTTGATACTATCTTATGATCATAAACAAGCTTCTGTCCAAGTTTGGTACAAATCCAGGATAGTTTAAGAAAGTTATTAAAATTTCAAAAACTTTAACCACAGGGTGAATGTGATGTTAACTGGTAGAAAAACAAAGTTCATTTATAAGTGAAATACGGATAAACAGGATTGTTTTTTTCACAAAATTTACTACTGGACACTATCTTATAATCATTAACAACCTTCTGTCCAAGTTTGGTACAAAGCCAGGATAGTTTAAGAAAGTTATTAAAATTTCAAAAACTTTAACCACAGAGTGAATATTTGTGGCCGCCAACAACAACCAAGCTGATGACGGAATGTAGGATTGCTATGTCTCGCTTTTGCGATAACTGTCGCAGGCTCGACAAAAATTAAGTGTCATTAAGCGATTTAAAATTTTTAGAAAAAACATAATTGGGGAATGTGTCCATGGGACACAGATAATGCCCCCACTTGCATATCATATAAAGTTATAAGGGGACAATTAACTGAAGAATGGTAAAAGTGAAGCTATCCAAATTTGTACTTGATTTGAGTTTTGTGGTAATAACAATTGTGTATAAGTCTCATAACATTTGGTTGAGGCAAACTTAAGTTATATTTGTAAAGGGGCATAACTCTAAAACAGTTAAAGTGACACCACCAAAATTCAAATTGGTCTGTATTTTGTTGTAATAAGCATTTTGCATAAGTTTCATAGCATTTGGTTGAAGCAAACTAAAGTTAGAAAACGGAAACGAAAAATTTAGGAATTTGTCCAACTGTAAAGGAGCATAACTCTAAAACGGTTAAAGTGATGCCACCAAAATTCAAACTTGATCTGTATTTTGTGGTAATAAGCATTGTGTATAAGTTTCATAGCATTTGGTTGAGGCAAACTAAAGTTAGAGAAAGGAAACCAACTTTGGGACGTACAGACGGACAAGGGTAAAAGTTAATGCTCCCTCTGCTATGGCGGGGGCATAAAAAAAAATCTGTTTAAATCAAGGGCAGATGATTATACTGATTTTTATGACAATTTCTGGGGTTTTTTTTCTTATTTTTCAAGAAAATAAGGCATGTGACCCCTATTTTTCAATTTCATATTTCAGAAGAATTTATAAAAAGCAATTCTATTGTCAAATGATTCCTTAATAAGGAAAAAATTTAATTTTCCATATATTACCCATATAAAATAACTGATTTCGTTAATTTGTATGTATTTAACAGAAAAACCAAGGTCTGTTACCCCTCAGAAGTTTTTTACAGAAGTTTAAGAAAAATTTAATATAAAAAATTTAGACACCACAGCTACCTTTATAGCAATATCTGTTTTGGGGATACTCCCATTTTACATAGATAAATAAAATCGTATAATATAAGCAAAATGAGGATGTTAAATTTGATGTATGCCTTTTTGTGCTTCCTCGTTACATTTGTTTGTTTTTAAAGTGATTAAAGTGATTAAGATGATAACACAATGTTGACTGCTGTACCCCTATTTTTGACATTTTTACCTATTATGTCTGTTTGTTTTGTTCACGCATCATTGTCAATATAATGGAATTTGATGCGACTGTCATACAAGTGAGAGGTATAGCTAGCTATAAAACCAGGTTCAATCCACCATTTTCTACATGAGAAAATGCCTGTACCAAGTCAGGAATATGACAGTTGTTATCCATTCGTTTGATGTGTTTGTTTTTTTGATTTTGCCATTTGATTAGGGACTTTCCTTTTTGAATTTTCCTCGGAGTTCAGTATTTTTGTGATTTTACTTTTTAAAAATTTTACTTACTTCTATAACATCTTCATTGCCTTGGAAATTTTTATACTTTGACTGACAGTACAAAAGGTGTTGTAAAGATTCATCATACAGAGGGCTTTTAATTGAATACAATTGTCTTTTCTTGATAGCTTCATTGATCATCTGCTTCAGTTTTCTTTCCACACCTTTTACCATTTTATCAACCATTTGGACTTTGTTTGCTGGATTAACCCCTTAAAGTCAAGTGAGATGATAAATTATTACTCTAATATAACCTCCCCTTCATGTTATTTTGTATCTTACTTGTTAAATTACTCAGTGAGAATGATGAGTAAAAAAATAAAGCTGTCTGTCATGTTTCTTCTTTGTTTAAATTGTTTTAAATTAATCATGTCTAGGCTTTTTATAGCTTGCTATAGATATAAGAAGATGTGGTTTGAGTGCCAATGAGACAACTCTCCATCCAAGTCAAAATTTATAAAAGTGAACCATTATAGGTCACAGTACGGTCTTCAACACGAAGCCTTGGCTCACACCGAACAGTAAGCTATAAAGGGCATATGCATGGATGTTCTGATCATTGTAGAATGTCTAATGGTAACATATGGTGACTTAAAACCACATCACTTGGTCGTCTCATTGGCAATCATACCACTTCTCCTTTTTCAAAGGAATTGATAAATTGAGGCATTAGCATGAAAGGAGTAGGTCCGCTAAGACCCCTTTTTGGCCCAAAAATATAGCATTCAAATATTTGTTAAAAACATAAACTTTTAGTCATTATCGAAAAGAAGAACACTTTTGTTACATAAATATGGGCTGTTTTTGACATTACACTAGTACTGCACATGCATCAGGTACTAGTATCCTTAATTCATGCAAAATTACTTGAATCTTCACAATCTTAGAATTTGTGCTAATTTTAGACGGTTTTCCTCTAAAATGGAAGTGGCCGCACTTGTGTTCATTCTTAATATTATATATATTTTGTATTTGATAATAATACATAACATATATAAAGGTTGAGACTGAACACAAATGTGGCCACTTCCATTTTGGACAAAAACCATCTGAAAAGTGACGTTTTGTACGTGGCATAAATTTTGATAGAATTTCATATTTAGGCTTGAATTTAGGCGTCTTTAATGACCAAATCAGTTCAACTCTATTACAAAAACTAATTGCATCGACTGAAGAAGACACTTAAGTGTTTAATGAATTTCAAAAATCTTTTATCAGATGTACTTCAAATTTTAGGCCAAAATAAGCTCTTACCGGACCTTCTCCTTTACTATCTCTCAGCCTATATTTGTTCATGTCTGTCAAAATCGTTTTTCGTAAATTGTTCTGTTATCAATTAGGTCATTAGTTTTCTCAATTAAATAGTTTAATATTTTCATATTGGGGCTTTTTATAGCCAACTATACAGTATGGATTTTTTTCATTGTTGAAGGCTGTACAGTTGCCAATGATTGCTTACATCAACTACATTTGAATTTTCTTTCTTCATAACGTCACATGGAAATTCAGAAGAAACCAAGAAAATTTGAGTTATTAAATTCTGACCAATCATTTGCTGAAAACATTTAAGCGTTCTCTAGAGATGAGAAATATTTTTCTCACACTGCTCGCGAAATGTGAAAAAAAGCATGAAAATTAGAGAAATGCTATACTACTCTCATTGCAACTTTTGCAATGGTACAAACGTTTTTTTTTTTTATAAATTTAAAGTATGCCAATTGTATATATGTAACATACCTTTTTCATGTTTTGTAGTGTCATATGATAAAATGTTACCAGCGGGAAGTTGTTTTGCTAACTCTGTCGTCAGATCTTTCAGTAAATCTGTTATTGATGTTTTCAACTTTTCATTTCTAAATGAATCTGTAAATAAACAATATAATAACATTGTGCTATGGATGTCATCAGATATATATTAAAGGTTCCTACTACTGCAAAAATATCTATTTGTTTTTTTTTTATTTTTCAGGACATTTATCTTTAAACAAGTGTAGAATTAAAAGACAATAAACTGTTGACACAGAGATATGTCTAGCCTGTTTTTAATTTTGATACTAAAATTCAAATACTGATATTAAAATGGCAAAACTTTAACATGCAAACTATGAAAACAATCAAAGTCAATAAACCATGACTGATAGTGCAGGGTCAAATAATCTATTAGAAATGAGAGCTGCCAATGCTAGTTCATCTTCATACAAAATATCATTAACTTTTAAAATAGAAAATCAGTACATGCACAGCAAAAAAACACACAAAAAGCAAAGGAACAGGGCTTTTATTGCTATTCTTCATCTCAAAGTCATTGAGGCCTTCAACACAGAGCAAAAAACTCGCACCTCACTGCAAGTTTAAGACAGCCCCTAACACTGGCTTGATTGGAATTCTTTGCAAAAATAATTTGGATAGACTTTGTAAGATGTAACACCACTAAAAACTTACCATTATTGATTCTCCATAAACTGACCTAATAACAAAATGACAGAGGGAGAGGGGCCCAATTATCTCCATGGAAATGAAATGTGCCAATGCTAATACAACTGCATATTAAATATCATTGACCTACCACTAGATATTCCCCTTAAACTGACCTACAAATACATTGAAGATGCCACCGCAGGAATTCGAAACAACACACCTAAGTCTCGTCTTAGCATTAAGTGAAGGTGAGACAAAAATGAGGAAAATCTTAAATTATCATATTATTATAACCACTAAGTACTCTTATTATTATCAGGAAGACAAAATAAATCCTGATTCCTAAGTTAATTATTGGGCATTAACTCATGGGGGCCACTTACTATGTGAGCAGCTGGAATAAGTCACTATTTCAAGCTTCAAAATTTATAAGAGTGAAACATTTATAGATAAGATATATGATAAGAGTGTTAATAATATCATATGTATCTGAAACTAAACCACTGTTTCAGATGATAGTATTTTGTACAGATGCAATTAAACCAGTTGTTAATGCATCAAATATAAGTCAATGTATTTCAACTCTCCATGAAACTCCCTAATATAGCTATAAGTTTAGTTTTTTGTACGGAATGTACTTTCTAAATTTCTTTTACTGAAAAAAACAAGTGAATCTGTGAGCTACTGCTCACTTATGATACCCCTGCCCTGCTAAAAGTATAAGGTAAACAGGAAGTTGTTGAGTGATGAATCGGAAAACGCATCACACGGTATAACTGACTCATATAAACCCTGAAACCAAATTTCAGAAATCCTTGTAATGTAGTTCCTGAGAAAGATGCGACGAAAAATATTCATGGGAAGGACGGACAAACTGACGGATGGACTGAAAGATGGATGGACTGACGGATGGACGGACAGACAGGGGTAAAACAGTATACCCCACTTTTTGAAAGCGGGGTATAATAAAAAGTATGTCCATTTATCAGTAAAAATATGTATAATTTTTTTTAAATATTTCAGCAATTTTGCAGTGAATACTTTCTTTTTTGTTTCATCATATTCCATGAAGATTTGACAAAGTTATTGATGAGGAAAAAACTTTAACCCAAGACTGTATATAAATTTTAACTACAAATGATTTCAAGACCATTTTTCAGTAAAATACAGAGAGAAAATATATCAAAAATGCACACAAATTAATTTGCAGCCAGCTGGTTATAGTTTCTACTCTAAACAAGCACAATAATACAACAGATTATGAATATATAGAAATTAAAGTAAACAACTTACAAATGTGAAGTCCTATCTGTGTAAAAAATGTGCTTCAATATAAGTGACAGAAATTAACGTTAAAATTTCATAAAGAGCCAATTTGGGAGTAAATGTACACAATCATGTAATTTTTTTTTTAGACTGTAAACAAAATATTTATAGAAATTAAAGTTAAGAACTTACAAATGTGAAGTCCTATCAGTGTAAAAAATGCACTTCAATGTTAGTAACAGAAATTAAAATTTTGTACACAATCATGTAATATTTTTTTTAAAACTGTGAAGATGTAAGGTTCACAGCTTAAAAAATGTAAGATGTAAGGTTCACAGATGGAATGCAGGGTTTCCTAGTTAACATAAAATGGAAAGATCATGAGGACACAACTCTTCATAGGATAGCAGTGTTATCTCAAGGGAAGACAGTCCAAATGGTAGTGAATGGTAATGAATCGCAAGAAAAGCGTTGTCAAATTTCTAAATAAAACCTAGAAAAATGACGATGTCAGGTATGGCACACTTGCATACTTTTGTGAGGCACATAAACAAATAATTATTTCTGATACAAACAAAGCAATACATTTAATGTGATTTCTAGTTACCAAATCCAATATTTGACTGCTATGTAAAATTGAACTATGAATAAGTTTTGAACTAGTATATATTATTGTTTAGGGACAAGCTGAAGCCCACCTCTAGATGTGGTATTTTCTCACTATGTTGAAAACCCATTCGTGGCCGTGGGCTGTTTTCTGCCCTTTGGTCGAGTTGTCTCTTTGACACATTCCCCATTTCCATTCTCAATTTTACTTTGAAATTGTTATAATTTTCAATAATAGTACGTATATACTGTTTAAACTAAGATTTGTAGTGGGAGTAAAAGCAAACTTCTTTCACATTTGTGATTGTGTAATTTATGAATCTAGGTTTTCCCTTCTCTATAGTATAATCAGCTGTAAACATTGAATGCATCCACCCAATTCAATCCAGTCACTGCAAATACCAGAAAACTTATAAACATGCATATGCGCATTTTCAGCATAATTGTCGTGCTTATCCGATGCATTAGATTATGAAATTTCCAGGTATAATTCACCAACCTGTAAGGGTAGATAACTCTTGCTCTTTGATATCTGTGGTATTAGGTTTTAACCATAAACATTTCTTCATGACATGCTGGCCACTGTTCACTATATTAGACATAACATCTACATGGGTTACTGTAAAATATTCTTAATATATATATATAAATATATAATATCATGTAGTTGAAATATGGAAAAGATTAGGCATGTTGCATTTTATCTGAATTCACCATTATAAAAATAAGGAGATGTGGTATGATTGCCAATGAGACAACTATCCACAAGAGTTCAAATGATGTTGATATAATTATAGGTCACTGTATAGCCTTCCACAATGAGTAAAACGGGTATTGTATAGACATTGAAAACTATTTATCTCTTAAAAAATTTTCTAGCTAGTAGTCAATTTCATTTAGGAGCTATTTTACTAACTTGCATGAATGGTTTTAGTTGTATTTTACCATTTAAATTTTTTTCAATTTTCGATTTTTACTTCTAAATTTATCTCTGTTTTTCATTAAAGTTAGAAGCCAGGAAAAAAAGAAAGCATGTGTTGTTGTTCTAACCAAATAAATCTGAAGATAGCAAGAATTATGGTTTGGTTATCTCCCTTGACATCCTTGAAACATTGTTACCCTTATTGTTAAAGTTTGATTCTCAGTAGCAATGAAGTATTTGAATTCTGACGTGTTATTTGCTCAATACAATTCTTATATTGAAGTTATATATATATATATATATATATGGAAGAACTTGTACTTCAAAGTATGGGAAAACAGTAAATAGGTGTCCAACAGATTCCAAAGGTGCATACACATTAAAATTCCCTGTTGAGTTGCTGACCACATTAAAAGTCATTCTATTTCTTACAACTTGAGAAAAGTCTGATGAAAAATATTAAACTGATTCAACATATTGAATAATTCCAGATACTGGCAAAAAGGAAATTGTAACAGTTGTTTAACAGATCTGAAATCTTCTCTATATTTTTAACGAGATATTTTACCCGATAATTTTAATCTATTTGCTTCTTCTTGTGACAAGGCTTTCTCTGCAGCAGACAGCAATTCTTCCAACAAGGATTCACTTTCTTTTTTCCATTGCTGTGTTGCTGCCATCTTTTTGCTACCATCCTGTGAAAGGACCTCTGAGAGGTGAGTGGCAATCGGCTGAAGGATGTATTTTGGTGGAACAGAGTTCTCATCCTTTATATACCATCTGTAAATGAAATGAAAAAAAAAAAAACAAGTTGAACTACATCTGTATATCAGACACAAATTAATGTCTTTCTTGCATTCTTGGGTTTCTGGCTCATGGATTGATTGACTTAATGAATGTTTGTGTTAAATGCCACTTTCAGCACTATTGGCAATTGTATTGATGCAAGTGTTTATTGATGAAGGAAGTGTGAGTGCCCAGAGAGAATGACCAACTGGATCATGAATGTATACTTCACATTTCCTTTTTGTAAATACAATTTCCACTGTGAAGGCTCAAAAAACTTACTTGGACAAGAGCTGCTTGCATTTACATGACTCGAACTTATCTTGTATGAGTTCAAACTCTTTTTCTGGGATGTGTCTTGGTAATGATGGTTTTCCACAACTTGGTGAAAATAACAACTGAAAAGAATAAAGAGCTACGTCATGAGAGCATGATAGGCCAGTCGCTTTTTCAAAGAATAAAGTTCCATAACTCCTCATGATCAATGTCATATCAGAAATTTATAAAAAACTAAAGGAAGGTTATTTTTATAGATATAAAACAGTCACCAAAGTTTAATGAAAACTGTTCAAAGCACTTTCAAGTTATTGTCCGCAAACTGGAAAATCCCCCTTTTTTGTGAATAGAATCCCATAACTCGGAAACGTAAAACCTAAAATTTATAAAAATCAAAAGGGAGTTTACGTCAATAGATATAAACAATTCAACAAAGTTTCACAAAAACCGTTCAAAGCATTTTTGAGTTATTGTCTGAAAAACTGGAAAATCCCCCTTTTTTCATGAATAAAACCCCATAACTCGAAAACATCGAATCTAAAATTTATAAAAATCGAAAGGGAGCTCACGTCAATAGAAATAAACAATTCACCAAAGTTTCATGCAAATTGGTTAAAGTGTTATTTATAACATTGCTATAAAAGCGGGAGGTTTGGCATGCCATAAAACCAGGTTTAACGCACCATTTTTTCTTAAAATGTCCTGTACCAAGTCAGAAATATGGCAGTTGTTATCAAATAGTCCGTTTCTATGTATGTTGGCGTTTGTTTTTGTTGCAGTTCAGTGTTTCTTTTGTTCCGTTGTTTTCCTCTTATTGTTGATGTGTTTCCCTCGGTTTTAGTTTGTAACCAGGATTTGTTTTCTCTTAATCGATTTATGACATTTGAACAGCGGTATACTACTATTGCCTTTTTTTGAGTTAGTGTACGACATGTTGACGATGGACGGACAACGGTATACCATAATACGTCCTGGAAACAGACATATAAAAATGCTGTATTGAGGAAATAACTTTATTTCAATAGATTTATTCACAGTTTGGCACAGAACCTCATGTGAGACATCCTCAAATTGATTTCCTGTTTTTCTGCATTTTTTGTAAGATAAAATTTAAGAAAAACTAACAAACAGGAAAAGCATGTTCTGATGTACAAATATATATCTTTTGCTTTATCTTGGAGAGTTAATGTTATCTATTCAGTATTGCATGCATTTTTTAAAAAATATAAAAGGTAAAAAAATGATGTAAAGTTTACCAATTATTAGTTTTTCTTAAATTCTATCTTACAAAATATGCAGAAACCGTTGATTTTCCTGTTTGAATTGTTTTACACTAGTCATGTTGGGCCCTTTATAGCTTGCTGTTCAGTGTGAGCCAAGGCTCTGTGTTGAAGGCTGTACCTTGACCTATAATTGTTCACTTTTCATACATTGTGACTTGGATAAAGAGTTGTCTCATTGGCACTCATACCACATCTTCTTATTTATATTAACATGAAACAAAAGCAATCCATCCACATTCAGAGTCAACAAAAACCAAATAAATCTGAAGATAACAAGAAATATGGTTGTTATCTCCCTTGACATCCTTGAAACATTGTTACCCATATTGCCAAAGTTTGATTCTCAGCACTAATGTAGTATTGGAATTCTGATGTGCTATTTGCTCAATACAATTCTTATAAGAACTTATTTATATATGGGAGCATGCCTGCTAATAAAAAAATAATCAAAGGGTATCCATTTATGTCTTGCGATTGATTGACTGACTGTCAATGTGATTGATTGACTGACTGTCAATGTGGTTGATTGACTGACTGTCAATGTGATTGATTGACTGACTGTCAATGTGATTGATTGACTGACTGTCAGTGATCAACACCACTTTCAGCACTCTTGGCAATATCATTTCATTGTTGAGGAAGCCAGAGAGAACCTTTAAAAGGAAGACTGGCAATCCTAGTCAATTAATATTAGAGTCGAATGCACCTTGCCACAAGCAAGGCTTCTAGTCAATCAAGATCGAATTGAATGCACCTTCCCATGAGCAATACTCCAACTCCTCAGTGTTGACAGCCTAGTGATCATTATAGATGAACTACAAAGACCACTCGGCCACCCAGGCTCTACATATGTCTCACATTCAATTAAATGTGTCATATTTTTGCATATTTGTACAAATGTCTTGCCTCCCAGGACATGTGTCAGAGTGGAATATAAGGAAACATGAAAATCAAAATATTTTGGGGCAGACAGGTACAACTTAAAGGTTGTGTAAAAACTAACCATAAAATTCAGATCAAGGGGCAACTTTTCTGTCACTTCCTGATGATATATTTCTTGGGTCATCTGATCAGTGATGACCTCATTCTGGATTCCACATATACTGTCACAAACTATTTGAAATTCATAGCCTTGCTGTTGACAGATCTGCTTAATGTTTCGACAGCAAGTCTCAAAAAGTCTTTTGCATTCATGTTCGAATTCTGAAATGATAACATCAACAAATATGCATCATTGTTGATAGGTTGCTGTCTCATTGAAACATTGACAATAATACCCATCTCTTTCTCTTATTCATAATGTACTTTCAACATCTCAAAAATCAAATAAAAACACAACAGCATGCTTGTTAAGAAAAAGTAAAGCAAAAATATACTGAGAATTATAAAAAAAAAGAAACAGTAAAAAATATTATGGTCTCACAGATGTTGCAATATTCTTTGGTTGTTTGTTTTTTTTTCATCAATGCATAACCCAAGTATTCACTTTATACAGTTGATTTTTTTCAATTGAAGTGCAAATTTTTTAGTCCATCGGTTTTTACCAAAGATATTATGTTTAAACCAAAGTTGACAAGTTTGACCTGAATTTTATCCTGTTGATATTTTAACATATCAGATGCTCTACACATTATGAAGCCTTTTTAAACACGTTCACTGCACTTACTCAACAAAAATTTCATATTGTAACTGATATTTTACAGTATTGACATGATTGATAAACACAAAACATTATAATTGGTACATCTATAAATTTAAAATTTTAAATTCTGTTCTTAGGAATACAACTTATATTGTTTACCATATTCTTGCTACTATAAATAAATATGAAATATGAACCACAGCAGAGAACCTGAGAATACCTGATGTTCCACAAATAAACAACCTAACAACTTTATCTGATGGCTGCAATTCTGTTGCCATGGTTCCCCAAATGATAGGATCACTTTTTAATTTTTCACGTAGCTTCTTCCTTGCTGATTCTGCTGACATGAATGAGCTGTATACATTGTTGTGTAAGGTCTTTGGTATGAAGAAATATCCATGTCCAGATTTCTTAAGTGAAGTTTCATCTCTGAAAAAAAAATTGATTATATTTGAACTTTGATATTTTTAGAATATTAATTTTGATAAAGAAGTAGCCGTTAGGATTGAAAGGAGGAAAATCTGTTGTCCTGACCCAATTACTGGTTTTCGGACCCTTTGCAAAAAGTCCTTAACTGTGAGTACTCTCAGATCTGTACTTAGTGTCCTTTTTGTTGTTAGGGATGAGGGATGGATAAATACCCTGCCACGTCCGGTCTGTGTTTATGTTTGATGTTTTTCTGCTTTGTATCGATCTGGTGAGTTAAGCCTATCTAACTGATTTTTATAGTTTGTTCTTATGATGTGCTGTTACACCACTGTCGCGGGTTTGGGGGAAGGTTGAGCGCTCACAAACATGTTTAACCCTGCCACATTCTTTATGTGCCTGTCCCAAGTCAGGAGCCTGTAGTTCAGTGGTTGTCAGCGTTTTATGTCTGTTATATTTTTTTTTTCGTTAATTGTTGCGTTATAAATTAGGCTGTTAGTTTTCTCAATTGAATTATTTCATATTTTTCATTTCGGGGCCTTTTATAACTGACTATACGGTATGGGTTTTTTCTCATCGTTGAAGGCCGTATGGTTGCCTGTAATTGCTTACATCCACATTATTTGAACTTTGGTGGATAGTTGTCTCATTGGCAATCATACCTCATCTCCTTAATTTTATATTAAAAAGTTAAAAAAAACCTTTAAATTTTGTTAGCTCTAGGCTAACTTATCATGGCTATAGCACATTAGGAACTGTTCTGCAACTGTTTCCATAAATATCTTCCTGTTAAAATTCATAGTTATTTATATTGAAATGTTCATGACTTACAAGTATTTCAAGTAGTAGGATTTTTTGTGAAAAGAGTCTTTGGACTTAAATGGCACCTACCCAAAATAGAATGTGTTGACTTTTCATGCTGGTAAACAAATAATGTCAATAAATGTGTCAGGGTAGGCATGTCAATTTATGGTATTATCAACCGTAGGCACTATACAGTAAAGAGAGAGTGACAAGGGTGCTCATTTCCCAAACCTGCCTTTTATGTAATTTTTCCTACTTCCCACTTTTTCTTCCTTCTTTTTCCCAGATCCCCCTTTTTTTTTAAACCCTAAATATTCCACATCCCCATTTTTTTAAATCCCCTATTATAACTCACAACCCAAGAGCGTTTCATCCCCTTCAGGGAACAGAATATACATAATTTGGTCTAATTTGAATTGTTTTTTTAAATTAAATAATCCAATCAATGTGATATAATTCCCATAACTAGACAGTTTATAGCCTTACATTGATTTTATTAGAATATACCATATGGTTTGTACATTTGTTATTTTACATACTATATTCTTAAATAATAAATGACGACAAGAGACTGATTGGCCTAACTAACAGAACTTGATATATATATATATATATTATTAAAACAAGTAACACAAATGCATTAAATTATTGAAAACTGTAAATTCAGAAATCATTCCAAGCATTTATTATTGCAGTTTTAACATGGTCAACCATAATTCAAAATTAATTATTGCAATTTTGTGAAAAATCTGCATATTAATTTCCTTGTTAAGTAAAAAAAGTCCTATTTTTTTCTTCTCTTGGAATTTCTCTAGACAACAAAAATTTGCTCTTTTAGAGTGTTTAATTGTCTGTCATTAAAATTTGTCTTCACTTTTCATAACAATATAATTTCATGAACAATGAAAATTTCATTTGTCTGTTATCTTCAAAATACTGCTCATTTACAGGCCTCCAGGGAGCTATTTTTGAAGGCCTTGCCCAGTTACTTTACATCTGTCATGTCTGTGCGCAATAAATTTCTTTTCTTAGTTCAGGAGATAAAAGGTTAAATTGTAATTAAAAATTAATGAGCAAACCAGACAAATTCTGTTTAGGCATATCTTGACCTCTCAGAACTTGAGAATTAAAGGGGTTTTTAAAAAAAAAAGATTGCTTGTATTTTTGAAGATTAAGGGGTGATAATTCAAACCTCGAAAATAAAATATAAATCTAACAAATTCATTTAAACAAGTATATATTACCTACATCTTCAAGTAAATAAAAATGACTTGTATAAGCATTACCCCTGACAGATATGTACACCTTACAATCATTCCATACACCATATGTAGTTGACCTATTACTCATAGTACTATAAAAACAGACATAAAAGCAAAAACTTGACATTGACCTATGACCAATGAACCATGAAAATGAGGTCAAGGTCAGATGAAACCTGCCAGACTGACATGTATACATTTCAATCATTCCATACAACACATATAGTTGACCTACTTCTTATAGTATTTGAGAAAGGCAAATTTAACCTTGATCACTATTTTTTTTTAAAGCTGTCACTGAACCATGAAAATGAGGTCAAGGACAATGGGCACATGACAGACAGAAACTTTGTAACATAAGGTATCTGCATACAAGCTATGACAAACCCAGGTCTTCTATCTACTGAAATATTAAACTTTCTACAAATAGCTTACCCCACCACCGCTGCCAGATAGTAATCCCTATGTCTCTCATACTGCGATTTCGTCGCATTATAATTTATACCTTTTTTTATTACCATGTTGACCAAACTATGCAAAAGTTTATAAAGGAATCCTCATAAAACCATAATGCGATAAATCAGGAAGCCTTATACACAATACTATTTTTTGCCCTTATGAAACATCTTTATCAAACATATCAATAAATATCCAATCCCAAAAATCATAGGCAATCCCCATGTGAAATAAATTTTAATGTTTAATTGCAAACTGTATATACTCTAGGCAAGGGTTTTTCAGTTTGTTGATTTACAGATCTGCCAACCCAATTTCTACGATTTTCAGAAAAATAAAATCGAGCTTTTTTATACCTGCCTACTCTTACAAATTCATTATCCTTAAAATATAAATAAAAAATCTGGGTAATAGCATTTACATCAAATTATGAGCATTATTGTATCATACATGTATATAAACAATACACAGAAATTATAACACATCGTCTGTTGTGTAAAATAAAAATCTTGAAACAATCTGTTGCTTTTTGTGTTCTCATAGATAAAATTCTAAAAATAGACAATCCAACAGATCTGGAAATTTTTTATATGCAAATAATTTTACAGAACAAAATCCTTTAAAAGGGGGGGTCCAAGGCCACCAAACTACAATGTAGGCAAAGTTGGAATTGGACATGTAAAAAGTCTATGCATTAGCTATATACATGTACATGATATATGTAGATCCATAAGAAGGACCAGGCACAATCAGCTAGGTTGGGGATTTTCTCCTTAAATGGGTCACAATATCACGTCTGGAAAATTCAATACCCCATATGCAATATTATTTAACTATGCAAAAACAAATTTTTTTTTTATTCATGAGGAAATACTGCATAGTGCAAATGATTACATAGAAGGCAAACAACTTTTGGTTAACAACTTTTATAAATACCGGATTGTTTATGAGTTTGATCCCTTTAAAGAAAAAAATGTTGAAAAAATAAGTTTCAACTATTTACTTTAAATATGTTTAACAAGTGCACTTTTTAATTTTTTTCTAAACTAAAAGATTTTTTTTGCATATATCCCATTTGCGAGATAATCCCCAACCTATTAAATAATTCAACTTGATTTTATTTGGAACCAACTTCAGATAAACTTTTTAGCAATGCTTTGGTTGATGATTAGACCAAATATTTGTTCCTCAGTACTGCAGTTTACCATCAAAAGTGTGATATGCATGGTGTGTGGTATTTTACCAATACTTTTATAAGAGGGGGGTGGACAGGGAGTCTCTGATTCCCACTTCCCTCCCCAAACAAAATGCCTAACTTCCACTACCTCCCCCCTTTACTCCCTGACGAAAATCAGTCAAAAATTTTCCCATATCCCAATTTTTACTCCTTCTCCCCCACCCCACCCCCTCGTTTTACCCATGTCCACCCCCTCTTAAAAATAAAAGATATGCAAAGCAATCAATCCCCACTTTTGTTGTCGTCATTACCTTAATAAGCGAGTGTCTGTTACACCAAGTTTCTTCAAAAATTCCCTGTACATGGCTTCTGTTTATAAATTTGT